ACACTTTAATAAAAACAGCAACAAATAGTAATAATTATTGTCATAACTCAACCAAAACGTTTATTGACCCCTTAACTAAATTATATTTAAATATAAAATATTTAAAAACAACAAAATTTAAAGTAAAGTAGACGTCAAGTATCAGTTACTGTAAAAGTTATATTACCGTACAATCACTGAATACAAACAATATTGTCTGATAAACATTTGAGACAAACATATGCTTTACTCTAAACCATTGATGTTGACTAACATTTCAATATTAATATAAAAGTTTCAAATGTATAACAAAAATATTTAAAAATATTAAAAATGTTTAAATTCTATTTTAATATTTGATGTTTAATATTAAATTTTATTTTTATAGATATTTAAAAAAGTATTGTGTTATTATTTAAATATTTTATACGAAGATTATTGATAAATTCAATGTAGACATATTATATACGATATATTTAATTAATTTTAATATTTTAATACTTTGGTGTCAAATAAAAATTATATGTGACTTATTAAATAGTAGTAAACTTAATATTCATATTTTTTATATAAAGAAATAAAAGCGACACTTATAGACTATAAATTATGTTTATATAATTATACTGTATAAGTAATTGAAATTTAAATACTGTATTATATTAAATACAACAAACAAAATGCATTAAATAAAATATAGTTTATTTAAAATATAAAGACAACAAACTCAGACAGAATATATAAATTTTCATATTAAACACGAGTCTAATATTAAACAAATGTAAATAATTGAAAAATTATAAAAAGTCAACAATAATTCCAATATATAGAAAACAAACTATATTTTTACTTTTTAGTTATTACAATATTACCAATTGATATTATAATACACAATAAATATCTTGTAATCTAAGTGACCAAATTAACTAATTACGTATATATTTGTAAAGTAATGCTAAGATATAAGTTATATTATAGTAAATCATTGGGTAATCCAATTGGTGACCAAATATTTAAAGACATTTTTAATAGCATTTTCGAGACTCAAATTAACTTTTACTTTGTTTAAGAGTACGGTTTCTCTAAGAAGATTATCTCTAATTATTATATAGTTTGTACTTTTATTGATAAGATTACAAAAAAATATAAAAGTAAATAATAATAATAATAATGTAAATAATTTTGAATCAAATAAATTATTAGTTCATTATTAGTTAACATTGTATTAAATATCAAACCATTAATTAGACCACAATTAATGGAGATTTGCTTTTAGTCTTAACAATCAACAAATGAATGTTAAAACTCATATGATATGTGTCTTCACTTGACTAATGATGTCTTAGTATTAAAGGTTATCTTAATTTATCTGAATGTTGTGTCAGAAGCAGAAAAGCTTAAGAAAATGGCTAATCAGTGATCAGTGATGTAATGATCACAGAATATGGTCTCATATGAAGAGGGCGTTCACCCAATTGATCGTCACATTAGTCAACAAAAGGCCTCTTTTTCTTGTGTCAACAAAAGTCTTGTTAACTGATATGCGATTCACTATTGACATCATTGACAGTATCGACCAAATGGGCAACACTTCTCTTGTAATTACTGTCCAATGAATTACTTTTTTTTAAAGAGATATAACTTTCATAAGACTACAGTATTATTTGTTGACTCAATTAAATAATTACATAATTATCCAAACTTTTTATTATTGCATTCAAACTTAATTATATTGTTTCTTCAATTTAAAATCTTTTATTAGCAAAATAGTCATTAATTATAATATAAATATAACAATATTTGACAAATCTTTTTAAAATATCTTACAATTTAACTGTTTTCTATAAAATTGATATTGTTTTCAAATTACTACATTTATACCATACATTGTATTCAGTATACAATGATTTTTCAATATATATTTTATTTACAAATTATAGAAACCTATTTTTAAAACATGTATTAAATTAAATATATTGTACATAAAAACATATAAGCAAAACATTGATTTGAATTTTAAACTTTCAACAACAACTCGGCTTAAAAATTGTAAACTTATATAATAGTAATACTAAAACAGCTGTTAAGCAAAGGTATGCCAGATGTGAACTACTAATAAATTATTTCACAATTTTATGTATGTTTTGTAAAATTGTAAGTTTAAAGCTTATGTAATAGCTTTATAGCACTTACTTTTATCAACATTATTTCATTTCATTTAAACATTTGTTAGATTAAGAAACTGATAATACAGTAATAGTAGTTATAAAAAATTAATGTAATTACTTGTTTTCAGCAGTAATTAAGTAGTTTTTATTTTTTATATAATATGTTGAATTACATTTCAAAGTACTCAACCATTTATAGACAAAGTAAAAATGCATTTTAAACTTTAAATGTAAAGTACAAAAAAACTAATGTTTAATATTTGTGTAAAAATGGAGAAAATTCAATGAAATGTAACACAATTTAATTTAACTTATGGGATGTTTGAATAGCTTATAAATTATAAGTTATAATATAATCTAAACGTGAGTTAAAATTGTGTAAAATAGTAGAAGTAATGGAGCGATAAGTTTATGATTGTTATGAAAGGGGAGAACTGGGGAGAGGGCTGTCTAGGAGTGGGAGGAATGGCTCAAACAGACAGAGATGTTATGCTTTTAATATAAAGCAAACGAATCTGTTTTGTGTCCGTTCAGAGAAACAGCAGGACTTCAAAGCTTACATTTCAAACATTATTTGAATAGACTTTATATTAAACATAACATAAAACTAAACTCACCAAACATACAGAAGCTGTCTATTATATTGAACTTATATTTAAATAAAACATCCATGGTAAAAATTAAACCCGTTACAATATAATTAAGATTGTATTTTTATTTTTAAATTAATCATTTAAATTGTAACCATAATTTTCTATTAATTATAAAATATGTCTTATTCTAAAAATTATGTAAATAAGTTTCTCAGTGTTTAAATTATAAATTATATGAATTGTACAAATAGTTAGACGACTCTACACTGTAGTCTACAGACAATACACACACACATCCACGTGCTATAAGTTGATGAATACAATAAATTTATAAAGACTATAATGAAGACAATATAGAAATGTTGGAAAAATAGTATTAATAGTTTGTATGACTTAACAAATGATAGTCAAATGATTTGTAAAAATGATTGTTAGTCTCGAAAGTAAAGAAAAGGATCTAAAGACTAACAAAAGATGACTTATTTTAATGAATTTGTCGACATTTAGTATAAATCAAAATCAAGTCTAACGAAGACAACTGGCTCTCTATTTACACATCACAAGAGATATCAAGATTTATGAAGAATTTGCTTGAATTTGCTTTTTTGTTGTCAATGTTTTACACATTTTTTTCATTTAAAATTATGTCTTCACCAGAGTCTGTGCCAAAATATGATCTGACACTACATATAAACTAATACTATATAATAAAAACCATAACTCTATAGATGTGTTTTAGGACAACAACTGATGCTATATTGAGATTCACAACAAGTTTGGGAATAAGTTTTGATTATTTACAATATTTTTTGCAAAAGATATGGTAAAGGAATTTAATTGTCGGGAGAGTACTCTCACTGTATGTCTATATGACTGACAGGCACTGGGAGTCAAGTCTTGCAAATGATGGCAAACACAACACAACTCTAACTCTATATAATATAAATATCTCAGTTCTGACTCCGATTCCTACAAAATATAAATAAATTGAATGCTTTTACTGGTTATACTATATTTGACTAACAGATAGGAAAAGTTTATAAACAAATAAATTGTTGAGACATATATTTATGGCATTTATTCACTTCACGAACAAAGTTTCAGTCAATTCATCCTAGAATTTGCAATAATATAGAAGTAGACAACAAATTGAAGCATTTTTTCTATTATTTTTATTAATGCATATGCTTTTAAAAATGCATTTTATATTATATACGGTATAAAATAAATATAAATCTAATACAAGATTTTTTATTTATATAATAATTTTCAATTATATAATATTAAAATATTTTCAATTACAGTATATATTTGATAGGAATAGCATTATAAAAATATTTTTAATAACCGATAATTCATGTGTCCGACCGGTAAAATGATGTTTAAATAGAAGAAATAATTTATCGATTTTATGACAATGTTTAGAATTTTTTAACGTATGTATTATAAATGGTATATACGGTACTATATTTTATACTAATATAAAAAATATTTTAGCTTTGAGTGCAATAGGAAGACAAAAATGTTATGAAAAAAACGATTATTTGATGAATGAATGTCTTTTGACAGATATTTGAAGCGTTTGAAGATCAGGTCTGTGGACACATTCGCCATCAAAGATATCAATACATAAGTTTATATAACGATTATTAAAGATGTCACACATGTGTCTAACAAAACAACTTTTAAAGCAATCAGTGCATGACTTTTATAATACTTGATTTGCAATTTAATGGATTTGTGAATCAAAGTAATCGCCGATAATATGAATTAGACTTAAAAACAAATAAACAATACTTGAAATTCAGTTCAACACATACAGTATATCCTAATAAAACAAAACTCTTAATTTAGCGAAACTCTTGAGATAACAACTCATTGAATGACTAATTTGTGGAAACTTTGTGTTTTGTTGTTCACAACATTCCCTACTATTCTTTAAATTTATTTTCTCTGAAAAAATGTTTTACAAGAATTAAGGAATTTTCTATAATTAGATGAGAGGTTAGACGCGCTTTGAAAGCACATAATTATAATAATTGGGAAAATGCCAAACAGTTTACATTTTGTTATCACTTTTTGTGAATTTATACAATTATCAGATCGTATCATATGTTGTATTATTGTTTGTACATTTATATATGTAGTATTTTATATGAATTGATAAATCGGTTAATACTGTTTAATACTATCAATATATACTGTAATCTTATATTAACAATAGATTTTTCAACAAATTTCATGTGAGAAACAAATGACTTACTTTGAGTACTTTGCATATCGTAGCCAAAGATTGAATATCATGACTTAAATGGCGGTTTTCTTGAGCACAGGTATTACAGATCGGAATTTTACAGTTAATGCAGAACTTTTCGAGACAACTGTCCGAATGATCGATGCATTTAATGGCAGATTCTTTGCTTTTAGTTTTTGATATATTTTTAGTGAGATGTGCGGCAATGAGTTTATGTGCAGCCAATGGACCTCTTTGAGGATGACATCGGTCACGACAAGTGTCACAATAATAGATCTCGCATTGTTCACACATAACTGATGCCTCTTTAGGATTTGATTCGCACAGTTGGCATTCGGTGGTAAAGTTATTTGTGTCACAATACTTGTCTACAATTGCCTGCATTGTCCTGTTTTTTGGTAAATTGGTGGCCCCGTTATCATTGAGATAAATTAATTTGTGACATACCGGACAAGTCAACGATATTGAATTTACCGTTTGTATAAATGGTGGAAATAGTATGCCCTGAATATTAGGTGTTCCCACATAACTGTTAGGTCGGGAATTGCAAATAACTCCTGAGTCGGTCTCACTTAAGAGACTGACTTTGTCGGCATCACTTATCTCACTACCAGATGTACTACAAGTGGCACTGATATCACCGATAATACTATTGATGTGAACGTTTTCATCACTTTGATGGACAGTAGCGGTCACTATATATGTAGAAGCATTGGTAGGCGATGATATGGTCATAGGATTTATATTATTATTATTATTGCAATTATTAGAAGAGTTATTGTGTTGATTGACATTAACTGACTGTTGAATACTTAGAGCACAAGTAAGGCATAGAGTGTGATAACAGGGCATTAAAATGGGATTCACGAAGAAGTTCTTACAAACGGGACATTTGAGTTCTTCTTCCATTGTTTGAATCAATTTAATCATAAAAACTGATCATAATTTACAGTTCAAACAATGCAAAGGTATGGCAAATGTAATGAATCCCAAGTTTGAGCTCAAAAAGTGTTGGCCCTTAAGCTATGACAAGCAATGAGAGTAAAAGACAAGAGAAACAAGTTTTCCAACTTTTGAACCACTATTTCATGTGAAGGCAACACAACGTCTTATAAATGTTCAATCGTTTGATTCATTTATGCGACCAATTTATACCTTTAGTTAAGTCCAACAACTTTTTGGTGATGTTTTGCAGACTCCACACAGCATTGGAGTGTTGTATCAAACATTGAATAGTTATGTTAACTAAATCTTTCTCTCCATAAGCTTAATAAATGAGAGGCGACTGACTGACAGTCAAATGCAAGAGTAGATGACTGTTAGTCTGTGTTTGTGTTGTTAGTACTGACTGTATAACTGTTGGCATAGCTATGAATCCTATGATAGCTTCTATGACAGCATTTGTTGGATCACTCAGTGATAGACTATTTCAACGCACAGACAGAGGTAGAGCACAGACTTTATAATCCGTATGACATGAATACATGTCTCGACCTCTTTGGAGGACACTTTGTAACTCTGGAAACTCTGATATTATATTATCGTAATTAATATCAATGATTATCAATATATTTTATATTCATATAAATAGTTTAATAAAACACCAGTTTAGGTATTGCTAAGTCATATCTTAACATTTAATAGAAATAATAGCAATAATTATGACTTTAATTAACTTGTTTTGCATAACATCTTTAAGAAGCGATCTGATTGTCCGCAAATTCTTTACGGTCAGTGCTTTAGGATATGAGTGGAACTCTGAAAAAGAGCACAATTATGACATTGTTATAGTCGGTGGTGGTATTGTGGGAACTGCTACGGCTCGGGAATTAGCTATTAGGTCAGTTACGGCTGGATTTATGATTTAAATAATGATTTCATTATTAGTTAATTACTAATTAATACCAGAAATCCAAAACTCAAGTTAGCTATTATTGAGAAAGAAAACAGATTGGGTATGATTTGTACAGTATTTCTATTTGTTTTAATTAATTGACTACAAATGTCGCCAAAATATTGATAGCTGTTCACCAATCGGGTCATAATTCTGGTGTCATTCACGCCGGTATCTATTACAAGCCCGGATCACTTAAGGCTAAATTATGTGTTGAGGGCTCAGCACTGGCTTACGATTATTGTGACCAAAAGAAGATTCCTTATAAAAAAGTAGGTAAACTAATTGTAGCGGTAAATCACGAGGAAGTGGATCGACTCAATGAACTTTACCAAAGAGGACTACAAAATGGTGTCAAAGATATGATTTTAGTTCAACAAAATGATATCCAAAAGTATGAACCAAATTGTGTCGGACTTAAAGCCATTTGGAGTCCACACACCGGTATTGTTGACTGGGCTCAAGTTAACCAATCATTTGGCAAAGATTTTGAATCACTTGGCGGTCAAATCTATACTAATTTTAAGGCAAATAAATTTGAATTAGAGGATAATACTGGAGATCAATTGGTTAAAGTTATTGATAATACCGGTGATAAAGTGATCAGAACTCGATTTGTGGTCACTGCAGCCGGTCTTCATGCCGATCGTATTGCAAAACTAACAAATGGACAACAAAATCCAAGAATCGGTATTTTTATCAATTGTTAATAAATCCAAATTACTAAATAAAACTATCTTTTAATATGAAGTTCCCTTTAGAGGAGAGTATCTTATTTTAAAGAAAGAAAAGAGTCAAATGGTTCGAACCAATATATATCCGGTTAGTTTACATTTATTTATCTAAAATATCAATTACCGTAATTGAGACCAACTTAGGTACCGGATCCCAGATTTCCATTTTTAGGCATACATTTTACTCCAAGAATGGATGGAAGGTATGAAATTGCCATTTAGTGTTAATTTCTAATTATCATCAAATATATGAACAGTGTATGGCTCGGACCAAATGCTGTGCTTTCACTTAAACGTGAAGGATATAAAAAATCTGACTTTAGTTTATCGGACGTCTGGGAAACCATAAGATTTAGTGGATTTAGAAATCTAGGTATTTAGTAGATAATCAGTTATTTTTTAATGATTATCATGTGATGGTGTAATTGTTGCAGCACTCAAATACTTGGGTCCAGGATTTAGTGAACTTTATAGAAGTTTTAGGACTACAGCACAGGTAGAATTACTTCGCAAATATGTGCCTTCTCTTACAATCGATGACATCGAGCCTAAGACTTATAGTACTGGTATCAGAGCCCAAGCACTCGATGAAAAGGGTACTATAATTTAGCCATTAAATGAAAATAAAGTAAATTAACAAAAACTCATGTTTATTGAAACTAAAAGGCAATTTAGTGGACGATTTTGTGTTTGATTCGGGAAGTGATGAAATTGGTAAACGAGTGCTACACGTGCGCAACGCACCGTCACCAGCGGCAACCTCTTCACTGGCCATTGCAAAAATGATTGCAGAAAAAACTGAAACTTTATTTTTAAATAAATGATATTTTATTGATATAATAATTAAATGATTAAAGTAATGATACATTTGTGATAAATAGATAATTGATTTTAAAGACATTTTCCAATCACTTATATGAGATCCGCGACATTCATTGGCATTTCGTCAATCTGTGTGCTATAGTATTGCTCGATATCTCTCAAAATCCTAATGTCGTCATTCTTTACAAAATTAATGGCAACACCTTTACGACCAAAACGACCGGAACGTCCGATTCTGTAATAAATTAAATCAATTCATTAAATATATTATCTGTTAATTATATCTATAATAAATTGCATTGAATTTGAAATAATTTCAGAATAGCGTATAATTTAATTAACCATTTCTTTTGTTTCTAGTTGTGGTTAGTCTTATTAAAAATATAATATCATCATAAAATCAATTTTCAAATATACTGTACATTTAAACTACAGTATATTAAGACATCTAACTTACCGATGAATATAAAGTTCCCGATTATTAGGTAAGTCATAGTTAATGACAAGTGAGACCTGTTGTACATCAATACCACGCGCCCAGACATCAGTGGTTATAAGGACTCGGCTATAATATAATATTAAAAATCACAATAAATTCTATACTTTCGTTATCATTACAAACCTTTGTCCGGATCGGAACTCCTTCATAATAGTATCCCTTTCCTTTTGAGGCATATCTCCGTGCATTGAAGATACAGTAAAATTAGATTCTCTCATCTTTTCCGTCAGCCAATCAACTTTACGTTTAGTATTGCAGAAGATTACTGCCTGAGTGATAGTCAGTGTATCGTAAAGATCACAAAGTGTGTCAAACTTCCACTCTTCTCTTTCAACGGCAACGAAAAATTGTTTAATGCCTTCAAGAGTTAACTCATCTCTTTTAACTAATATCCTGATCGGGTCTGTCATAAACTTTGACGTCATCTCTAAAATTTCGTGCGGAAGTGTAGCCGATATGAGACACACCTGAGTATAAGGTGGAAGATATCGGTAGACATCATAAATCTGTTCTTTAAATCCTTTATTAAGCATTTCGTCCGCTTCGTCCATAACCAGCATTTTTATAGATCGTGTCCTCAAATTTCTGCGCCGAATCATATCAAACACACGACCGGGAGTTCCCGATACTACGTGTTGACCAAAATCGAGTTTACGTATATCTTCACCCAAATTAGTTCCGCCTATACAGGCGTGACACATGACATTCATATAATCACCCAAAGCGAGAATAACTTTCTGTATTTGAGTGGCCAGTTCTCGGGTCGGACTCAACACCAAAACTTGTGTTTCACGTATCTGTGTGTCAATGGTCTGCAATATCCCGATAGCAAAAGTGGCTGTTTTTCCGGTTCCTGACTGTGCCTGTGCTATGACATCGCGACCCTTAATGATTGGCCGAATAGCCCTCTGTTGTATTGCCGACGGCTTCTCAAAACCTGCAAAATATATAAAGCATTTAAATAACAGTTTGTCTGAAATATAGCTAATTGTGTCACTTCTTCAACAATCATATCTATATTGAAATAGTGTTCAAAATGTATCGACATTTTCATTGTTAACATGTATTCATACCATAAGAATAAATGCCTCTTAAGAGGTCTTCGCGAAGACTTAATGAGTCAAAGCTGGGAATCACTTCCACGTCTTCACTGGTCTCGAACTCGACTGTCGACAAGTCGTCCGGAAGTTCTTGTTTTGGTCGCCGACTGACTGACATATTGACTGCCATTTTCAACACTAACAGCGTGTCTGTTCATCCATACATTACGTTAACTCTAATGTATTTCATTGTATTGTCTATCAGTTTATTTGATTTAAAGTTTATTACATTTTATTTAATACTGTTTTACTGTAAATTACTTTATGTTTGCAATTATTACTATTAAATTATAGTAAATTAATTATAATAGTAATAATATTTATTGCAAACATAGCATGATTTACATTATTTTATAAATACAGGATATTATTGTACAGTACTTTTAAATTATTGTTATATTAATACACTGTGTGTACAGTCATAACTTTACAGATATAACTTTGCAAATATTTCAACTATTATACTGTACTGTATTACTGTATAAATAAATAATAATATAATTATCAAATAAATTTATCTACAATTATTATTTGATAGAAAATAATGGACTTTTATTTGATTTATTAGTATATTATTGCCCATCAAATACCTGACCACCTATTTATGGATCAATCATTTGACTCTAATCCCTAATTAGGCATTTCCTATACACTGTACAGGTATTCAATACTACAGTAAATATACTATTGATTGTAAATTTTATACTTTTCTGTTTATAAATTGTATATTTCTAAGTGATAGCACTGATCATACCTTACATTTCATGCCTTAATATACTTTTACTTCAAGACTGCAACTATACTACAACTTTATAAATAAATTAATACATTTTTCTATACAGTAATCAATTATTAATCAATTTTAATAAAGTTATTATCGATAACTTATCAAAAAGACCATAATTGCAACTTTGAATTTACTATAAATGTTGACTTAAAATTATTATTTTTAATTTAATATTTAATAGTAAATTACTGTATCATATTCAGGGTTGGAAAAATACAAGGTTTTCAATTTTGGCATTGAATACAGTAAAATACAGTAAAATACAGTAAAATACAGTAAAATACAGTAAAATACAATGTACTGGGTGTATTTTACAATAATTATAGAAAAATTACATTAACAATGATAAAATATTTATTTATTTTTATTAAATTTATTATTATTACATAATTTCAATATCTTATACATACACTTTGTCTCTGCCAACACTCATCATATTTTAATCAAAATAAAACTTTATTTTTACAATTTACAACTAATGGTTTTACAATAGATACAAATTAATTATTAAGTAAATTAGATATTATTTAAAGATTATTATTATTAACTCATCAATAATACTGTATATAAATTATTTAATAAATATATTACAGATAATATATCTTTAAAATGTCTATTGTTTAACAATTTGTTTGACTAATACATAATTTAATGTACTGTATATAATATATACTATATGTATATATTATATAATATTGATGTTTCAATGAAAATATTTTTATTTTTTTTAAGATTCTATTAATTACATAGTAATAAAGTAACTTCAAAACTAAAAAACTAGTAGAAAATAAAAACTTGTATCAAACATAGTGTTATACGGTATGAAATATAAAATTACATTATTAATATTAACTATTAGTAAATGCCTATAAATAATTATAAATACAACTTTTTTTGTTATAAACATTTTTTTTAATTTTTATTGATAATTTCATTGATAATATTTAATAGTTATAACATTATGTAAATTATAACTATAAAAATTATTTGCATTCAAAAATGTTTTTTAGTTTTTGTAATAAAAATAAAGTTAAGTTTTAAATGTAATAATTTTAACTAAAATAAACTCTTATCTTATCAAATAATTAGTCAGTTTAAACATATGAGTTGTCAAATCAAACTTTTTGATAATTTTGACACATTTAGCAAAATAAGAGCGACATTAACCAATAATATTATAATATAATGCTATGAATTTTATTTATATGCAAAATATTAAATTAAATAATTTATTAAAATACTTTACAATTCATTTAATAGATAATATTATCCCATTTACATTGTTGAATGAAATTTGATACTTTGAATATACAGTATATATATATAGTTTATAACATTTATAAATCGTTATAAAAATATTATTTTAATTTTTATTGAAAACAATAACATTTAGTTAAAATTCATAGAATGTATTGTAATAGTGTTAAATAAATAGTGTATATAAATTAAATTTTGTCATAATTTTACTAACACTTATAACATTAGATAATTAATATAATTTATAAAATTCGTTAAAAATGAATTCGTAAAAAGTGCTCTTTTATGACAAATAAATATATAATTCTTTATAAGATATTAAAATAATTGTCAATTATATTAGATTTTTATATTACGGTAAATAACTTATAAAATTTATAAGTAAAGCATAATTCTTAAGATCCATTAACTGTATGTTTGGAGGGCGGAATCAAATGGTCGGGTAATTGTTGTGGTAAGTCATGTCCATTGAGTTTGATTTGCATCAAATGCATGGCTAGTGAGAACTCATCCATGTCTAACATGCCATCCCTATCTAAATCTGAAAGTTTCCATATTTTACCCAAAACACTGTTCGGTAGTTTTGATTTAACCATCTCTGCTTTGGCTGAAGCACCGGTGATTTTACCATCAATTGGATTCAATGAATTAAACATTTCTTCATATTTAGGTTTATCTTTTTCAACGACCCATTCCTTGTCAAGAGAGCCGGCATCTACACCTTCGCCGCGCATATAACCAAAAGGAGATTCTTTAACGCCTTCAAAAGCACCGCCTTTTACTACTGTCTCCTCTTTAGTATCGTTTTGCTCCTAAAAGATAATATCAAATATTTATTTTGACAATAAATTTCATCAATTGTGGAATCACCTGTGGAATCATTGCCATAAGTTTTGCAATATCTTCGGCTAACATTTTATCGACGGCGTCGAGTAATGGTTTCTTTAATGGATTAAATTTAGTGAAGTCATGATGTAATAGTTTTTCCTGCATTTCACTCAAGTCAGGAAAGTCACCGACAGGTACTCCATGTTCTCTCTCGATTTCAGTGAAGATATTTCCCAAATGTTTAATTAATTCTTTCTTTTTTGAGTCTTTGCCAAAGACAGAGGGCATCTCTTTCTTTAAAGAACTAATGATATACGCGTGAACCTAACCATTAGATATTAAATTAATAAATAAAATATAAAACAAATGTAAAAGAGTCGGGCCTACCTTCGCGAGTCGGGCTCTTTTGATCAAATCATTGAGTTTCCTGAGCGCAGCATTTCGTGGAAGGCTTGTTATATCACTGAATAAATCCTGTTCTTCGGCTTCAAATAACTTTCTATTGTAATCATATCTAAGAGGCTGATCCCAAAAAGAGCCGATGTACACTCGGGCCACTTCGGGTGTGTTAAGTACTTTACCCAATGACCACATAAGTGCGCCGTAGACGCGCATCAATTGTTGCTGATCTATCATATCTGCTTTATTTAAAACAATTCTTATCTTATCGTCGTGTCCTCGAAGGGCTTCAATAGATCGTCGAAATTCATCAGAAATGTCGAGTTTGTGTGCATCGAACAGAAGGATAATTCTATCGACCCGTTCGGCAAACCACTCCAATACACCGGTAAACTCATAGCCACGATCTACCCGTTGCTTCTCTCCCGACAAAATTCCCGGAGTGTCTACTATTGTGATACTCTCGAGTACGGCTGAGTTGAGTTGAGAACATTGCAGACGATTGAGAAAAGCGTTTCCAAACTTAGCTAAAGGACGGAACTGTTTCTTCGGATCAACGACTAAGGCATTGCCGGGAATAACGCCTTCTGATTCGCCAAACATGACGGCAATGAATCGGTCAGTAGTGGGTTCGGGTCCTATCCTTATGCCGGGAAAGTCGCGCTCCAATAAGTACTTAATAAAAGTGGTCTTTCCCGTCGAGTACTGTCCGACCAATAATACCATAGGTTTGGCGTCAAAGTCTGCATCTTCTAAGGGCGGAGAGTGGAACTCATGGAACAGATAGTGTTCTTCAAGTGGTAATATCTTTGACTTATAGATACGTTTGAGACCTTCAACAACATTGATGAACAGTTCCGGTTGTTTCTTGCGCTCATTGCTGGCACTCAACCAACTAAACATTGTTGCAATTGATTATCACCGATCGGATCCACAGATTAACACAAATACAATTGTCTAATGAGTTGATTCACTGATCATTTAATGATTGAATCACTAAAACATTGAATGCCTTTCAATACACCCAACGATGCAATGAATCACTCATTCAATGAACACTTGAATGCTTACAAAAAGTCATTTAATATTACAGTCAATACGTAATGCATTGAGTGATGGGTTCATAGTATACATACATTGCGTACAATTGAATACAATGTTTGGGGAATCAAATAGTTTGCAAACAAATTGCCACTAATTTCAAGCATTGACTAAACAAACAACACGTGCTCTTAATGGTGACACCCGTGTGGGCCCTCCTCTACACCATTGAATACACCATTGAATATACCATTTGATGACAATATGAATCCAACTGTCTCTTCAAGACGAAGATATGCCGACATCACTGAACATGAGATTAATAATGTAATGATTGTATTGATTGTTGAATTGTTTTAACAGTAATTGTCTTATATTTTGTTGACAGACGGAAACCACTGATTATCCGCACAATTATGTTAATTATGACGACAACTGGCATTTCACACACTTTACCAAAGTTTGTCACTAATTGTTATTTTTTTAGATTTGTCATCAAATAGGATATATATTTTTGTTAACATTATTACTAAATACAATGTAAAACACGATTTAATTGACAAATCTTTAAATATATATTAATATATAATTTAATTAATTAATATTAACTGTAATTATAATTTGTTGGCAAAGAATTTTAGTATAAAAATCATTGATATTAAAGACAATGAGATAGAGTTTGACATAATTGGTGTCAACTGTTCTCTGGCTAATGCATTGAGAAGAATATTATTAGCAGAAGTGCCGACAATGGCCATCGAGAAAGTGTTTATCAATAACAACACCAGTATATTTCAAGACGAATTTTTGGCCCATCGATTAGGTCTAATACCAATCAAAGCTGATCCACGATTCTTTGAATACCGACAAGAAGGTGAGACATCTGTTAATATAATTAATTCATCAACTATTGTGTTGACAGACATTATTCTCAGTAATAGTATTTAATTATAGCATATATTATATTAGAAAAATCAAAAAGTATTTTATCATAATCTGATAATTTTATACACTTTTTATTAAATACTGTTTTATTAGACAACTAAGGCATCAAAAATAGTAATATTTTTTATCTAATTTTAGGTGATATTGACGGCACACCACAGGACACAATTGTCTTCAATCTTAATGTTAAATGTGTCAGAAATAAGAACTCTGTTCAGGAAACTACACTTCCTGAAGAACTTTATGATCACCGTATGGTTTATACAAAAGATCTCGTTTGGGAACCGATAGGCAATCATTCAGATATATTTAGTGATAACCCTATTAGACCTGTAGATGAAGACATACTTATAGCAAAGTTAGCTGTTGGTCAAGAATTAGATATTAAGTTACACTGTGTTAAAGGTATTGGCAAAGATCACGCAAAGTTTTCTCCTGTGGCCACTGCATCCTATCGGTTGTTACCACAAATTGAACTCTTGAGTGAAATAGAAGACGAAGACGCGGAACTGTTGAAGAAATGTTTTTCCAGTGGTGTCATTGAAATTGAAAAACAAAGCGGTAAACGAGTGGCTAATGTTGTTAACTCAAGAGTAGATTCTGGTAGTCGTAATGTTTTTAGATATCCACAGCTCAAAGATAGAGTAAAGATGTCTCTAATCAAAGATCACTTTATTTGTAAGTCAAATATAATGAAAAAGAGTTTAAATTTTTGAATAATATTTCTAAATATATATTTAAATTACAGTTAATGTTGAGTCAACCGGTGCTCTTCAGGCACATCAACTCGTTTCTGAATCTTTTGAGATAATGATAGGAAAGTGCAGACATTTTTTGGGTGAACTCGAAGGATATTATAAGAAATGTAACAAAAGTTAAGTCTAATATTATAACCATTTAGTAATTATGTAAATTATATACTATTTTGCCATTTAATTGTAATTAAATTTTTAAAATTTATATTTTGAATTAAATACTTTAAGTCAAATTATAGCGTTATTTGTGAAATATATTGAATATTATATTATTTACAGTGTATTACATGTATTGTAATACTGTATTAAATGTTTGTTTTGATTATTAATGATTGTATTAAATGTTTGATTCAATTGAACGCATATATTGTTAATTGAATCGAAACAAACATTACTTGCATTTGATTATCATTTGTTTAACTACTGATCACATGAATGGGTCGTATATTTCTTGAGCACATCGGAGGTCTTCGTCTGTTTTCTTGTGCTTCATGTGATACAGTATTGACTAACAGACATGAGTTGATTAGCACCCGATTCACGGGAGCCACGGGTAGGGCTTTCCTATTCAATCGTGTCGTTAATCTTAACTATAGGTAAGTTATATGTTGTTTGGTGTCCACTGTTTGATCAATTGGTTTACTGGTTTGGACAGTGAAGTTCAGGACAGAGTAATGCTAACGGGAAGACATATGGTTCGGGACGTGTCCTGCAAGAACTGTGACACAAAGCTCGGATGGATCTATGAGTTCGCCACTGAAGACAACCAAAGATATAAAGAGGGAAAAGTGATTCTTGAGAGGGCTTTGGTTACTGAAAGTGATGGCATTGAAGAACACATCTCTAATGACTAATCATTAAATCATTTATTAATACATTATATTTCAACAATATTTTCTCATTTTTATATCAATAAAACATTTAATACTAGAGTTGACAGTGTTTTGTAATAAACTTTGTAAACAATTGAATGTAAATTATATACTAATCTGAGATTCAATTTTTCAAATGATAACAAACAAGACAATAGTTTTTAATTAATTAATTTACTATCATTTTATGTACAAATAATAAACATTAAAACTAATTACAAAATGATTAAGATTTAACTTTTTTATAAGTTGCATATATAGGTATACATAGGTAGCGGTATATATACTGTATTCAAATTTATGCATTATATAAAAATTAAAGCATTTTTATTATAATAAAAGCATTTTACTCAATATTATCCTTTATATTATTTTATTAGATTTTCATACTTTCATAGTATATTATTGTACCGTTAAAATTAAGTTTTAAAAATTATAAATTAAGTAATAAGATTTATTTATTTAATAATAGATTTATTTACATTGATGAAAATTATCAAAAAAATTTAAATGGTAATAATAATTAAATTAAATAATTGTTAATACATATTATTTGTATTTCAGACATAATTGATATCATTAATCTATAGATAAATTTGCATTTTTCTATTTAAATACTAAATTATATTGCAATTGTCAAATCAATTAAGATTTTATAGGATTTATTAGAAATATATGTGACTAGACATTGAAGCTATAATAGAAGTTATAAAATTTACCAATTATTTAAAAATCTAATTTGTTATATTAATTAATTGTAAAGCATTACAAAATTATGAAAAATCCGTTATAAATTAAAAGATAATTTAAGTTACAAAAATGATATATAGTTTAGAAAATACAATGATAGTTATGATATAAATTTTAGTAAAAAGTGATATTTTGTTTTTTATAAATTTATTACCTTTTGGCACAAAATTTGATAGAAAATATAATAGATATATACTGTAAGGCACACAACAAAAAGTAGTAATCAAAAACTAAGTCTTATGGCATATAAATTAAATATATTGTAAATAACGACTCAACATAAATGTCATTAAAATTGGTCTCACATTAAAATATATTAATTTTTAACTGAATGTCAGTTAATGATATACTCTTATATTATATTCAGAGTTTTATAAATATATCTATAAAATGATATCAATATAATCTTATTTTTTTGATTACATAAAATGTTAGTAAAAAATAAATTAACTAAAATTTATTATTCAGTATTAAATTACCAAAAATTAAAATATAATATATATATAAATATATAATTCATGATTAATTTTCATCGTTTTGCAATTTTTCAATCACATGCTTAACCCATCCCTTAGAATTTGGTTTAGGAGAACCATTAGGTGATGATTTGGTTCTTATTTTTATATCAAAATTATCATCAATTTCTTCAATATTTTCTTTATTATTACACCATTTCTCTAACTCTTGCATTCGCTGTTTAATACTTTTAATACCATTAAAGTCATAAATATTGTTATCTTTATGAAAGCGTGAGTTCTCTTCCAAAATCTTAAGCTTTTCAATGATAGCGCCCTTAACTCTCTTAGCACTTAAGATATTGAGATTTAGATTAATGGCTCCATTATCTAACTGTTCCATTGATTTGTAAATACTTTGTTTTTGGTCATTACTTAAATTTGATAATGAATTTAAATCTGAGTAAAGACTGTTATCTTCATTATCGTCAATGAATTGTTCAATTGGATTAAGTGTTGATAGATCTGAGTCGGCGTCCATGTGTTGGCTATAAAATCCTGATTCACCAAACATTTCTTCAGTCAAAACACTTTCAATTGCTTCAAATGTTTGTTCATAAAAGCTATCGAGTGATGTGTCGCTGATTTCAGACGGCGAATCTTCATTACCATTCATCTCATTGTTATCATTATTATCACTCGATGTCGACATATCGGATACCAAACTATCCGGTCGTTTAACTGAATTATGCTTTTGAAGACCGCGTTTATGTTTACTAAGATAATTGTCGTAATCATTATAGTTGGCCAGTCGTGCGGCAGCTGATGAGTTAGTGGCCGGCATTGAAATACGTGCGAACACAGGACTAGGAATTTCAGACAACGCTTTACTGGCAGTCATTTCGGTCTCAATTTTAGATGAGTCCTTCAGTTTGTTTTTGATTATATTTGAGTAAACCTTAGCTAAAGTGTGTACAAAACGAGCGGTTATTACTTTAGGATTTATCTCATATTTATTTGATTCTATCGTCTCTTTGTCTATCTGTTGCTTTTGATGAACAATAGGTGACTCAGATCTCTCCACACTTTCAGCAGAGATGATTGAAGTGTCGTCAGCGCACAACTGGTCCGAAACAGTTGGCGATCGGCGTAGAGAAACCAGTTTAGAACCGACATTATAAATGACTGATTTGATGTATTTGGATGCGTTATAAGTATGTCGATATATTTTGTGCTCCGGATGTAACAGAGATGGATCCGATACACTCTCTAAACTAATTGAAGGTGATTTTGCAGATAACTTACGAATATTTTCGTGACTTTGATGTACTCCATCCACATCATTATACTCCTCAACGGTTGGGTCGTTAAACTCTTGATTCAATTGTTCATCTTTGGCTATAGTAAACAGTCTTTGTTCTATCGGTTGTCCCGATTTCAACCGATTAGGTGTTGATGTTTGACAGTTGTCTTCATTTGTCTGTGCAAAGGAAGTAGTCTCAAAACATCGAGGAAGTGAACCACTCTTTTGGCAAGAAGTGGCAAAATGTTGTTCTTGCCTTTTAAGCCAAATGGCTGGTGCTATGGGACTCATCTCATCTAAACTATTACTTGTAGGTAATTGTGAAGATGACGATGAATTCGACGATAAATTCAATGTATTTGGTCTTTCGTTAACTTTCTTTAATGATGTCTGTGGTAAGTCAGGTGCCAGAGATTGTCTCAATGAGAATGAGTGCTGTAATATAGCCTTAGTTCGAGTCATTCCTGTAAATGATTGGACTCGACGTACGATATTATTAGAGAGATTATGATTTGAGTAATTAAAGAGAGCATTAACGGGTAACACAACATATTTAGAGTCATCCGACTGTGAAGATGAGGCCATTGATAAATCACTTGAACCCGAAGATAAAGAAGTACTCGTTCTATTGTAAAGAGTTCCAGAGCTGGTCGACATCTGAATACTAGAGTCTTCACTTGAATCCAATCTGTTATTATTATTAGATGACATATAAAAGGTTACGTATTCGGGTTCAGTATCATTGACCACACCATTCATTTGGTTGATATCATGTTCTGTGGTAACGGCAAGTCTAGGTCTTCTTAACTCATACATGTTGTTCGCGTCATTCATCAGATTTAAAGATTCGTTATCTGTCTTCTCTTCTATCACCCCCTGTGTTACGACTTCATCTGATTCAACAATTTTGTTAGTAATTTGAGAACCGTTATCACTGTACGGTATATCTGTCATAGCATTTATAGAACTACTCTTATGAAAATTGTTTAAATCAATTGGTCCCAGACTTGATCGCCTTTCATTATCTTCACTGGTTTTACCATTGTTATCATTGCGGGCATTTTCATCATGACTAGAGCTACGGGAACGGCGCCAACCATTATGACTATCCATATAATGAATTTTCTTTAATGATTTTCGTAATTTAAATCCTTTGCTTAAGTTATGGTTAATAGCGGACTCAGATTTTCGTCTATTTTCTTGTTTGCGTCTCTCGAGATACTCGGGTGCACTCAATGTCCGTTTGCTATGTGAATGACTTTTGTCTGACTGGCCATTGGCTGTCTGTCCCAATTGCATAACTATTTGTTTGGCGTGCGATGGAATCACTACATCATAGTTCTCAAGAATCACTCTCTTTATTAAGAGACACCATTCCCTCTTGTGTTCCATATTTCGGGCCTGAAATGTGTACTGATCTCTGGGCTGATCAAATGGGATGGCATGAAAGCAAAGTGGTTGACCCTGAATGCTCTCAATTAGCATTAGGTTTGAACACTAGTTAAAAGATTTCAAGATTAATATTTTATTTAAATAATATATTCATTAAAATGCATCTCATTTTGAATCTTAATTATCATTCTTAAAACAAAAGCTCTATTTTAGCTATTATTAAGACAAACAATGGTTACATTAATTTCATAAAATTTCAAAGATTTAACTGATATTATGAATATATTGGAGACACTTGTGACCAAATTATAACAAATTCACTAATTATAACAAGCATTGGGAGGAGTGAGCTATAAAACAGTTAAATAACCAAAAAATTATAAATTCATAGCAAAACATTTTAAGCCTGTTTTAAGCCTCTAAAGCCATACTGACCTCCATTTAATACTTAAATAATGCTAACTTAGATTCAATCTTAAATAAATGTATCAAAATCTCCATAACTACTATTTAAAATAAAAATAATTTAAAATTATTGATATTTTTTATAAAAAAAAATTAAATAAATAAAAAATATAAATCAAGTAACGGTAATTTAATTAACAAGATTATCTTAACAACAAATTATAATCGCCCTAAACTTAAAATTATAACAATTTATAGTAAAAATCAAAATAAAAGATTTTTCATATTTTTAATAACAAATTTGTAATTTTAAATCAGCTTAATATTCAAAAAACAAAAATTATTGGACTAATAATTAACTTATATTTTTATCAAAATCTTATTTTCAAAAATTGCTTAAAGCTTTAAAAGAGAATACTATTGATACAAATAATTAATATTAAAATACAGTTGTATTACGAAAGTGTCAGTTATTATATAAAAAATGTTTTGGTTATGAGTTCCTAAAACCGGGACATCAAGCGGTTTGGATGTTTGGCTATTAACAGGTGTATATCAGTGCTAATATTCAGTGCACACACACACACACACACACACACACACATATATATATACTATGCTCATCATCGATGAACTCAATAACAAACAATTAGGACATAAAATCAAATTATGTTTATATTTATTAACAAATCAACAATTTTTATACTTTTAATCATTGACGCTATATTTAATAAATAAATACTTTATACATATTTATTTACATATAAGCAAATGTAATTTATATAATACAAATTAGAAATGTTTATTTTAATGAATTGTAAACATTAAAGAAATTGTTTAGATTAGATTTTTACAATAATAAAAGTATCATATAATATGATGAAAAAATATTAATTAATAAAAATATATAAATCTTGTCTCCTTATTATATATTATACTGAATTAGTCCAAACTTATCAATGATATATGTGCTAAATGTACTAAATATCATAAAGTACCAGAAATACTCTAATGCATCTTAAATTGTCTAATAATAATAATAATAATTTAAAATTAAGATAATTCATCTCAAATAACAAAATATTAACAAAGTGTTTATATATTATAATTAAATATTCCGGTCTATAATAGCATGAGATAAGTAAATATTAGGGTATTTGTAACAATTGTAGCGTACAATCAAATAATTGGAAAATAAGAACAAAAATGGATAATTAGATTCAAAAGTGTGTTAAAAAACCAAAGCTAACGGTGCGGCTAAATGTTTGCTAAAAAAGTGGTTTAAATGAGAGGAATGTTAATGAATAGCATAAATGGCTTCAAAATTAATTTATTGAAACTGAACTCAATTTATATAGAGAATTGGGAACACTTTTTTGGTTGAAGTAATGTATAACACATCCATTTGTTTATCACCAAAATAGCTAAATAGAGCCCAAAGAGTAAAAACAATAATTTATTGATGACTTACCAGTATATGAGTCTTATAGCTGAGGGAACCGTCGTCTTTCTTTTTGGTTATTAATAGCATTCTGTCGAATAAAAATAGATGACGACAACCCTTTGCTCCTAACATACGAAACGATCCCTCACATTGAAGATCACCATAAGTGGTTAAATCCTGGCCCTAATCACAAATCCATCATAATTTGAAATTTGAAACTATTATTATAAATGTTTTTACTTATTGTTATTATAAATGTTGACTTACGGGCCAATTATATAGTAAGCTCTGGATCTCTTGTACTCTGACCGCATGTTCGTGTTTGCGCTTCATATCATTGATATGAATAGCAATATTTGTCATAACAGACAGCGCATCCCTGATATCTATATAACCCTCCGTCTCTTTGTCCATACATTTAACGATATTCTATTAGTAATAATTAAGTAAAAATAACAATTAATTAATTGTCTTAAGTTTGTCAAATAATGACATACCTGTAACAATAGATGATATTTCAATATCCTTTGGACGGGCTTTAGTAGGTATGATCCTAATGGAAGACTATGTTTTAAGGAGAGCTGCCTTTCCCTAAATAGTTCAGCCCTATCTGTGTTTCTCATCATTTCAGTTAATAAGGACACAGTACTAAACGAAAAAAAAATTTAAAAAAGAGTTAATTATTATAGTTTTAATGAGTTTTCATATATAGATTACAAGTGTTAAATAAAATTCATACAAACCGGGGATAGTTTGTACAGTAATGCGTGTATATATCGAATCCCGAACTCTTGTCTATAAAGCATTTGGCAATTAGGACTACATTGAGACCACATTCCTCTAATTTTTCTAAAAAATCTGAATTAAATAAATTTATATCTTCTATATTACTGAACAAATTGATAATTTCTTGAGAACTGATCTTTGTTTCTTCCAATGTCTTCATAGGCTCTAAATATCCCTATTATTTAAAATTATTATAAATATTAAAACATTTTAAGTATAGTTTTTAAAATATTTCAATTTAAAATCAAAGTTTATGTACAGTATTTCCTTAAAAATGTAATGCCATATTTAATCCGTTAATTTTTTAAATAAAAATAAATATCCTAATACTCTAAATAGTAAGTATTTATATTTTGTATATTTATTTTGAGAAATATTAAAACATGTTATTTTAACACATATACTATACTAATACTTTCAATTAATATCAAATTGTAACAAATATACTCTTTAGTTACGTTCAGAAATTATCTTTTATTTATGTAATTTAAAATAATTACTTAAATTAAATTTTAAGATTTTATATGATTCTTACCAATAATAGATTATAATTACTAATATTTTTTAATTAATAAAATAAAGTATATACTGCAGTATACACTGTATACTATACAGTACTAAAACAGTATATACTGTAAATTACATTTATACGTGTGTTTGACACACTGTGCTGTACTTTAAATTGAAAAATCACATCTCTGTTAAAATAATATTTTACTTGATATCACATAACAGCTGAACAATAAAATAAAAACTTATTTAAGGTATATTTAATTAGAAATCACTGTATTATTATTTTTCAGTTTAAAGTTTAAATTAATTGAGACAAAACTCTAAAATTTTTAAAAATATTATATTTAGGTTTTAAGTCTAATAATAATTAGAAAAATTTAAATATTAATAAATTATAACTAATTAATATAATTGCATATCAAAACCAATTAGTATAATTGATATTATAAACTCATGCAATAATTTTTGCAAAATTTATAAATTAGTTTATTTTTTAATTAGAACTCAAAACAATTTAGATAATAAAAAATATTTTGTTGTTATATTGCAGTTTAATTTTATTAAATGCAACTATATTTGTTGGGCTATAAAATGTTTCATACAAATCAACATTGTATGTAATACTACATTTATAGTGTGAATTTCATACTTGTATATTGCAATAATAAATATATAATTAATTTTATTTCTCACTTTGGAGACACAAAGTTTTAAGATTTATTATAATAAAAATATAACTTATAAATACAGCTAAGCATCAAATAAACATACAATGAATGACCTAATCTTTCATTTGCAATAATACTTATTACTTATAAGGAATATAAAAATATATAAAGCAATTGATTAAAAATCAATGCCATTTACAGATGGTGTAAAATTTTCACAAAAACTAATTTTATTTAAAAATTTTATCTACTTTATTTATTTATTTATTGTTAATTCAACCTTATAAATTTTTTATTTTATTTAATAAAATGCATAATTCACAAAATAATGATAATTAATAACATTGATAATTCTAGCAATTGATATAAAGTTTAGTTCATTATAATATGTTTGTATTAATATTATTTCATACATAACAATAAGTTATTTAAAAACATCTGAAAAATATTTGTGAAATTAAAGTGTGATTTTTACGGGTCGAGTGTTAGCCACTATATAAATATTTTTAAAGTGTTTGATAGGGAAGAGTTGTATTTAATATATCAAATATATATTGAAAATACAGTACAATGAGTGACCTTAAGATTGCAATAAAGAGAGACGAGAAACGAGAGACAAGTTTTATAAATGAATTGATTTCTGATGTGATGTGAATGTGACTAATGCTTAACAGGTTAGGGATTGTTCACCAATAGTACGGAACAACAGTATTATCAATGCTTTATATTTACGATATGACAGTAACTAACATACGAGGAAACACTTCAACTACCACTTCGTATACTTATAGCATCGGATCCATCAAAACAGTGACAAATCAACATTTTTAATATTTAACTTCATTTCCAGTTATAATCAAATGTATAATATATTTCTAAATCTATATAAAACATATAAATATATTACTACCTATAATATAATATATTTTGCATTTCAAATAAAATTTGTTTGTTTTAATTGAGTAACAATAACTATGTATAATAAAACATATTTATTAGTCATATATTGAATCATAATAACTAGGAATACAAGTATCAATTAAAAATATAAGATTTAAATTATAAAACAGAAAAATTATAAATTAAATTATATATTAGAAACAAAATCTATATATAAAACAATTACCTACTAGTATCTGATTTTTAATTAATTTTTATATATTTAATTCACTGCCACTAATTGTATATTGAAAATATAAATACAATTATAATTATAAACAATTTGTATGCTATAGTATTTACATTACTGTAAATAATTTATAATTATTTAGTTATGTATTTCATTGTTTTCTACTAAACAATATCATTAAACTATAACATTAATTTCAGTATTAAATAAGAAACATTCAATAAAAATATAATTTATTAAAAAATATAATTAAAAAATTATTAAAATTTATAATTAAATATAATGGATATAATGGACATAATAGACATACTTTTACGATTTCTTGCATATCATTCACATATTGGCGTTCAGTTTCAACGATCTCGAGGACAACCCTTTGAATATGACTTAAATTTTGATCCAAAGTATTATTATTATTATTACTAGGAATCGGTGACTGTTGTGTAGTGGATGTGCTCTTGAGTTGGTTTGATCCGACATTTAAAGAGCTACAGCCATTCACTTTGGATCTAATCATACGAATGATTCCCAACGAGTCGTCGTCGGTGTCTTCCGCGTCATCCAAGCTCTCAATACTCGCCAGATATGACTTCTTTGTGTGGACTGTCGGTGACTATCATTGAAATTACATTTCATTATACATCTTATATTAATAATAGATATTTATAAACAAATCACTCAAACTCTAAGCAAATGCAAAATAATTGATGTGTTTTTAAATAATAAATTGAAAATTAATGACAATTATATAAATCAATATATTATCGATAAATTGTGAATCAATTGAATAACACTTACTTCACAATTAGACAACATTTCATTTCATTATAAACATAATAATAATAATATCACCGCATTTCACATACATATGTAGTATATGTCAACTATTTTATCAACACTTAATTCATTCAAAATCACATTATTATTATTATTATTATTATTATTACTATTACTATTGATATTATTACATATTAATACTGTTTACACATTTCAAGATTAAAAAATATTAAAAATTTATATATAAATATAAATATATAAATTAAATCTATGTTTGTATTAAATCATATATAAAATAGAGTATAAATGTTACGAATAGTAGTGTATGTGTTATACAGTAGTATAGCGTAAATGTATAGTAATATGAATATAGAGAGTAGTATTGCATTCATTTGTAATCAAATACAACACATAAACACATCCCTTGACTGCCATTGAACTCAAAGGCAAACATTTACTTACATTATATCCAATGTTTACGACTCATCGCTTATTATATCAATTGTCTTAAATGTTATATAATTATAATTATAAATAATAAACCATTAAATTACCTGTATTTGTCTCAATGTATACATTGAAAATATTATGTTAAATCATAAATTTATCGATAATATCAATAATAAATTGAAATATTTTTATTCAACAAATGGACGCATCATTTATTGTTAGCAAAACAACATATTTTGAAGAGCAGTCCATTGAGAGAAAACTTGGATTTATATTATAATTTATATTATATTATAATATAATATACATTAATATACTGTATATATAACCAAATGTTTTGCTATTTTACTATAAAGTATCAAATAATCGTTTTATATAATACAGTATAACATCACTTATGAACTCACTTTTCAATTCAATCGACGAACTTATGAACTCACTTTTCAATTCAATCGACGAACTCTCTCTCTCTCTCTCTCTCTCTCTCTCTCTCTCTATAATAATCTTTAAAATGACATGAAGTTTGAATGATAAGATAAAGTTGAGTTAACTTATAAACATTTTTGTTAATAGAATAACCCTCCCTGCCCACCCCACCCCACCCCACCCCCATCATCAATGATAAATGTGATGTCCACTTAATATGAAACAATATTAATACTTATTTAACATTAATAACAATTCAATTGTTGTATATTTTATTTGTAATTTAAATTATATTTTCAAAAGAATATTTTTGTATTGATATAAATTGATATTAAAGTATTAAAAAAAAAATAATTATACAACTATTAACCGGTAGTTTTATTTTCATATTAATGATAAAATCACAGACAAATTATTGTATATAATTGTATACAATATATGTTGAATTTATTTTCACAATTTATATTAACAAATATGAAAATTTACATTAAATTTTGTTTATATATCTATCAATGCATAGATTTTAATATAAATGGCTAAAAATCGTGCTATAAATATAGCCTATAATTAATATACAATAAAGTATAGGACACTAACTGTCTAATACATTTAAATAACATTTTTTTGTTGATATTTTTTGGTTTATCCCTTTATCATATTATAGTACAATTTATGTTTTATTCCTCTATTTAAATATGTAAAGTTAAAATGAGTTATAAAAATTATTTTTAACTATTTTAAAAATAAGCAAATCTAACATATTTTTGAATTATTATTAGTCTTTTTGTCATTTTAGTGTATTAGACAGTTACTGATATAGGATATATTATTTTATATATTTTGACAATTTGAATATTAGACAATTAAAAAACATATAATATATAAAAAATCAGAAGTAATTTAAACTAAGTATAACAATGTTAATTGATAAATGAATTTGAGTGATAGTTGAATGAATAATAATTTGTTAATTGATAAATAATGACATTAATTTAAAACCAACATAAACTTCAGTTACCGTATATTGTATTACGATATATACAATTCAAAAATTATTAGTTACTTATACAAGTAGTTTATCTATTAACTTATAAACTTATGTTTCTCAACAATTAAATTTTTATAATTAATTTAATAAAATTTCAATTGTAACTAATACTCATAGAGACCGTTATTTGACCTTATAATTAAAGTCATTAGAAAAAATTGAACAATATAAATATTAAATACAATAATAATTATAAACATTTTTATCTTAATAAATTTAAATTAATCATAAAATATTAATTGTTAAGAAACATACGTTAAAACCTTAGATTACGTACCGGTAGAAACATATGTAGATTAGAGGCACTCAAAGCAATTCCTGTATTGATGAAAGTTTTCATTTACAAATCATCCCTAAAATTTAATTATATTTACAATAAAGTTTTTTTTCTTTAAAAAATTATTTACATTAATTTTTTTATTAATATATATATAATAAAATTGAAAAATTATAAGTCATCACTAAAGATATATAAATATACTGTATCAATAAATGATTAATTAAAATTAATAATAATAAATGAGTTCACCTCCCGGGCCATTGAGAATTTTTATCAGTCAAGGGTACATATATAACACCCATAAGTGTTTCGCGTTTGATTGAACCGTCGGACAGTTTGTCAATTTGCTCCAACATCTGATTATAACCTTCTCTACCAACTGGAATAATGAGTCGACCTCCAGGTTTTAATTGATCCACTAACTAGTTATTTAATATAAATTAAATTAATAATTCAATTTAATATAAAAAATCTTAAAAATAATATACAGCTTGTGGAAGAACAGGAGCAGCGGCACCTAAATCACAACATTTAATACATGTGTCAATAGAGATAATCAAATGATTTAAATATTTGAATAAAACGTACCGACATGTATGGCATCATAAGGTGCTTCAGATGGATACCCAAGCCTTCCATCGCCAGCTTTTGGGTAAACAATTGTACGATAACTTTAATAAACTAAATAATAGAAAACAAATTAAAAAATGACAAACCAATCAATTTGGCTCTTCCGGACTCAATAAGGTTTGGCTGATCTTTCTTTATATTATCAATCGATAAATTTACTAATTCTTGGATGTGGTCAATACCAATGGCTTTACCACTTGGACCAACCTTTCAAATAAATTAAATAATTTTTTCAAACATTTTTAATACTCATTAATTTCTAACCATTAATGCCATACAAGCCGTCAAATATCCCGAACCCGAGCCGACATCCAATGCTTTGGCCCCTAAAGAGTTAATAATTAAAACTTATTATAATATGTGATAATTACAATGATATTGATATCAATATTGATAATTAGATACCTTCGACCAAATTATCTTTAAGACATTGAAGAGCGTGAGCGTGCTTTGCAATGGTTAAGACATTTGTTAATAATTGATAGCAAACAACAAATCATTAAAATTAATACCATATGAGGAGCACTGATAGTGACAGCGTATCCAATAGTTTGTGGTGAATCCATATATGGATTGATTGGACAATAGTTAGACCGATCAACACTACTCATGGCTCTCTCGACTCTACCATCTCTGATGATACCATTCTCTGTAATATCAATGACAATCAGTAAATCAAAGAAATCATTGATAACACAATCCTATTGACAATACTTTTCAGATTCATAATCATCTCTGCATTGTTTCTGCCGTGTGATCTCCAGGCCATTGTTCGGTACAATACAGTGGCCAACAATAGAGGTAATGTACAGTAAAGTGATGTCTTAGACAATGTGCTAAATATCATCAAAAATATTGTCACAAATATTAGTTTCAATTGTTGTTTAGCTCTTCACTTGAATGTCTCAACATTGGAGTCAAACTCTATTAACTGCTAAACAATAATACAATAAGTTATTTGAAAACAAACTCATATCACGTGATTTCAAAATGTTTTTTTTAATCAATTTTTGTTTAATTTTTAATTAGCATTAAATTAATACAAATATTAATTAATTAGTGATAAAACAGTTTTGCAATAATAGCTATTAATTAAACTGTAGTTATTGTCCATAAATGAAAGTTCGGGCCAGATTTCGGGCAATTGCTAGCCGTAGAATATCTTGTCGTTGTTGAAGAAGTTGAATATTACTGTCATCTTCTTTACAGTTTTCACCGAAACTCAACATATCTTCAAGTGATGCCAACAATTGTGAAGTTTGCTCTGAATTAAAGACAATATCCTGTGTTTCCAATAATGGCAATGAATCCAATAGTAATCTACTAATGAAGAATTTTGGCGCTATATTTGACACTAAGAGTGTGATCAATAATTGTGCCGCACTTTCCAATTGTGAGTCTTTAAGGAACTGATGAAACTCATAATATTTTGCTAAGAATGTCATGCGATCACTGATTACCATAAATTTTCCCGAATTACTTAAGACATCTTCATCGGGGAATTCTCTAGTTTTGTTGTAATGGTCGAGAAATTTATCTGCGATATGATTAGTAAGCGCCGGATCTTCACTTCTTAGGGCCCAAAATAAAGCCGAACCCAATCTGTTTCTGGAAAGCCATTTACGGGACAATACTTTACAAACGGATTTTGTTATGAAATCTAATCCCAATTTGTTTGCGAAGTGAATCACTTTATGAGCACTCGATTCTTCAGTTATAGCAATCCTTTGAAGATTGATATCAATATATTGTAAGCCGTTTTCCAAACAATGAGACAAATAGTCGATTCCAAACGTCCAAAGATTATTGTATGACATCAAAGAGTTTGCGTATTCAATGACAAAGAATTCACGGAATTTTGTCGGATATTCAACGGAATGTAACGGCAATTGATTTGCATTATATAAGAGATCGACTAAATGGGTGGCAAACCACCAGTTGTCGTCCCAACAACAGGTGCTCTCTTGAATCATTTGCATCAAATCATAACTAAGAGCTGCTGTAATCAGTAAATCCAAACTATTGTCAACATTGTTCTGTCGCTTAAAAGTGTATAAATCAATACATATATGACAATAGTCAGCCAAACTTTTCTCTTTAATACAAGGATCAGTTAACAGCATATATGACACCATTAAGTGATACCAAGACTCAAACAAATGTAACACTTGTTTAAAGGCATCGTCATAACCATAAAGAAGTCGAGCTATTAATTTAAGTTTAATATTTCCATCAAAGATACCATCCGTGAGCTTTTGATCGCAATCTTCTTTCCAGGTTTGCCACCGAAGATAAAACTCATGCAATAAGTAATTATTTGAAATAATTGGCATTTTTTGGATCAAATCACGTAAAGCAGTGAATTCTTGTCTTTGTTTATCTGAATGCAAGTCTAATAAAAGTATAGCATTTTCGGTGTCGCCTTTTAACAGGAATGATATGACAACATCCCAATAGTTGGGATCAATGTTAGGCATTTCACAAGAGGTCACACGAGCGGTCATTTCATTGTTTTCGGTAAAATGCCATTTACTCCAAACCAACAATTGGTTCAATAGATATCCATTGCTTTGAATGTCAATGAATAAGATTTCACATAAATTCCACACTATTTCCATCTGCGACAACATATGACTTAACGCTAATGTCTTGTCATTTGTGTCTGATTTGTCCAAATTGTTGACTAATTTGTAAAAACACGAGTGAATTACCGATCGATATCTTCGGCTACCTTTGATTAGTTCATTCTTAGACAGSGCATCACATTTGGTCGATAAACGTTGTAATGACTTAAATACAGACATCGATTCACTCAATAAAGACCGCGAGTGACTGTTGCTGAAGATGTTAGGATCAACACATCGATAGTGAATCAACTGATTGTCGGCTTTAGGGTCACTGTATGTCAACTCATTGGCAAACGACCACTCAATCAATGGTCGTCGGCGACCAACACGTGTTGACGACTGCATTGTCTAACTTGTAATCTCTTGATATAACCAATTGATCTACAATTATATCACCGATTATTTCAAATATTTTCAACAAAACAATGTGTTTATTAATTACAAGTATTTAGTATTATTAATGCTGTCATTGAATTACATTATAAATTAGTCTATTTTATTGTTATAATACTAAATGCAATCAAATAATAAAATAGCGCTAAAATGTCAACAATAATAACGTTAACTGTAAATAAACTTTACATACATTGTATTACTGAATAAATTTAGTAAAATTTATAGGTTTTATAATAAACAAAGTTATGTTTTTAAAGTTTTTTAAAAGTAAAATATTGTATTTAATACTGTAATTAATCATTTCATATATTTTACATTTAGTGACCCGAAGCTCATTACTAGTGTTAATATCGACTCAAAGTCCAAATTGTTTTAAACTAATAATTAGTAGTAATTGTGATATTTAATAAAAGTATAGTATATTTCCATATAATTATTATTCTGTAAATAATATACTCTTAAAACCTATGGAAACCCATATAATACCAGCGATCAACATGTGGTGACAATCAGTTATGCAATACATACGATACTATAAGAGACATTTGCGTAATTTAATTGACATTTAATGCAATCCTAATCCTCTTTTGTAAAATTTAATGTATATGTGTGACCGGTATTTATAATTTGTAAGACAATCTTTGAAAAAAAAATTATTTTAACGAATAAATTTTATTTGTTTGATTGGAAAATAAAATGCTAAACATTTTACGTTAAATTTTATGAATTATTATCCACTTTAATACCAGTTAACAAATAGCCACTATTGGCACTCATAGTCATGTGAGGACGTGTCCTATCGGGCAAAACCTGATAGTTCCTGAGCCACGTCTCTGTTATCTTCAAAAATACGGCTTTCTTTTTAAGAGCTGAATAACAATGAGCTAATGGCTCGACATAAGCACTGAAAACAGCGAACGGACGCGAATCGGACAACAAGTCAATCAAAATAAGCAAAATATTTAACGGATCATAAGTTTTGCTTAAATATAAGAGTCCGTCCATGTCTTTAGGTCTCAATATTTCGATAGCTTTTTGTGCCTCAATTCTTCTGACAGCTCTTCGCATATTTCTATTGTTTTCTGATACAGATATATCAGATTCTGAACTCATTTTTGTCGTTTCACTTAATATATTGTTTGATACATCAGTACTGCAAGAGATTTCATAATTTAAATTTTGTGATAAATTATAAATTTCGTTGATTTGAAGTCCAAATAACATATTATTAATGATATCATTGGGCAGATTAAGAGCATCCACTGCCTGTCTATAAGTAGAGACGGGACCTACTTCTGTGTAAATCTGAACCACAGAACCGGTACATCCGAGTCGTTCAATGATAGCGGCCGTCAAAATACCCAAATTAGTGTCCAATACTATATATTTTCGACCCGACATTACATTACATATGGAAAGCATTTGCGACAGAGAATCGATTCGAAGAAAACTAATAAATAAATAAAAGTAATAAAAATTAATAATAAAACAATTGAAACAAATATTGAGATAATTAGATAAATACTCGATCTTTTGTGGTCCGCGAGAAAAATACATTTCTGTTAATAATCTGACGTTTGGTCTCAATATTGTCATTAAATTTGAATACTTTTTCTGTTTTTTCTTCAAATACTTTTGTTGTGCAAAACTGGTCTTTTGCTCGAAAGTGGAGCAGTTTTTCACAAGATTTTCAATGATTTGATCACTCGATGCATTGCTTTTGAGTACTTCGATGTCATCTCTCGACAATTTCTGTGACTTTCCGTCGTCTAAAACAAATCGATTGTCTTTTTTATCGTCCGTTTCTGAGGACACGAGCGGCAAAACAGCCGATTTTTCACGCAATTTCTGGACATTCACTAACTCCAAGTGTCGGTCTTTGTTGACCTCAAATGTTGAACCAAACTTTTGACCAAAGATTGAATTCAAAAAGATTTTCTGTTTTCCTAAATAGACAGGTCTTTGAAAAGAAATGATGAATTGATTGATAATAAAACTACATTAAAGACATTACTTATCCATTTCTGCTTTAAACAGACGACACGACTCCTTCTCGTAAGTTCTTCTGATGATAACATAATTGCCAACACATATGACATTACAATTGTCATCCATTGTGTGTCCAAATAATTTTGTCTAAGAAGTCAATCAAATGGTAAACAAAAACACGTGTTATGTGTTGACTGTGTTTACAGTAAGTGTTGTCACAATTGACACATCATTTGTGTCACACATTAAACACATTAACTCTCATTCAATGCATTTATACATTAAGTCTGTGTTTATATTGTTTTTGTGTTTAAGAGACTAATTGTCACCAAATGTCTTGTAATGGATGATCACTTTGATGTCTGCGTTGGTCTATATTGTGGACGAACTATATATCAACAAATGAATGGCACGTCTTATAGTGATTGCGGTGTAAGTGATATTGAAATTAATATTTTTTTTTTGATTGATTTAATAGTAATTAGAAATAATTTTTCTTAAAAAGTCATGTCTTCGCGGATATCGTGTGGACAATGGTCTGTGTTATGAATGTCTTGAGAGACCAGAGTTTTACGAGTGGTTATACATAACTTTTATGGCATTTGCTTTAGTCATAATTGAGTGGTATTTGACTGAACAATGTGTTAAAAGATGTCAAATGACTTTTGATGTCTTATTTTTACATTTATTTGTTTTAATTGAAGTTATTATCTCATTATTGGTCACACTTTTGGTGACCGAACCGATCGGTTCATTTGTAATCAATACCTGTCGACCAAAACGTTTATCTGATTTTTACACCTATTTATTCAATCCATCGCCGGATTACAAAACAATCACTTATTGTACTCAAGAAGCAGTTTATCCGTTATATTCAATGATATTTATATTTTATGCATTTTCTTTAGTTTTTCTTATATTTCGTGTTTTTTATTTAAAATTAATATCATTTTTGTTGAAATTAATTATAAAAAGTGATTTTCTTCAAGATTTAGTCAATGATACAAATACGACAAAAACAATATATTTATCTCTTTATGTGATTCCCGGCCTATCCTTCATTCACGCTGTCTTTTGTGGATTAATTTGTATGTATTTGAAGACAACATTTGTTTAATGTCACAGATATTAATTGAATGTCTCTATTGTTAAGATTATTCATTTCCATATATTATAATAATCGGTTCAATAATCTCAGTGGCCGTTCATATGGCTTCCCAATTGGGTGAGTCCTTGTAATGATATTATATGGTTTGTTGTCCTAAAACTTACTTTAAAATGCAGACCAAAGGCCTTCAAAGTTATTTAAGTCATTGTTTCAGAAGAGGAACTGTGTTATCATAAGTTGTCATTGGATTGTCCATATTTATGGCATCATATCATTAACACAATTAACAAATCTATCCATACATTTACCACTGTTATGCTTAGCTCCCGTTCCTACTATTTTTTATATAATTACCGCTAAGTTTACCGATCCAAACAAATTGCATCCKGATTAATATAATTAATTATTTGTTAAAGTACCATTTTTATTTAAACTTTTATTTGTAAAATTATTTTTTTGGCACAAAAATAACATTATATGAATATAAGCACAAAATCATTTACACAAAATCATTTACAAACAAACAAAAAATTACCGGTAATACAGTTTATTATATGATTGCTTTTATACTATTTATTATATGATGAAACAATCGTATAATAAACTGTATTAATTTTTTGTTTGTTTGTAAATGATTTTGTGCTTATATTGATATATATAGTTAAGTTTTTAATTATTAAATTTTTATAATAAGTGTAAAATATTTTAACATTGAATAAATCTCGTAAATTTTACAAATTCAAATATAATAATAGATATAATAAACAAATAAAATAAATTATAATAACTTACAATAACTTTTTAGATAAATAAAATATACAACAATTTTATAATTTGTCTACCGGTAAGAATAATTTAAAATTTCATAAAATGATATTTTAGTATTTTAAATGCCACATACATACAATTTGATAATATTAATTTAGTTTACAATATAATTAATTAATTAACTGTATATATGAAAGTATATAATTGCTACCTATTTATTATGAAACAATTTATGATCATTCAATAAAAAATAATTATATACTTTCATATAAATTAACATATCATATACAATATTAACAAAATTAATATAATACAGTACTTAATTTGTTTGTCATAACTACCAGTTTTATACTATAAACAGTTATTTAAAAATTAATTAAATTAGTATAATATAATCAAACATTTATATCAGTTAAAGCGTTTTTAAAATCAAATTATTTAGAAATTAATATAAATTTTAATATTAGTTTTAAATGATATTTTGCTTATTAGACTTTAGACTATTAAATATGATTTTATATTTAAGTTAATTTAAAAGATTTGGACCAAATACCAAAAACAATGTTTTCAATAAATACATTGCAAGTTAGTATTGAAGCACTTTAATATAATTAAAACACTTAATAATATTTTTTAATTTATTAGTTAACTATCAAACTATAAGATATAAGAACTGAATTTCAAAAATCTAATCAATACTTTGTTTGGACCCATCTTTACCTAATTGTAACCAAACTTTTACGATTAATAAATGATTGATATATTATTTATTATTGTTTTTTAAAGTTGAACCTCTTATACTAGATAATGATTTAGTCTAATTTTATTGTGGATAAAATTACTAAATTAGCAACCACAAATTAACCAATTGCAATACACACTATTAAACAAACTATTAATATATAATTTAAAAGCACTTTAAAATCGATAAGTTTGGCAGCAATTTGGTAATAGTTTGGTTAATATGTTATACACTCTTATTATATTTTAATATTAGTTAAAGAAATATTTGTATTTAAAAATCTGAAATTTAAAAATCACAAAAATTATGATTAAATATAAGCTTCTTAGATGTTATTAATATCATAACAACTTATTATTTGTAATGATTATCTTTTTTAATAAACATTTGTGCAGTTTTGATATTTGTCAGCAACAATACATCGTTAATATAAGTATTTGGAAGCAATTAACAAACAAATTACAATAATTAATATAATATGGTCTATATATCGATTAAAACATAATATTAAAACAATTATTAATTAAAAATTTAAGTTTAGAATAGAAGCTATAGCTAAAAATCTAATTCAGTGCAATACCACTTAAATTATTTAATTTTACGGTTAATTATTAAATTATATAACAATAACATCATATTTTATTTATAGTTGAATAAGTTCATTTAAGTTAATAATAGAAAACAAATATATTATATTAATTATTTATTTAATAACTAATCTCTATTAATTATTTAAAAGCTCATTAATTAAAGTTATATTCAATAATATTAATTTTGGTCATCTATTTTGGCATCGCTTTTGAGTAATTTTGTTTAAGCATTGTTTGACTACAGTATTATAAGATAAATCAATAAATAAGATTATCTAACATTGACTGTTGTATTATTTAATACAGTACTAACAAATGACTAGAAATAAATTGATCAAGTTAAAATGTTAATTAATTAAATCAAAGAATTAACAAATATCTACCTAATTGTTTAATAAGTAATAAAATGCTTTATGTAAATACTGTAATATTAATTCACACCCGAATTAGACTATAATTAATAATAATATTAAATACTTACCGTTAAATTGTGTTTAATTTCCCATATGGAAATGTCTAAGTTATGGGAAATAATGCGAGTTTTTTCCCATATGGAAAAAATAGTTTTTTTACTTTGTATAATAATTTAGTGCTTAATTATTACCAAATGTGGTAAAAAATACGAGTTTTTGAATTCCATATGTGAAATTATACACGATTTTACGGTAATAATAGCTAACATTCATCATTTATATAATATTTACAATTAAATCTATTTTACTAATTAATACACATTTAATTATTTTAATATTTTGTAAATTATAAAAACATTAGTTTTAATGTTCAATAATTGCAATTAAATTTAGTTGTAATTATACTATAAATATATAACTTAGAATCGATAGTCAATAAATGTAAATTGTTTGACAAATTGTCTTAAATTTATAATATGGACTATAAATTAAATTAATTGGACGACCAGAGTATTTGTTAATTATTCTAAATTAATTGAATATATCATACAATGTATTAGAAAACAATTGACTGATTGATGACTATAATTATAATAATGTATTTGCAATTTATAAGCAATCAATTAACTTATCTTTTTTATCATGACTTGCAATCAATTAGATATAACACTCCTTTTTTGCGGCCAATTTATATTCAATTTCTGCATTTTTATAAATATCCAGAGCCTATAATTTAAAAATAAATTGTGATAATTGTTATCAATTGTTGTTAAATATAATTTTTAAGTGAACCATACATTTTCCGTTTCCCTCTCCAAGTCTTGTATTTGTTTTTCGTGTAATTTTTTGAGTTTTTCTTTTTCTTTATTTTGTTTCATTGCTGCTGTCTTTCTCTCGTCGATAAACTTTTTAGTATTATTACTATTTTTTTCTCTTAAACGTCTCTCTCGTTCTGCTTTATTGCCTAATGTCTTATCATTGGAAACTTCTTTAGCTGTTTCTACCGATACTTTTGCTTGTTTTGCTTTCATCTCTTTGTTTTCTTTTTCAAAAATCATTTCTAATTGTTTTATTTGAATACTTTGGTTAACATCTAACAATTTGCGCAAAGCATCGCCCTGTTGTAAGATATGACTCTTTAGTAGATCCCATTCCTCTCTATGATGTTTTTCAACCATTTCACTCCATTGTTTCATCTGATGTGCGACCAATTCTTTGACATTCGGATCATTGGCGATGTCATCACTTTTAGTAATTTTCATCATCTTATCGATGGCAACACATTGAGACTTCTGAACGCTATTCTTCTCTTTTTGTTGTTTTTTCTTAAGTGAATCAAATTCTTTTTGATGTTTTCTAATTGTTCTTAAAAACAATTTTTCATTTTTAAGTGATTCTAAATTAATGGCTTCAATCTTATATTCTTCTTTCTTTGCTTCTTCTTCTCGTTGTTGTTTAACAAGCGCTACGTTATGTGTTTGTATATCAGTCTCTTCAATACCCATTGCCTTCATTTGTGCGATTCTCTTCTCCTGTGCCGACAGGAAAGCCCGTGGATCTGATAGAGCATCCATGAGATCACCCAATCCGTCGGGTACATAGATCTTCAGTTCAATACAAATAAAAAGCATCGGCAAAGACATTGGAAAGTTGCCTTCAGTTCGCAGTGAGATATGTCTATAGCCAGCCTGTAGTCCATCCAATGGTAGTATCCTTTGTCCCAACATTTTTCCGTTTTCATCGTATACTGCAATACGAATGACCGCTAAATCTGGTAAAACAACTTTTCTAAAAATAAATGGTTCTTCATTATAGACAGGATTGAGTCCGTTTGCCGGAACCATTCGCGTCCGGAATTCTTTACGAATGGTATCAGTCGGTAAGCCATACATATCGACCTCAACATAAGTGCCAACTTTTTTATCAGACAAAAATTGTCCGGATATCACCCGAACCGAACATTGAGCTGCAATTACCCCATCAACAGGTGATTCAGCAAATGGATCGAAAACTCTATCTTTTCTTCGCATAAAATCTGGTTTCAAAAGATAACCACATCCACCGTTATATTCAAACTTTCCTTGATTCAATTGCATCGGTAGATCCGATGTCTGAAAATTGAGAGCAACCATCTGACAGCCGGCATTCCAGAAGATTTGCGGCAAAAAATTGCTTGAATCAGCTCTCGTTCCTTTCGGATATATACGACTTAATTGTCTTTTATTGTAATTTACAAATTCAATGGCCTGTGATTTAAGATAACCTAATGCCGTGTTCTCAGCAAATGATGACATATGAAAACTGAACAATAAATGATGAGATTATTTTAATTAATGATTTCAATCAAATAAACGATTAAAATTTACTGAATATTTTTTTCTTCTGCGACATCAAATCCTTGAAACTTAATGGGTTGGGCGTAATTCACTAAAGAGGACAGGAATGGATGGATATGCAGTGTTGCACCGGTATATTGATAGTTAGCCATTGCTATCTGTTCCGGTTCAACGTCTTCAACTTTTTTACCTAATTTTAATTAAATGTTAATTTTTTCTAAAATAAATACAACAATCACAACCATTTTCATCAATGGAAGTGTCGACCACAAGACTGGGAACAGCGTTTGCGTCCTCATTTTCTTCGTCGTCATCTTCGGCCTGGAGCTGACCTTTTTTCCAGAGCTCCAGTTCCTCTATTTGAATATGAAATTGTAAAAATTATGAAGACAATAGAAAAATTTAACTAACGTTTTTCAACTTCAGGTTTGAGTCTTTTATTTTTAATTAATATTTTTCGTTTTAAATCATTAGGAGTGGGAAGAGTAGTTCCCGGTTCGAGTAAATAGTTATTAAGTGACTCTTTTAATAGAAAATCACCCAGGATTTCATCGCAATATTTGGCCATTTTGAACTGCTGTTTTTTACTATTATATGTTAATTAATATATATATATATATATATTTAACCATTTTGTTAAAATATATAAAATATGGTTTTAAATTTTAATAAATAATTGTCAATTTTAAAAAACCTGCAATGATTTTCAAATGATAAGATCACTGGATATTCGGATGTTGTGAAAGCACAGTCACGGATAGCATAAATGACATCCTTTGAAATAATATAATTATTTAATAGTTTTTTTAAAAACATGTTTATCATACATATATAAACAATATTATAAATATAAACCTTAAATAAGATGTCAGTACACATTGCTTTTCCATGAGTTATAATGGGCTCTTCATCTACCCTTCCATCCCAACAATCCAATTCTGATATCATAATAGTATATTAATATATATATATATATATATATATATTGTATATATGTAATACAAATTATATTTTCAATAACTTACCAATACATCTACATCCGGCTATTAACACTTGTCGATACCTATAAAAAATTAAAATATAATATTTAAGTACTTATTTTATTTTAAAGGACATACATCTCAACAGATGATTTGCCACCAAATTGTCTTCCCGTCAAATAAGTATTATGACTAGAATTACAATAATAATGTGATAACGGATAATCCATATCCATGTAAATATCCAGTCGGTCCAGAAATACCGGTGCGTTTTCATCTGACATCAGATATCTGATAAGTCCTTCCTGTGAAATACAACCCATTTTGGCGATCTCTCCATTGCTTTCGTAGGTATTTATTATCTCTTTAGCTCTTTTGTCGTCACAAAATGGATAAAGAATTTCATTGAGACGCGGATCCCGTTGTTTCTGTTAATAAAACAATTAATTATTAATAATTTATATTAATTTTTAAATTTCATATTTAATATTTACTTCATTTAAAAATTCAATCAATTGTTTGTAATCAATATACTCTGATTTTCCCTGAGTTCTGAAAAAGTGAATATAATAAATGGATAGCTTTTTGTGGTAATTATTAGGACATACATAGCGTTGAATAGTTCTTCGATGTCATTTCGTGGACAAACCTTATGGTAGAGTTGATAAAACTTTTCAAAAGTCCAGTCCGACGGCTCAATCACATCGTTCTTAATCGTAAAAAATGATTGATATAATTAGATAATTAGTTTTACATTTTATATAAATTTAAAAATAAATACTTTATCGTATGGAAGACCAATCTCTTTCATAAATTGATAAATTAATTTTTCAGTCTTTCCGGATGCAAATGTTTTGGCAACGCTTTAAATTGAATAATAATTTATTTTTATTAATATATTTATTTTTTAATATTTATGAAAAATATAAAATAATGTCTAATTTATATATACTGAGAACACACAGTAATAATAATAATAAATACTTTTAATCTTTTGTACACAAAGTAATTATAATTTAAATAATTTTAAATATTAATTTCAATTGTCGTAATACAATAACAGTAAATTTTTTTACAAATTAAATATAAATTATTAGAACAATAGATCATTTTATTACATTAATTATTACTATAATTTTACAATTGAATGTATTTACAGCTCTTATAAATTAAAATAATTTTCTATTAATTACAAGTATAAAAAGTATTTCATTATATTAATAAAAAATCAGAATATGATAATAAATATTCTGTATTTAATTTTTTGGTTGAAACATTAAATTAACATAAAATATGTTTCAAAAATATATTACAAACTATTAATTTTGAAACACAATGTAAATCTAAGATAATTAATATCATATTTAAATAAATATAATTTATTTGAGAACTAAACACAATTCCCGCTTATTTAGTTGACGGCTATAATAATAATATCACTGATGCCGGTAGTGATGGTTTGGTGGGAAATATATTGTTTATGCACTAAATCAACAATAATTATTATCAAGTGATGTAAAAGTATTTTATATATTAATATAATAGCACAGAATTGTTAGCTCATAAATACAGATATAAACATCAATAATAAAAATACTGTTTTTCATCAAATAATGACAAATAATTAAATATTTTAATAATCGGTATTTAAATAAGAAAAAATTTGTGGTAAATTGATTTTTCACTTATAAAATAAATAATTCACAAAATTTTATTTCATTATAATAAATCTGCATAATTTTATTTTACAGTATTTTTAAATTTACAATTTTTCATTTATACAATAATAAAGTTATCAATTATAAGATTATCATTAATCCTAAGACTATTACAGTAAAGTCATTTGAATAACATTTATTAAATTAAATRAATATAAATAATTTCAACAAATTTACTCATTTTTATAATTAATTTAAATCATAAACAAACCACAGTTTCCTATATAAACAACAGTATATATACTGTATATATATATAGGCTATATATAATATATAATGATATAATAACTATTACTTGTAATGTTATTAATGATATAATTTTTATATATCATTTGATACAAAATATTTCAAAAAAGTTGGACTCACTTTTTGATGGGAAGTTTGCCCTCTCTGTCAGTCATCAGAAGCATCTTAGTGTAGGCCTTCTCGAGGAAGGTATGAACGGAAGCATTATTTGCGAGTATATTATTAGCCATTTTAAGCAATTCATCACAATATTCATGAGCCATCTCTTTGCTGTGACAGCAAAAGTTGATGAAATTGACATTTACGAGATCAGGTCCATAGACAACAGTGACAGTCTTGTCCTCAAGAGGTACGTCAGCACTTCCCAGAATCAATGAATCCTTAAGTTTTCCTTCATTTCGCGGTAATTTTGCAAATCTTCCGGTTCGTGTATCGCGTATACTCGAGATCTCAAGAAACTCCGTTTCCTTGTATTGGTCCGTCCAGTACAAGAAAAACCTTTTTTGTCGACCCGTAGTGTGACCGGTGTTCCCACACCCGAGTCGTCGTCCCATTTCATAAATTTTGTACCATTTTGTAGTTTAATTGGTACTGAAATGGGCTTCAGTTTGACCACATGTACACCAGCCTTAGCACTGGCCATCACTAACTCTTCTTCATTAAGACATAAATAAATATTTTTGAGGACTTTTATATAAGTTGTTGATCACCACAAACAACACTAAAAAACGTAAGATATTAGACATTATACTATGATATATAGGTATATATCATATCATATCATATATAATGACAATCAGTGGTCAATTTGTATGAAATTAGTTCATATCACTGATAGTCACATCCAATTGGTTTCAATAATATTATGTAATTATCTGTTAATCACTGGTTTGCTGTTTGTCTACAAAATATCACAACAAATATTGTTATTACAGTCGATCTTATGTTTAGTGTTTAGTATTAAGTGTGAAGTATTAGACAATTCAAGTGATCATTATTTTTGAGGTAAATATTAATACACAACACATACACACATAACAGTCATATAATACACAGTATTACACAAACACATACATAACATACAGTAATGACAAACACTAACTACACTGGAGTCGACTCGACAGTCAATCCACACATACGGCCAACCAATTGATGGCAACCTTAACCCTAAGCATCAGTACTTCCAATGGCTGACAACAGTATATATTTTTCGTCATCACTACCCATACGGACTTCATATGAATTTATAAATATTATCGTAAATTATAATTTAAATCTATGTTAATATCACTTTGAAAAAGTTTACAAATATATATATATATATATCATTAATAAAATATAATTTGGKTTTTCTTTTAAAATTACTACTTAATGATTATTAATCCTAATTCAAAATTTAAATAGTTAAAAAATAATACATGAAATATAAATATTATTTGTATATTTTGAAAATATATAAATTTTTATTAAAACAAAAAATCATTGTTAAGACAATAATTGTCAGAAATATTTTTTTTAAATAATTGAGCGTTTATTTTGTGGTAAATAATCTAAATCTGTAAGTGTTTTATAAATTTACAATAAATATTACAGACATTTGAAAAAAAATTAAATATACATTTTAATGGCGCAACATTGATTTACAACAAAATTTAATGTAATTATATTATAATTATATTATATAATACATTTCCAATTCAAAATGTTGAGCCAAATTAAAGACAATGTTATTTATTAAATTAATTATAATAAATTGTAATGTTTTTGTGTTCACAATTAACATAATTATAAAATATATAAAATTAAAACTTAAATAAAACCAACAAAAAAATAATAATACATTAATGGTAATAAAATATGGGTAAAATCAAGTATAAGTATTTAAAACTCAACAAAAATATCATCAAAATTCTCTTATAATAATTAAAAAATAAAACTGTAATAATATAACAATTAATGTATAGGAAGACAATAATTGTTTTAATTAAATATATTTTCAGAAACAATTTATAATAACAAAATTATTTAATTATAATCACTTTTTTGTGATTAAATTTAAAAAATTCTGTAGTTTTAGCTTAGAGTTAGCATTAAATAAATCATTTATAATAATTATATAACTATTTTATTTCTACTGAACATTTCATATCTATAGTTATAATTGATTTTATAAATGACTGTATGCTTTATTATTTAGTTATTATACATTATAATATATACTTTTCAAACTATTTTGCAATTATAGATCACAGTATTTTAAAAATCATTCAATAGTTATTTAATAATAATTAATCGAATGTTGAATATATGTTTTACATAATTATTTAATATAATTAAACTGTAATAATAATAATTTATTAATAATATTTATAGTAAATTAATTATTAGTTATGAATTAATAATAATTTAAATCATAACATCTATCACTAATTGAATGAAATAACTGATGAAATGAGACAATGAATTACATGCTTATAGCTGTCATTTGTAATATCATTACTAAACAAATTGGTTGTCATTTTTTCATTAAATGTCAATCATTTTTTGTTGTATAAAAACAATATATTTATATATAATTATTGGAAATTTAAATATTTTTGGCCTCAAAGGTGACAATATTTGGCACTTAAGAGGCATACAAAACTTAATGAAAATATATTTTAAAATAACTTATTTAATATTGTTTAATATATAAAATTTAACAATTACTTGCATTTGGAAATACAATTATTTTAGTTTTTTCATAAATTTGTGTCAATGTATTTCAATTGGCAAAACATCTGTGCGATTTATTGGATGCTTTTTTAAATAATTATATAAATAATTTCTATTATTATAGATTGGAAATGTATGTGTCGTTAGGTTTGAATATTAATTAAATCTGTATCTTACAAGTGTTGTGTCACTCAATATACTGTACAATAATTGTATTGCTGTAATAGCATATTATTTGCACTACCAATCTATGCCATTGTAGGCAAGTGTTGGACTAGAAATCAAGTGATAGTTGTCAGTCTTGTAATGTAACAAATTAGAGATCATTTGTCAATTTCAACTCAAATGACATCAATTCCTATAATAACAAATTATTTACTTTCAAATAAATAATATTAATATAAAAGTCAATTATTTTAAAATGGTTACAAAATACCAGTAATAATCATCACAAAGCAGTTGATGAATCGTGTGATTGAATACTATGTGTTAAAGAACCAGAAGTGGTGGCCAAAGATGATGTAAATAATATAGGATTTAACTCTAATTGTTTAACTAAGAATTGACAYTTCTCTTCGTATTCAGTTCTTCTTTTTTCAAGAATTAGATGTTTTTCTTCTTCGAATTTTTTTCTGACCACTTCATGTCGTGCTTCGAGTTCAGTCTTTCGTTTATCGAGTAAACAACTAAATCGTTGTCTTTCAGCGACTGCCTGTTCGATGAGTTTCTGTTGGAGTTCCCGTTTGATACGCGCCAATTCATTCTTGTCTTTGTGTTTCTTACTTAATGTCAATAACTCCTCTTTGTTTTGCGCTTCCAATCTCTTCATCAGTGAATTAACTTCTTGATCGTGAAGTGTTTGAAGATGTTGTTGTTGGGCTGACTGAGAAACATGGATTGCTTTTTCAATTGAAGTACAGACCTTCATCGGACATATAAATAGTAATAAATATATTTTATATATAAATACTATATAGATATCAATACAATGGACAGACCTGTTCGTGGTAYTTATCGTAGAGTTCAAGTTCTGTTTTGTACTGTTCCTGATTAAGGCTTAACATTGTTTGAGAATAATTGCGGTGTAATTCTTCAATCTATAAAACAATCAATTGTTATATATTTTGATTTAAATAATATTTAATAAAAACAAATACTTTGCTCTGATGTTCGTTAAGAACACTTTGGAGGTCCACTTCACTCCTCCTCTTCATGAGGTGCCTATAGGATGGCATAGACAAGAATTGCAAACTTTGTCTTCTAGTTCGTGACGGCCTAAGATAGCAGGATTTGTGGGATTCATGGGATTGACGGAACAATTGGTGGAAATGACAGTGCAATAGAGGACATAACGAGAATGGGAAAAGACAAGCAAAGACTCTGTACAGACAGTACAACAATATATACAATATATGTGTTTTGCATTTTGTTAGAAACAAGCAATTTATGGAAAAGTTATGTAATATATAGTATTAACATTGATTGTCACAAATATGTATAATTTAAACAATAATAAGCATTAACTGCTTACCCATCAGCTGATGATGACTTCTTAGACAGTTTTGAGTGTGACTTAACCCAAGCAGTCTTATGTTTCTCCTGTGCCTGTGTTATGCGTTCCTCTTCTTGTTCAACTAATTCTCTTTTCTTATCTTTAAGTTTATCATATTTCTTGCGGACGGACACCAAATCTTTTTCAATTTTATTCATCACTTTTTGAACCATTTTGTGTTCTTTAATTTTATCCAACGATTCAGCGTTTATATTGGCTTCAGTCGACTCTAATAATGACGACGGCTTTTCAATCGTGCCGTCGTCTGAAAGACTTCTTATAGACTGATTAAGACGTTTGTTAAGTGTATCCTGTCTTAGTAGTGGTGATGCAGATACCCTATGGACAGGTGAAGATGTATTGGAAAGTGCGGTCATCACAGGTTTATGGAAACTGCCGTTTGCAGAGTCGACTGTATTAGTAGTAGAACTCAAATCATTTGATTCTTTAGAAATGGAAATCTTATTTGGTTTCTTCTCTTCATCAGAAGTGTATCTTCTGGCAAGCATTTGGTGTTCAGGTGATGCGTTTACAGTAACTTTATAAGAAGTGTCTGTTTGAGAATTAGAAACRGTGTCATCAATTTCATCCGTTAGTGCCAACAACTGCTTCGCATGTTTCTCTACCATTGATTGATAGGCAATAGGATTGGCCAATGCATCGGCCAATTCTGAAAGACCGTCGGGAACATAGTCCTTGACTGTTATGTGTACAAAAAGTGTGGGCATTGTTAATGGTTGACCCGATTCATTGCGCAATGAAATGTGTCTAAAACCCGGTCGTAGACCAACTACTGGAAGAACTCTTGTGCCAATAAATCGATTATTTTCTTCAAATACAGCAATTCTAAGACAAGCCAGTTCTGGTAGAACTACTTTCTTAAAAACAAACGGTTCCTCATCATAGACAGGATTAATGCCATTTGCAGTAACCGTTTTAGTTCTCTTTCGACGCACTGTATCAGCGGGTAGTCCATACATATCGACCTCAACAAAAGTACCAACTCTTTTATCTGATAAAAATTGACCCGAAATGATCTAAATATATATAACAACGATTAATACCGACAATTTAGCGGATAAACAATATTATAAACTATACTTTAATAGTAACGGTTCCGGCAATAATGCCATCGACTGTGGATTCAGTAAATGGATCGAACTTTCTGTCCTGACGTCGCATAAAATCTGGTTTYAATAAGAAACCACTTCTGCCGTTATATTCAAATATTCCTAAATTTAATTGCATTCCCAGATCTTTAAAAAAAATAAATTAACAATCAATTCAATAAAGTAAACGTCGATTATATTAAATATAACCTAATGTTTGAAAGTTAAGGGCAACCATCTGACAGCCGGCGTTCCAGAAAACTTGTGGCATATAATTACTTGAGTCAACTCTTGTACCCTTCGGATAGATTCGACTCAATTGTCTTTTATTAAAACTGAAAAAACAAATTTGAATTTTATATTTTAAGATACAATATAAATATGGTTAACAAGTGTCACATACTTAACAAACTCTACGGGTCTTTCCTTTAACAAACTGGTGGCCTGTGTTTCGACAAAAGATGACACTTCAAAACTACGGTCTCTTTCTATAAGATTAAAACAAATAAAAGTAAATACAGTATTATATATATGTTTTAAGTTTAAATTATAATAATTGTAGTCTAACTTTCTGCGTATTCAAATGAATGGAAGCGCACGGGCTGTACGTAGATAACTAAGGCAGACATCTCAGCGCCCGCTTCCGACTCTTTACTGGCAGTTCCCTGTACTTCCATCACTTCCTCAGGTGGCGGCACATCGTCATCATCTATACTCGAGTCTGAGTCAATCTCATCGATATCACAGCTGACGCTTTTGGCGGCATTTTGATTGGTGTCTTCAGTACCATTCAGATGACAACTRTCCTCATTGTCGATATGACTACTACTCTCATCACTATTACTCGTTACAAGAGTGGGACGGCGCTCAGGTGTAGATGGTATTGCAACTGTATTAGTGTTTGACTCTAATTGTTGTAATTGTTGTAATTGTTGCATTTGTTGCATTTGTTGYATTTGTTGCAATTGTTGTAATTGTTGTAATTGCTGTAATTGYTGTAATTGTTGTAATTGTTGTAATTGCTGCAATTGCTGTGATTCTTGTTCCTCTAGAAGAATCTGTTGATTCCTGGCTTTTCTGTTTCTTATGTGATGTTTTTTCTTATTTTTAATTATAATTTTTCTTAATAATAGGTTAGGAGAGGGCAATGCCGATGACGGTTTTAGTGGGTTTGTTGAAAGTGGTTCTGTAATAAGTTGTTCCGCAAATATTTTGCGACAATAGTTTGCCATCTTTGCCTGTTGTTTAGGGGAACAATGGTTTTCAAATGATAAAATCACCGGATATGCTGATGTCTTGAACGCACTTTCATTGATAGCTTCCAATACTTCGAGAAGAGGAATATCAGTGACTACAGTATAACCATGAGTTATAATAGGTTCTTCATCTGAGTTCTTGCCATTCCAACAGTCGAGTTCAATACAGCGACAACCGGCTAAAAGACATTGTCGATAGACTTCAACAGAGGACTTGCCAGTCAATTGATGACCAGTAAGATATGTGTTATGACTTGAATTAATAAAGTAATGACTGAGAGGTTGGTCCATATCGGAGTTGAGATCAAATTTTTCGGGTGCGACGATAGTGTTGTCATCACTCATTAAATACCGAGAAAAGCCCTCAAATGAAAGCAAACCTTTTTGAGCGTTAGTTTTATTGGGTTCGTACTGTTCAATGATATCTCGGCAGCGATTCCTATCAGCGTAAGGGTATAGTATCTCATTGAGTCTCGGGTCCCGTTGCTCTTTATTAAGGAAATCCACTAATTGATCGATTGTCATATATTTCTTTTTATTGCTCGACAAACCATCCAATCCGCACCTAACATACAAATAATTCATGTCTTTATATATTTTATGTAAATATTTATACAAAATTATACATTTAAATATAAACTAAATATTTTAGTTGTCGTTTCAAATAAAATTCAAATAAWTTATGAAAAAAGAAATTCAAATATACATATATACGACAATTATAGTGCTATTTATTATACATGAAGCTTACAAAAGATACAAATAGAAAATTATATCACAAAGTATTATCACAAACTTTTAATATAATTTAATAGCATTTATTAATATAAAATATTTAATAACACAACTAAATGTAATGTCATATATAATGAAACTGTATAATATATTATATATAAACTGAAATTATATATCGGTAATATCTAAGTCATAAAAACATCAGTCAATAAATTTTTAATACAAATTTAAAAAGAAACACATTTTGCACATAAAAGAGTATATATAGCGGTATAATACAACATCTAACTACTCTGTTATTGCATTTAATATCTAAAAAAATATTTATTACACTTTAATGCAGTTTTTCTATTTTSTAAATTAACCCCCATTTTTAAATCATAAGAAATAATTTACAAAAAAAAGTGTCATAAAGTTGATAAATATTTTTACAAAATAATCAATTTTACTTATAWACAAGTCATAAAATTATTGGTTATTTGTAATAAATTTGAAAAWTTTTCAAATAATTGACGCAAATTTATTCAAATAAAGTTGCCTCATATAAAGTAATATAATTTCTTAATAGTAATTTTTTAAAACAATCTTTAGATAAAATATTATTTATAACTTATAAATTTAATCTAATAATTATAAGAATTCGCATAAAAATGAAATTAAAGATATTAAGAATACTTAGTTATTGTGTTGGCTGTATATAAGGTATTTAAATTCTGTGTCTTAAAACAAAGTTAACTTATAATTGATTATTTATATAATATAAACAGTCAATAAAATTATTTAATTTAAGTTTGTAATAGAAAATTGTGTTTATAATAATTCATTGACAAAATTGCATACTATTAAAAATCAGATTTAATTAACAAAAGTTATTTTGTTAAATAATAAACATTTAGAGAATGTAGAGTAATAATCATATATATTTTATTTAATCATAACTTGGTTAATTTTAATCACATTTAACATAAACATTAAAATAAATGTCATATAAGTCATTATTATTAATAGTGATTATTGCAGACAATTATATATTAATATCAAAATTGCTATAAATACTGTACTTATACTATATATACAGTACTGTATATAGTCMTATATATAATTTATATAATATAATATATTAATATACCTAACATCGCGTGACTAATTATTTTATTATGTTTTATCCGATTCATAAAATATTCACTGCTAATAACTACATTAAATTAGTTACAATATTTGCAATTAATGGTTTAAGTAAATGAATATCTTTATTGAGATTCAATACAAATAAATAAACAAAACAAAAATGCAACAAATTTTCATAATTAGCAAAATATTTTTAAAAATGCTTACAAGTGCTCAAAAATTTTCTTCACTTCAGACCTTCCGACAAGATTTTGATAGAAAGTCAAGAAGACATCCATTGAGAAGTTGTCTGTAAGTATGGTATCATTCTTTCCAAAGGGAAGTCCACACAATTCTAATGCCTTTTCCACTCTTTTCTTGTCATCCTTTTGTGTCGCAAACATTTTGATGATACTGTCAAACAATTTTCAAATTATAATTATAGTACAGTACTGACAATAATTGATAAAATCAAATCATTAAATAAGTCAAATATTTTGATCATAATTGTAAACTATATATATATTATGAAATCCATTTTAATTTATACTAAAAATCAATTTTATCAAATAATAAACTAAAATGTATAAAATATTTTGCATTGTACTACACAATAGTAGTTGTAATAGTTAGACATACTATAAATTATAGTTATATAAAAGGCATTCTCTCTCCCATATAATAAATTCCCTCAATTCTCTAAATCGTTTGACTGTAAGTTGCATTCAATCTATTTTCATATATAATACAACTTAACCAAATCTAATCAACATTATTTTTTATATATTAAAATAAATTTACTAAATGTATTTGAAATGTTAATTATTTAAATAACTAATTGTTTAATCATTAATTTTATGGTTAGATGTAATTAGTAAAAAACTTATTCAATTAAAAACGAAAATATTTTTTTTATTAATTTCAGTAAATTTATCATTTAATATACAATAATGTTTTTCTAATTATTTTTACAATACTTAATACTGTACATGTAAAACATGTAATTATATTGTAAATGTACAATATTTTTATAAATCAAACAAATGTATATATTTTTTATTGTTAAGTTAAATATCACAAACAAACCACAGTTTCCTATATAAACAACTATATAACCATTACTTGTAATGTTATTAATGATACGATAATTAAATTAATATATACTAAATGGATGTTTAAAAAAAGTTGGACTCACTTTTTGATGGGAAGTTTGCCCTCTCTGTCAGTCATCAGAAGCATCTTAGTGTAAGCCTTCTCGAGGAATGTATGAACGGAGGCATTGATGGCCAGTATATTATAAGCCATTTTAAGCAACTCATCACACCATTCATGAGCCATCTCTTTGCTGTGACAGCAAAAGTTGATGAAATTGACATTTACGAGATCAGGTCCATAGACAACAGTGACAGTCTTGTCCTCAAGAGGTACGTCAGCACTTCCCAGAATCAATGAATCCTTAAGTTTTCCTTCATTTCGCGGTAATTTTGCAAATCTTCCGGTTCGTGTATCGCGTATACTCGAGATCTCAAGAAACTCCGTTTCCTTGTATTGGTCCGTCCAGTACAAGAAAAAACCTTTTTTGTCGACCCGTAGTGTGACCGGTGTTCCCACACCCGAGTCGTCGTCCCATTTCATAAATTTTGTACCATTTTGTAGTTTAATTGGTACTGAAATGGGCTTCAGTTTGACCACATGTACACCAGCCTTAGCACTGGCCATCACTAACTCTTCTTCATTAAGACATAAATAAATATTTTTGAGGACTTTTATATAAGTTGTTGATCACCACAAACAACACTAAAAAACGTAAGATATTAGACATTATACTATGATATATAGGTATATATCATATCATATCATATATAATGACAATCAGTGGTCAATTTGTATGAAATTAGTTCATATCACTGATAGTCACATCCAATTGGTTTCAATAATATTATGTAATTATCTGTTAATCACTGGTTTGCTGTTTGTCTACAAAATATCACAACAAATATTGTTATTACAGTCGATCTTATGTTTAGTGTTTAGTATTAAGTGTGAAGTATTAGACAATTCAAGTGATCATTATTTTTGAGGTAAATATTAATACACAACACATACACACATAACAGTCATATAATACACAGTATTACACAAACACATACATAACATACAGTAATGACAAACACTAACTACACTGGAGTCGACTCGACAGTCAATCCACACATACGGCCAACCAATTGATGGCAACCTTAACCCTAAGCATCAGTACTTCCAATGGCTGACAACAGTATATATTTTTCGTCATCACTACCCATACGACTACATAGAGTGAACATATTATAATAATCTATAGACTGAATTGCAATAAGATGGTCATCCTATGCTATACTATCACAATCACCAATTGATTCATTATTAATAGACTGTCCTATCTATGCATTGCATAATATATTTAAATATTTCATTTCATACCAATTATAAACTATAGTATTTATAAAGCAATATATTTGTATAATTAAATTATAATACAGTATATAATCAATAGATTTTCAATATTAAACTAAATTACAGTCATTACAGTCATTATAATCTAAAATAACACATTTAGTCATTAATAATAGGATTTGACTGTAAATGAATAGTACAGAGAATTTAATGAATAGATTGATGTTATGTTGTGTTAGACATAGAAATCAATAGTAAAACGAGTGAATAAACATTAGTCTGATTAACGCTTAGAGTGTGAGTGACAGTCAATAATACATTGAATTTATTATCAAATCATTGATTCAATACATTATTATACCTATTATTATACGACTATTCATATGTATGACTGAATATTATTGACAAAAATATGGCAACTCATTAGGTCTGAGCCATTGACAAAGTAAACCAATCTATCATTGAATCAATCATTTGGTCAAACAGTCATCAACTATTGCAGCACTGCTTGAGGTAAGTCTTAGAAAGTCATCGATGGTTTGATGAGATGTTTGCCAATCAATCACATGATATATCATATATGCTATACATTGCTATAATATATTATAATATACAGTATATATAGTATTGAATATAATGAATATGCAGTAAAACTATGACATGTATTGTCACTCTTTTATCATTACACGATGGTATCAAGTGATCAAATAAAGTGATAATATATGGTAACTCTAATCATATGTAGTTTGCTCTCAAAACAATCAATTAGTGGCAAAACGTATTTACTTTTATTGGAAAGTTATGTCTTAATTGACATGACTTTCAATGTTTTCATACGATTTCTTATGATTTTATGTACATTAATACAGAATAGACACAAGTTTTGTCAAAATATTAACTATAAATCAATTAAATAAAAGCTGTCTTTATTTGAGGCATTGGATTAAATAGTGGGTCGAGTGGTTGTAGTGGTTGTGTGTGTGATATAAGTGTGTGTTTGTGTTTGTGTTGGCACAGGTGTTATAAATGTAATCTTATTTTGAGAGTTTGTCACCAATTGAGTTGAGTATATCATATAAAGTTATATAACATATCATACTATATACTGTATACTACTATAATATATGTATATTTATCTTTTGATATAATATTGTTGAGTATATATATATATACAGTACTTTCTCTCTATATTTTGATATTTATTTAATAAAAGCATCGAAAGAGCAGCCAAAGGACGACAAGAGTGAGAAACTGAGCAAAAACCGATCGATTGACTCTTTTTTTGGTACAAGTATTGGTCTTTTGGTTTGGTAACAGTTGGAGCACTGGTAGTGACATGAGTGGCATTGTTAGCACAGTTTGCGACAGACTCGGGCACTGGTATTTCGTGTATGAGTTACGCACATCACTCTACATGTTAGAGCCCTGGGAGAAGACCACCTTCAGTATCCTTTTCACTAATAGATTATTTTATATGATTTATCATTCAATTATATTGAACAGCATTTGCTATATTTAAAGTAAACCCTTTTTTATATACAATTATAAGAACCAAATGATAGGGACAGCTGTTGACATCATTACTAAAACACTTGTTATTAATTGGATGAAAATTGTCTTATTTTCCTTAATCACACACTCTTTCATAGATACAGCACTATTGGCTTTGATAGCGATGGCTAGTTATACGACTTATGCATTTCTACCAACATATACACGAAGCGCTCTCTCCTATTTTGGTCTCATTTAACAACAAACAAATCATTTATTTTTATATTAACTAAATAATAGTTTTTCTATAAATTATAAAAAGATGAATACAGGAATAATATAACAAAAAATATTAATGCATTATGTGTTTCAATGATAAAATTCAAATAAAACAAAACCAATATTTATTATAACATATAAATTATTACAAAATAATTATAAATTGATTTATGTTTTATTGTGTCATTGTATTAAAATTTATTTGAATCGGATATTATATGGAAATAGAAAGTGATATTTAAAAGGATGACACTATTCCTGTTCAATATCTGAATCCGAGTCGGGTTTGATCGCCTCCTTTGCCAGACGTTCCGCCTCATCAAACAATTCTTTGGGCACCCATTCATGTTTGCCCCGAGTGTCGGCTCCAATCCAACTCATCTCCAGTTCAAATGCTTTGTCTTTGATCTCGTCGTGAACCATATAAATACTAAATGTAATAAAAAACATTATATCAACAGAATATTAGTTGATTAAAAAATATATACATTTTTGCCGCTTCTTTAATCAAATCTTTTGCTGACATTTCTTTAAGTTTCAATTTTTCGAGTTCTGTTTTTGCCGCCTGTTTAGCCTTTCCTATGGCGCACCCGTGATATCCCTGAAAAATATTAATAATATTGCAATAAAACAATGGGTCTGTTGTTATTAACAAACCCATGAAAGTCCTGACGGGTCGAGACAATAGAGTTGAGGCCCATCGATGGCATCATAAGATGACATTAAGACACTACAGCCGAATGGTCGGAGCGCACTATACAAAGTATATGCGTGTAAATACATGGCTGTCCTTTCTTTTAGATACTAATTATATTAAATAATTAAATTATCAGAAAATAATTATTAGATTTATTAAATTAAATTATTAGACATTATTGAAAACATACTTTAATAGGAATCGGCGATCCGTACTCTGATCGGTAATTTTTAGCTTCTTCTCTGGAGTTCTCCACTATAGCTCTCGCGTCTGCCAAAAGTCCGGCCACAGCAACACCGATATGTCGGTCAACATTAAAGATACGTTTATTGGCGCCCTTCTCGTATAGTTTCGATGTGACCAACTTTTCGGCGGCTAAAACAATGCCATCCTTTCCTCTTAATGCAATGACAGTGCTGTGTAATAAATAAGATAATATTATCAAATTTGTTCAAAACATGGACCAAAAGTGGTCTATTATTGTCAAACCCGCTGTTTTCTACGGCTTTGTGCGCGTACTCCACTTGAAAGACACGGCCATCGGGTGAAAACTGTGAGGCCGATAGATCATACTATTTGATATAATCAATACAATTAATACATTTAATTTAATTGATAATATAAGACACCAATTGCTTACTCCCGTCCCGATTGCACTCATATTAGTGGTCAGTCGCCGATGTGTTGTCCAAACAATTCAATTCAATTGTTTGACTAAATTGTTGTCACAAATGATTTCAATCAAAACTTTCAATAAGAGCTGAATCACTGAATGTGCTGTCAATTAGTACAGTGTTTAACAACTTTTTGTTCAATGTTTTCATTGATTAATCAAATTTTAAGTCTACACTATTATTCTATTGTTAAGATTCTTATAACTTGTTTGACAAAAATAACGTAATTTTTATTTAAAAATAACATTAATTTCTTTGTAAATTATTTTTGACTTTTGACGTCATTTATGTTCCAATCTTTAACCGATTGCCTAATGTTTTAATATTTATTTATTTAATAAATAAATTAAATATTTTTAACAATCAATGAATGCATTGAATTGCGAGTGAAATGTATTCAAAGTATTCAATGTTTCTATTATTTGTTTGTTTTGATTGATTGAATCGATTTTATTATTGTATTATATATTTTAAAGTTTGTATACAAGTTATGAACATTTATTTAAATCAGCAAACAATTAGTCAAACAATTAGTTATTATTTGAGACCAAAACAGCAATTGTAAGCATTGATGAAAAAAGTTGATATTTTTAAGGCAATTATTTTTTTATAAATATTTTGCATTTTTGATGACAATAATTGATTTGCTTGAATGTATTGTACATTAATTTATAGTTAACCATAATTTAGGCAATAATTTATTATACAATATATTTATAATAATATATGTTATGATAACTACATTATACAGTAATTAGTGTATTAGATATCATGTGTAGTGTTTGATGACATTTGAATGTTTGATATATCTATAGATCGGTAATAAAGAAATGCCTATAAATTTTATAATAAATGATTGCTTATAATTATGATATTTCTATAACCGTCACAATTAAATAATATATTGTTTTTATTTATATAAATTTATCATTAGTTTTGGTCTTTTTCTAAATAATATTGAAAAAAATGTAATTTTAAAGATTGCTTTATACTGTTTAACATTTGTTTATTACTGAAACACTTATTAGAAACAGTTTAATAATAATAATCCCATTGATTATAATATTAATACTTACATTGATATCATCCCTAACTTAAATCCTCTTATTTAGCTAAACTTTGACCAAATATGATATGATTTTATTATATTTAATTAATACATTACTTTCAATTATTACTGCAAATGGTTTTATATTATGTTTAGTTATTATCAATTAATTAATATAACATTTATTTTAATATTTAGGAAAATTAATATTTTATCGATAGTTATGAATAAATCAAATGACAAGTTATCGACTGAATCTAAGAGTCGACTTAACGATGAAACGACAAAACGTAACAAAAGAATTGACAACAAATTGACAAAACAAGAGAATAACGACAAGACTGGTGACAATCATTCAAACCAATTGACTGTCGATAATAACAGATTCAAACAGAGATATAACAATCAATCGATACCACACTTTGCAAACAATTATGGTTTTAATGTATATCAACCATACTATGGATACTCAAGTCATACATCGAGTCAATGGTCATCCAATTTGACAGTTAATTCATTTAACAATAATTACAATCGCAGATCATATTCAACTGGTTTAAGAAACTCTAACACTCATAACAAAGTTTCTAATGAAGGTATTCACAGATATAATATATACGTATAAAATGAATATAATTATCATTTAATTTAACTAAATTTCACTACAGATGAGATCAGACAAAAAGTTGCAAAATATCGTACAATTAGTTACAATAAATCAGTTAATATAAATAACTGCAAATCAGATGCTTTTAAATTTTCGATAATGAGTTATAACATATTATCACAAAATCTATTGGAAGATCACAAGTATTTGTACGGACATTGCAATAAAGATGCGCTAAAATGGCCGCAAAGAGGTCACCAATTAGTGAAAGAATTGCTCGAATCAAATGCTGATATTATTTGTTTACAAGAAGTGCATTCACAACATTTTGAAGATCTCATTAGTCCCGAACTTATTAAAAATAATTATAAATGTGTTTATAAACAAAAAACCGGCGATAAATTGGACGGATGTGCCATCGCTTATAAAGATAGTATGTTTTCATTGTTGAACTCAAATGAAGTGGATTTTCTGAGAAAAGATATGTCAAACGTTTTAAATAGAGATAACATCGGATTAATTGTCGAATTAAAACCAAAACATTCAAAATGTAAATCTAGTGTTTTTGTGGCCAACACTCATCTCTTATATAACCCGAAGAGAGGTGATGTCAAATTGGCTCAAATAAGACTATTGATGGCAGAATTGGACAAATTAGCCAAAATGTATTCACAAAACGATAGGATTGACTTTAAGCCTATTATATTATGTGGTGATTTCAACAGTGAACCCGACTCTTTACTTTATAAATTTATCACAAATGGAACCATTGATTTAAAAGGTGTCAAAATTGGAGATATTTCCGGTCAGAAGGAAGGAATTGGTAGAGGAATACATGTTAATGAATCTCATTTGGAAATGACTGGTATATCATCTGATAGTCAATATAAAGATAGTGAATCAGCTAACGAGACAATTGAGATCAACGATAAAATGGTATTAAAGCATAATTTTATGTTTAAATCTATTATATTTAGCCCAAAAAGTATTTCACATCATAACAAATGGCTGTCAACCAGTACTAAGTTTGAGTCGGGTTTAGTTGACTATATATTTTATGATTACAACAAACTTAAACTTTTAGGCTATAAAAAGCTAATGAATGTCAACCAAATCAAAGAAATCGGTAATATTCCCAATGCATACCTGGCTTCCGATCACTTATCACTTTTAGCCAAATTTCTTTTAATATAAACTTTAAATATTTGTTTGACTTATTATTATTTATAGTAATATGTACTGTATTTACAAATTGAATTACAATAAGTGTTTTTGTATACTATTCAAGTTATACTTGTTTGTTACAAATTTTTTACTGTTTATATTTGCAATAAATATTATAAATTTATGTATTAATTGACGAAATAAAATAATAATCATTTAATTCTATATTGTTTTTTTAATTTCATGTTTGTCTTTTTTTTAAAAATAAAAATTATAATGAATATCTAAATAATGTAAATATTGTAATATTTTTTTTATTATTTAAAAATATTTATGTTGTAAATAATGTTAAATAAATAAAATGTTGTCAAAGAAATACAAAGAAAGATATATTACCGTAATTGTTATTTAGAGTTAATAAACTGATTTTATATTAATATAATATATGATAATATAATATATTAATGATAAAGCAAATAGAGAATAGCTTTTCAAATGATTGTATTATTACAAACTCTTCAATTCATATATAAAAAAATAGTCAACAAAAATAAGCCATTTGTATAGAGATTGCGTCCAAATTCTGTAATCTATTTTACAATTGATTTGGATTTTTTCAAATGTTTTATATAAAAATATTTATATATATATATATATATAGCAATTGTATACAATATATAAAATACTAGAAAAATTAATATCACAAATGATTAAAATATTTTATTTTCATCGAAAAAATAAATGACATTAAATTTTAACAATTTATAAATGAAAGTATAATCAAAAATAATGTTAAAAACATTTGAAAAGATGTTGAAATCGATTGTAAAATAGTGTACAGAATTGGGACGCAATCGCTATACAAATGGCTTATTTTTGTTGACAATTCGTATATAAGAATTAAATGTTTGTAATAATACAATCATCTGAAAAGCTATTCTCTAAAATTATAAAAATTAAGCCAAAATGAGTTAATTATTGTTTGTATTGTCGACTAAAACAATGGTTCATTGGACTGATTATTCATTGAGAGGTTGGCTCTCATTTGTCTCCTTTATGCACATCGGAACTGCTTTTCGTTGCTTTTATGACAAACACTTTCTTAGAGATAAAATATTTACCATCGATGCCGCCAATGGTATACTTTTGATTACTTAAATATTAATTACTATCAATAAATTATTTAAATTAATTAAACAGACACTGCATTTCATCATTTATATGGAATTTATAATATAATCATATGTTTCATATTAATACAGTCATCAATATATCTCTATGTTATGCCGTAAGAATATTGTTTAAATTATTATTATTTTTAATAATTAATTATTTACATTATGTATATATTAAAGAATCCAGAAGTTGGCCATTTGGTCCATGGCTTTGAATGTCTCATATTTTGCAACTGAATCTCTCTATTTTAAATCTATATCATCATATGGTACTTCTCTTTTCCCATTTATTATGAGTGGTAAGTAATTTGCTTTAAGTTAAATATAATTAATATTCAATATTTAACATAATAATAATTTTTATCATAATTTTAAACAATGATAAGTCTAATTAAAATAATTTATTTAATGACAACAAAATATAATTAATATTAAATATAATTAATAGGTATAACTCTGTTATGGATTATAACATTTCATTACATTTGGAAACCTTGGAAACGAAGAGATCTTGAGTTTGAAAATGAGTTATTATTGCGAGGAATGGCTTCACAAAAGTTGAATCGAAAAAAACGTTAAACAAATTCATGTCTTAAATGTTGTTTCAATTAAGACAACAATCAGTTATTTGTTGAGCGATTCAACGCATCGACGCATCAGTGAAAGTGATTGTTGTTTGTATTGACCACCGAAATGATTCCAATGATTTAAATAATGAAATAATTGATACAAATTGTCGCGTCTATCAGTCAATAGATAGTTATGTGTCGTTAATAAATGTTAATAACATATGAAATAATTTAGTTAGACTTATAATATCAATACTTATCAAATCCCGAAGATTTTGGTATTTTGTTGAAATAGCACTCATAGAAGTTTCGATTAAATCCGCCAAACATATGACCAATCGATAGATCAAATTCCGAGTGTCCATAAAAAGAAGACGCGTCAAAAACAACCGGCTCTTCAACTGTTTGGGCGGCATTTCCTGACCAAAGATCCCCGTGAAGTAGCGCTGGTATTATAGACTTATCTTTAAGATCAGTGAAAAACTTATCGATTTTCATCTGTAATATAGACCACAACTCAATGAGCTCTCGATTTCCCTCATTCTTCTCAATCAAATCTATTTGTTGTTTCAGTTTATTTCTGGCATAAAATTGAATCCAATCTTCTTCCCAATCATTGTTTTGGGCAATACTTCCGCAATATGTGGTCACATGAAATCCAAACTGTGAGATGTAATCTAAATCCTTATTCTTTCCAATCCAAGACTCGTTTTTCTTAATCTTATTACCCAAAAGTGTATTAAACAAATGCATTTGTGCTAATAGTTCACCTAATCTTCCAGATTGTTGTCTCAGTGATAATATATTGAGATACTCCATAACAATAGCACCTCCCGATCCTCTGATTTCTGGCACAACATGTAATGGTTTGGGCACTCGAATAGTATGGGTGTCATCGATGGTCTTCAATGACTCAAACTCTCCGCTAAACATCATAAATCCATCTTCAGATGTACTCTTCTTCACAAATACCAACCCATTGTCTGTCTCATAGATTTCACCTGAAAATCATATCAAATGTTATATTTATATACATATAAATAGATATTAATATTATAGTTATTTTGTGTTATATTATTAAACTTATAATTTTCTAATCAATACATCTAATTATATATGATATCAAATATTATCTAAGATATCAATGATTTCTTAATTATCATAATTACAAAAATATCTGTTATTATATCATATAATTTGATTGAAATTATATAATAAACTTAACAAATAATCTATAGATTTTTATATATAACGTAAAACAAAATTTAGTGATGAATTAAATGTAATAATAATAACAATTTTATTGATACAACTAATTATAAATAAATATTAGAAAATGATTAGTAAATCCTGAATCCTAACCTACCTGTGCTAATACAACCACTCCTATCGGTTCCTACTTTCTTCCAGATCTTTGTCTCCAACTTATCCTTGATTTCATCGTTAATTTCCATTGAAAAACACAATTAATTATGAGATAAACTACCGGTAAATATAATTTAATATTTTTTGTTTATATAATCATTAAATGAAAACAAAAACACGTGATTCTTATAAACCAATCCAATAGTACTACATATTAGTCGTATATTCGTATTAAGTGTAAAAAGTATGGATAGATATGTGTATGCATTTGGGAGAGTATTCGGTTAAACAGGTATTCTAAYGATTAGTTTATATTAAATACATTCAATTTGAAAATGACCAAGCACATAATCATGCACATAATGCACATAATGCACATTATTGGAGATTATATTAAACTCAACATTATTGTAATTGGTCATTTTTGATTAATTGTAAAATTAACTAGATAATAGCATCGACATAAAATAGTTGACTATTATCTACTATTATCTATATTATAGTTAATTTTACAATTAATCAAAAATGACCAATTACAATAATGTTGAGTATAATATAATCTCCAATTATGTGCTTGGTCATTTTTAAAATGAATGTATGGTTTTCGTATATCGAATACAAATATTAACACATTATATACATTATAAAATCCTATTATTTTTTAAAACATAAAAATATATTTCTAACGCATTTTGCTTTTTCTTATAATTTTTCAATGATTGACAAATATTGTAGATTTGTATAAATATATGTTTGTTTGTAATAAAATTGTTGACATTTATAAAATATTGTAAACTTTGTTAAAATACTTTATACGTGTAATACATTTCAATGAAAGTTTGACCCAACAACTTAAGATTATAACAATTTTTAAACATTTTCTAATTGTCTTATTATACATGTATACTATATATAGACGAGCATTAAATAAAACTATTTATTTTAATTAAATTAACATTTTTTACTAAAGACAATCATTTATTATAATAGCTATTAATTTATAAATAATTAACTCATTATTATTTGTTGTTTTTAATTATTTTTATTTATACAGAATTAAGGAGTCATTTTTATAAAAATTTTGAATAATTTATTAATTATTTTATAATACTGTATATTTTTGTATCTGTAGTATTAATTGGACGGGAGAGGACGGGTGTCTCGGATATCGGTTTAGTCGATTTCGGGTAAATATTTTTATCAATGAATGAGTGTTTAATTGGTTAAGTGTGTAAACTATGGTCGTATATGTGCTTATTATTTGATTTGATTTGTTTATAATACTTGATTATTACTGTACGTTTAAACGTGTTTGAATATATAAGTTAAACACACAATACCTATATTTGTTTTTTAGATGTTTGATCTGACAATGCTATTTAGCATCCTTAATTGGTTAAAAATATATTAAAAATTACATTTAGAAATCAATTTATTTATTCAATATTTTAAAAATTTATTTATTTATTTATAACAGTATATTATATATTTATTGTACCAATTAATAGTTAAATATACATAATATGTATAATATTACTTTATATAATGATATGAAGATAACACTTAATAATTATTTAAAATTTAAATGTATTATTATATATTTTGTTCATTATATTTATTTAGTAATTAATATAATTAGAATCTAGGTTATTATTAAATAATTAACATTTAACTATTTTGATATCTAATTTGTTTATTAAATTATACAATTAAAACTTGTAATAATAATAATAACAATCATGTTTTCATACAAAGATCAACACTTATATAATAAAACACTGTTTACACTGTATTGGAGTGAATTGCGTTTAAAATGTATGCGATTCTCAGTAATCAAACAAACCTATCATTTCATTGCTATTAAACATTATCTAACATTTTATTTAAATCATTTATAAAATTTATATATCCCTAATGTATAGTTAAAATAATAAAAGCATTTAAACTTATGTGGAATGCTTTAAATATACAGGTAGTAAATAGTTCTGATTATTAAAATAATTTTTAAATAAAACTAATTAAATTATATTTATCTAAATAAAAGAGTATTGTATTGGAATGGCATCATAATAGGGAATGACAGCTAATGCCATAATTTTGTTAATGTATTTATTTATATAAAAATCATTATAATGTATAACATTACTCATTGTTGTGGTTATATATATATTATAAAATTTAGATAAATGATTGACTAAACTATTTATATATTTATATACAATAATCATGAATCGCATCATTCATTGCATATTCAACTCCATATATTAACAACATATGAAAATGTTGTTTTGACATTATATTTATTATAATTTATATGTAATATATTTTATTAGAAATACAAAAAAATGAAATATTTCTTAAATAATGCTCAAAAATCAGAAATATTTCATATGATTTGTTAAACCTTTCTATTACATTTAATTTGTATTTGTTTATCAAAAATTAATATCCATTAAAATTGTTATGTATAAAATATATAATTTATTTAATTATCAAGCAAACAATTATATAAACAAACAATCCTTAAACAAATATTTTTGCTAATAATTAATGAAAATGATAATAATATCAAATTAAATGAAAAAATGTTTAATGTAGAATTTTTGTGTCATTTTTTAATTAAAAAAAGATTTATGTTTGTAATCTTACATATAATGTTTAATTAAAGAAAATGTAATAATCATTAATAATAATAATAATAATATTGTTATGTTTTTATGTTTAGATATCAGTCTTGTCATATGAAACGATAACATTTAAGCTAAACTTTCATTGATAGACACTTTCAACACAAACTCGTAATAATAATATTTAAATTTTCATAAAATAATCATAAATTATTTCAAAAAGTTTAAAGTTTAGCAAAAAAATATTTTTGGCATTAAGTAAAATTTTATCAGATTTGTGTAATATTATATAACAAACAATTTGTTTTTATATGATAATTTAGATTTAAATCAAATTATTAATATATTATTGAAAACTTTTAAAGATTTATTTATATAATAATTCATTGTAATACTATCACATTATGGTATTATTTTTATAGTTATTTTTCTTGTAAATTATAACTTTAAAATTATATTAAATTAATTTTTAGTTTTTTAAATTAAAATAATAGTTTATTCTATAAATATAATATATTTTTAAAATTTTGATAATTGTGCTACAAAAAAATTAATAAATCAATTAAGCACTTAAATTAGCATAGAATCTACAACAATGTCATTATTAGACATTTTGCCAAATTATTTTAATTAATGAAACGAGTCGATTGCTATTTAAATAATTAAATATATATATAAATATAATATCTGTATTATTTAATTTTCAAAGATTAATTTATATTTTTCACATTTACTGTATTCTTATTTATTAAATATTTTCAAATTATTATTTTAATTAGCAATTATTTTATAAAAAAATAAAACTTATATACTGTATACCGTATTATAACTATATTGTATAGATTAATTAAAGAGCAGCAATAAATTTGTCATTAAAAATTCCCAAATATATTTATACATATTTTTAATATATTTATATAATAAACAATTTATGGAATATTAATTTAAATATATTATATTAAAACTTGATATCAATGCTAATATTACAAATTACAGTAAACGGACTATATATTATACAGTAGTTTAATCTGCAAACTGTTTGGCAGTGACTTTTATAATTGATATTATAAACAAAAATAATTAATATTAAGATTTACAATTTTTAAAAAAACAAATAAAATTTTAACATTAGTAATTTATCTAATAAAACAATACAAATTATCCATAAAGAAAAAGGAAGCCATAAATATAGATTTTAAAAGCAATCCCAACGAGAAATTCAAAGTGAAAACACTCTAATATATTATATTATTTTTATATCATTTTTTATATCATTTATAGCTTTTTCCTAAATAAAATAATTTTGTGTCGATTATAATAAATCATTGATTTTGTGGCCCTTTCTCACCAACTATTGGTGAAGTGGTCGATGACTTGATTAAAACAACACATCCTATGAGACTAAAATCATATACATTACAGTATTGATCGATAGGAAGATTGCATTTAATGGATATAGAGATCATAACGTTAGACAATATGAGTTTCTTCAACATAGCACCAAAAAAATGCTTTCAATTTAGCTATAAATGCGAGTATTTATAAAAATCTCTAATATAATTCAAACATTTAGATAAATGCTTTAAGTAATGTCTATAATATATTTATATATAAAAAATGACAATCTTTTCATTAGAAGACTAATTGAGTTAAAGAAAACATTTGCCAAAACTTAGATTTGCTGTTGACTTAAGAATCATATATTCATTAAAATGTCGTTTTTAAAAAATAATGACAGTTTTATAGAGTTATCAATGTTATGCTTTTGAAATAATTATCGTTTAAAGACCGGGAATCATATTATAAGCCTCAAGTGATGACATTAAGACATAAAATAACCAGAAGCAGACAAATAAGATAATAGTGGGCAGTTTGTAATGCATAGGACCTCCTAATTCACCACCTAATCGACGTCTAAACATAAGTACAATACAAGTCAAAAATGCACAAACACTGAATAGAGTAACTGAATAGACAAGAGATCCCGGATCCACAACAAATTGTGTGCCACGATATGCGTGTACTATAGCTGCCAGAGTCCACGCGATGCCGATCCCCAGGAAGACATTGACTGCATTACTACCCGTGACATTACCAATGGACGAGTCGGCATATTGATCGTTTTGTGCGGCCACCTTACTTGCAAATGTATCTATACATACATACATACATACATACATACATATAATACACACATTATTCAAATATTACTACAATAAATATATTTAATCATTTATTGCACTAATCAAATAAAAATGTATTATTCTTAAGACATACCTTTAAAGTATTCAATTTAATAAATCTATGATTAATGTCTAGACTATTAATTTAGGTTTAGTTTAGATAATATAATACATGTAATTATAATGAATATTTTCATAATACTAGAAATAAATAATACATTAGATTTTCATAATAATCTGTCTTTGAATTCTATGTCTAAATAAAATTTCAATGCATTAACTATAGGTTAACAAAAATAAAAAATTAATTTTATTTGTTTATTTACTTTAAATGTAATATACTAGTCAACTAATTTATATTATTATGTAAAATAGTGAACATATTTATAATAAATTTTAAAAATATAAATTGCTACCACAAAATAACTAAAATATAAAAAATTGAAAATAAATTAATTTAATTATGAAAATAATTTATAATAATTATATGCTTATATTTATATTGAGAATAATGTCAACAAACCTGGTATACTAGTTCCCAGTGCCACAAAAGAGATGGCTAATTATAACATTGATTTAGTTTGACTAATAAAACAATGTGTTATTAGAGGATAATATAGCAAACCTGTGATTGAATCTTTTAAACCAACAGTGCAGCCAAAATGTGAGGCCAAATCTCCTACAATAGCTGTTAATATACCGATCCATACAATACTGGCTACAAAACAAGCCCAACCATCGCCCATTTCTACGGCATTCAATTTGTGTCAATTAGTTAGCAAAATGTGAATTATTATATGTTTACTATAGTTTGTTTTATGTGTCGACTAATTATTACATAAAGTAATGCAATTTATTGTAGTGTATTAATAGTACACTATATCTATAACTAAAGGATAGCTTAGTGTTTAAATTATCGATTGGGTAGTAAAGGCTAAATTATAATACATAACAACTATTGCTTTTATCTAAACAATTGTTTTAATGCTTTATTGTAAGTATAGTTAACATTTTCTCTTTAATTATTCAAATAAAATGTTTTTTTACATCTTTTACTCTCAATTGCAGTTAAATAAAAATGAGATGTTTTTAGAAACTTACTTTCAATAACAGTATTACTCGTATAAAATTCATGACAATATAATTTCCATAACTTACCTTTTAATTTAACTTTAAGCCCAAATGAGTACATATTTGATACTATAGAAGCAATTATAGTGAATAGTGTGCTAACTTAACTAACCTGGTACACTTGTACCCAATGCCACTATAGAGAAAGCTGTGACCGCATCTTTAAGGCCAATAGTACAACCAAACTGTGAGGCCAAATCACCGATAAAAGCGGTCAGTGCCCCGATTACCAATATTGACACAACAAAACATACCCAACCATTTTTATAATCTGAACAATTATTTACCAATATATATATATATATAATATATATATATATATATAAAAACACAATTTAATTATTTATTTATCAGTTGTTCACTTGAAATATATTTAGTCTTTCATTCATTCATTGATTCATTCAGTTATTTAAATCTTTTATAATCAAAATTAATACAAATATTTTGTGAGCATCTCTTTTGTTATACCATTAATGATATAATTGATATAAATATTGTTTATTCATAAAAACGAAAGCAAAAGAGTAAAAAATGTGGGGAACTCTAGCAATGCTATTGTTTTGTGTATCTATTGAATAGCATCTAATGTAAGAATCGGAAGGAAAGGCATACAAGACATACCTGTTGGCGGAACAAATGCAAAGAGTATTTTCCAAAATAATGTAAACAAATGCATGACATAGTCTGAACACGTCGGCAACTTTTCTTCCCTTTCCTCTCCATCCTCTGCATCTGCATCTTCATTATCTCCAGCAGAAACAGTGATGGCATCAATGAACTGTTCCTTCCATGAAGACGTACCTAACAGTATCTTAGTATTGGCTTTTGATATTAATTGGTCAACAGTTGACTTAAATTCTTTGCTTTCTTTGATCCTAAGAGAGCACCGATAGATCTCTCCGAGCTTTGGTTTGCCTAACGAAGCAATTTTCTCATCAAAAATCAGTCCATTTCCTTCATTTTGATTATTCAATTCATTGATAGATTCTTCATCTCGAATTGGTTCAGACAATTCAACATAAAATATTGAGTCTTTTTCATAGCTTTCGTTGTCAATGATATGAATTAATATGTCTTGACTACAAAACAACAATTATATAAATTATAAATCATTTATATTATCGTTAAAAAACAGATTTTTTAAAATAGCAAATTTTAAAAGAAAGTTTCTAAAATAGATAATTTTTGTATATTTCTAATTGTCATCTAAATTTAGTTTTCTCTGCATCCCATAGTAGAGTATAATTATAAAGTAAAATTTCTATAGGAATTTATTTCTGAGAAACTTTCTAGAAATTTTATTAGGGAAATTTATTTGAAAATTTATATTAGCCTATCTTTAAATAGACTATAATTAACAAAATAAATACAATTTGTTATATTTTTTTAGTTAGTTTATATTGTTGTGTCATTACATCCATTACCTATAAAATAAATTTAATTATAAATTACTAAATATATGGGAACTCATAAAATAATACTATATAATAATAATAAACTAAAATTTCTGAATATAAGTCTTTATTAAAAATACTTAATAAAATTGCATAATTATTTGCTTATTTAATTTATAGTATACTATCACTTAATTATAATTTTATTTTTAACCTATTTTTATAATATTTAATTTTTTGAATTAAAAAATAGCTAGAAATATGTTTTTAAAAAATTAATTATATATAAGTTTCATATATCTATATTAATCTTAAGTCCATAAACATTATTATATTCAATAAATAAAAATAGATTTTCATATTTAAATTTTTTTTCTTTAATATTTAAATCGAAAAAGTCTAAGAATTTAATATTTGATGAAAGTGTTCACAAATCAGAATCCAAATGCAAATAATGTAAATTTATTTATTATTTGCAAAAAACACATTACATTACCGCTAACAGTCAAATACAGTTTATACAGTATATTTGGGTCAACAGTGAATTCAAGTGCTAATCTTATCATTGATAACGTTAGTAAAGTATTGTTATTTGTTTGTCAATTCACATTCATTTTATGCATAAATAAAACTAAACACATATTTTTTGTCAAATTCAGTCAAAGACATTAAGAATTTTGACATTAATTTTAAACATAATATTTTTTGAACAACATTTGTCAAAATATAAGACAAACCGATCGATAAAAATCTATATTTTAAATCATTATGAATTAAAAATTATGTCAGTACTTAATATATTATTTAATCAAAATTTATTTTTATGTTTTTCAAACATAACAAATATTGTACTATAACTTAGTTTAATTGTTTGTAAAACAAATGAATTGTTATTTGAAGCAGTTTGAATAATATATATAATCAGTAAATTGATTTTTTAAATAAAAATAACATTTAACGGTAAACTTAATATTATATATTTTTCAATTTAATTTACTTTAAAACTAGTTAATACAAGACTTAGATTAATTTATTTTTATAATAACAAATATTATTTTATGTATTTTTGTTGTGAAATATATTATATATACTGTAATTTATATAGTTTTTACCACTCTATCAAATATAAATTCAAATAAGAAATATTTTTATTATTAGATTTAAACATTAAAATAAAGCAATCTTTGTATTAAAATAAATCTTTTTATCCATCCATATATTCAAAATGATAATATCACATGTTAGCTTAACATTAAATGAACAAATATTTCATATATATATAATACTTTAGATAATTATTAAAAGAAAAATCAATATTTAATTGATTAAATATGTATGGGATATACAACAGTGATTTATAGTATAGATATTAAATATTTCTCATAAAAAATGAAAAATAATTTATATTTTTATAATAACCTACTGTAATATAATAAAATTGATGTACTAAATAATATATTATAAATTGAAATTAAATGGGAAACGTTTAACATTTAATGACTAATATTGAATATCTTTGCCATTGATATAAAACTTTATGCCAATGTTTTAACAGTATTTTCAATGCCTTTATTTAACTAATTACTAAATGCTGTGACAAATTAAGTGTCAAATTATCCGATGACTTAAAACAAACAAAAATATTGATTTCGTAAAAGCTATTGGCTATCAGTAACATCAAGATTATCATTATTATGTAGTTTTATTAATACCATTATTTTGACAAAATCTAATTATTTAATACTATGCTATTCGTTATAATACTACCGTATTGTCATACAAAAGCACACAATATGTTGTGTATAATAAATTTGATTTCATAAATAAAGCATTGACTGAAAAAAATAATAGTGACTACTAGTTATAAGTGGATTATATTGTCATAATAATAACAATAATATTATTATATAAATGAATACAGAATATGAATTATGATTACAAGACCTAAAAACAAATTACAGTAAACTTAATGACCGCTGGGTTTATAGTAATTTGTCGATTATTACTGAAAAAACACAATTCACTCCCATTTTAATTATAGTTTATATTAATACAGTAGTTTTAGACTTTTTTATTCATTCAATTATTAATATATAAATTTATATATACAGTGTATATATATATTAATACATTTTCATAAATTACTCTTAATAATTATGATAAGATAATCTTGAATAGACTTGATTATAGTTTTAATATATGTTATTAATAAATAAACGTATATTAGTTAAAATTTTAATATAAAATTTTTGAAATCAACTTATGCAAGGGTGTGGTTAGAGATAATAGGATGAGCGGTCATAAAATAATAGTTAAATGCATTAATGCATTGATCGTATGGTTAACAATGATGACCTCAAAATGTAACACAATTTTTATATTAAGTTTGCTTTTAATAAAATAAAAATATATATAATATACATATACTGTATATGATACCACTTACGAGATTTGGTTATTTTCAAATGTGATGACACCACTCGACATCTCAAATTCAATGCCATCTTTAGCTGTGCCTTCAATCGTATGATACGGTACTGAAACCCTTCCTCTGGCACCACTATATCGAGTTATTTTTAGATGATATTCACCGACAGATTCAGACACTTCGTATTGGTTTTCGGCAAACGAGAAGACACCTGAATGATCGTCATCGAGAATCATGACTGTGGCGATGGCCGGAGTGCCCAACTGTAGTAGTGGTGGACTCTTGTTTGACTGACTAATAGCCCCATTCATTGGAGTACAGCTTTCATGACTCAAATATCGGGGATTACTTAGTCTGACATAAAAATGCTCGTCTTCTTCAAACACATCGTCGTCGATGACTGTTATAAAAACCTAACAAATCATATATAAGTGAAAATTAATTATTTGAATTTAAATTGATTTTTCAAAATATTTGTTTGATATAAACCTGTTTATGCATTTCGTTTGGACGGAATATAACAGTTCCCTCAATGAGCTCATAGTCTGAACCGGCATTTGCTGTGCCGTCTTCAGTCTTAAAGTCTACACAAACTGTAGATTTAAGATCACCCTCACGGCTGATGGTAACAGCAAACTGTCCCACGTTTTCCATGACTGTATAGTGAGCCGGATTGAAGAATATTTTTATCATATCTTCTTTGTCTGTCTTAACCTCTTTCTTATCATCAGTTTTACCGACCCGTCTCTTAACCAAAGCATTACCTCCCGTCAACTTTTTTGTTGCCTGTATTTCATTAAATAAATATATAAACATTTATTAAGAGTTATTCAAATAAATTTTCTCTTTTTTGTTTATTTATAATTTAGATAACTTAGAGTATATGTATTTATATATGTATAATAATTATTATATAAATGAATATTTAATGATTGACTCATATAGGCATCAGTTAGCTTAAATAAAATGTTGTAATATAAATATATATTATACTGTATATAATTCATATATATAACTACTGTACATTTTATTTAAACTAATTGATGCCTATATTATATTTCTAATATATATATCTATAGATTCTATACCGTATATTCTACACTTTTTGTCAAATACTTTTTAATTTTATTTAGCACTAAAATATTCATAACCTATACATTTGGATGAGAAATCTAATTAACTCAACATTTATTCAGATTTAATTCAGAAGCAATTTGTAAAAAATCAATAATATCATCAATAACTTAATAATTAAAACAAAATATCGTATATAAAATAAAGATATTTATTATTTATGATTTGTTACAATAATAATACAACATACAATCATAAACTAATTATTAATTAAGTTATTGCAATTTTTAGGTTAAATCAATATAATTTTTGAAATAGTAATTAAATACTATTATAAAATTAATATGAAAAATATAAAAATTTATTATAAACTATGTTTAAAGATATTTAACATTTTATTTTGTTTAACAATAGTTTTTTAAATACTTAATGGAATGCTTAAAACAATTGTCATTTATTATTCCGTTTAACAATTTGTTTATAAATAAAATTATTAATTATTAAGTATATCTACAGTATAATATTAAATCATTTTTTGATATTCATAACATTTTTAATATACAACAATTGTCTCTTATCTATATCCTTATATTGATAACAACCTTAAAATATTAATACCATAATATCAATAAATAATTAAAAATTAAAGATCATATTAGTATTATGTTATATACATTATATTATACTAAAACTTTGTATCTCTTAGATTGTCATTACAACAAAAGTAATTTAATATTTTCAATGACAATATTGTTTCATTTGTAATATATTTTTTAATTTTAAAATTGCGATTTAGATGAGAGTCTGACGAAAAAGCAGTGATTGTTAAAAATAGACACAACTTTCACAAAATATAAGAGCATTTAATACGAAGAGCCTCTAAATTTGGACGCAATTCAAAAATTTTGTATTATATCTCTCTTTTTTTGTTGGTATAAATTAAGACAAAAACATATACTAAAGACTATATCTCTGACCCATTTTAAGAGATTTTTTATAATAAAATTACTGCTTTAATGTCAAAATAGGTAAGAATGCATTAGTTTTATTTGTTTTTAAAATAGCTGCGGAACTCGTGTTATATTCAACACTGATTTTATTTCCAATAATATTGTACTCGTTATACATTTATTTATTCAGTTAACTATAAATTTTATCAAATTTATAAGTTACATATAAATTCAAAATTTTCAAAAATTATATTATTTATTTATTATTTTATACTGTATTTTAGAAATATTTATGTATAGAATAATTTTGTGTATTTAATTTCAATAGTTTCAGTTAATTTATCTGAAATACTTAAAAAATAATTAATTTACTAACTATTTCAATAGCCAAATAATATCAAATAACAATAATATATGTATAAACTCACTTTTATTTAGCAATATAAAATAATGTATTTATTAATACACTAGACACTTTGTTAAACATTATAATTGGATTTATGTTAATTAATAATAATATGTATATTAAGCAATTATTAGATTTATTGGCATATTTGTGTTAGAATATAAATAGTAAAATAAAATATTCATTTATTGTATTTAAAAATAACTCATTGTTAGCTCTAAGATATTTAAATCCAATTTAAAAAAAAAATAAATCATATTAATTATTGTTAATAAATATTTTTTATAAAACTAATTTAAAACTATTAAAATAATCCAAAGCTAAGCACATATTTAAATATAATTAGACTAAAATTTTTGTTATTTGTTTTATCTGTCGAATAGCGGAAATCCTTTTTTATGGATTTTTTTATAAATATTTTTAAAAAAATTTCGCAACATTACCTTTTAATACTTTATGATATTAAACTATAATAGTTAACTATTGTCATAATTTAAATAAATTGTAATATTTTATTATATTTTATTTCATATTGTCACATTAAGTTAATTTAAAACTGTGTACTATTTTAACCACTATTTAAAATTTAATGTTATATTTTGAGTGATTTGTGTTAATTGTTAAAATGTTTATAAAATAACCAAGATTATAATAACAAAAATATATTTACTAGTATATTTTATAAATCTAATTTCAAGTATTATTTTATTTGAGATAAACAGATGCAAATTGACTTCAAGCACATTACGATATAATATGTATATAATGTTTAACAACAATTAAAGCTCGTATTATAAAAGTAACACAAGTGTTACAAACAACACAACTTATATGAATAGTTTTCTTTCAGCAAAAATAATAATAAATAAAAATTATTTTGAATTGATTTTAAATAAATGTGTGGCACTTAAAGATTGAGTGTTTAATTTTCCAAATAAACAACAGTAAAATGTAGAGCTATGAGTATAAAAACCAATTCATTACAATCAAAACACATACATATATGCGATACAATGTTTGTCAACTCAAAGGCAATCTGTATGCACTATACAAACAATTCAAATCTATTAATATTGTCTAACCATTTAAAGACACGAAATTCAACTTAATATTTATTGAGTTGAAAATCACAGTCAATAAAATAATAAATATTTGATTAAATTAAAAGCAACTAAACTCAAGAATCGTGTGGAAGAGTATTAAAACTTAAAGTCTATATTAATGGCAATCATATTCTTTTAGTGAACAAAATTCTCATCAAATCTTAAATTATCCGACATTTGAAAAACTTTTGTTGCATTCAAAGTATTTGATAAATATATAACACATTAGCTATACTTATAATTTAAGTAATTTTTGTTGACATAACTATTATTAGTGACATGAAATATTTATTATCTTTATAGTGAATTCAATTTTATTAATAGTCTTAAATAAAACAACAAACTAATAATATTAACATAAATGTTGTTCATTCTATCAACATATTAATAATCCATCAATTTATATATTGCATCAATTTTTACAAAATTGCCAAATATTCATATTTTATATTTATAATTATTTTTTGTTGTTGATATATAATTAAATTAAATAAACTATTCATATGCATTCACTATGCATATATAAATATTGATATAATTATAAAAAATTTAATTTCAAAAAAATATTTGAAAATTTTGTTATTTTAATGTAAACTTCTATTTATATGTTTGAAATGTGTTCACAACTCTATACTTTTTGTGTCAAATATAATATGGTATATAAATATATATATATATATATATATATATATATATACTTCTTATAAATAAAATAAAGTTTAAATGTTAAGCAAAGATCAAAAGCAAAACTTATATCAAACAAAAATTGTATTTATATTTAAATCTCTCAAAAGAAATCGTATATTTAAATTGATTTATAGTAATATCAAAATCAGATCTAAAATATATCTAAAATAAAATGTATTAAATATATATTTGGTTTTGGTTTTGGTAAAAATATGGCGGACTATATATCATTGAACATAAAATCATTTATAAAATATTAATATTAATTGTTCTTGAAGTAATATAAATAAAACAATTATCATTTATTAAATAACAGTAATATTGTTTAATTATTTAAAAGTTAATTACATCAAACTTAATAATCTGTTATAAATCATTTTAAATTTTATTTATATTAATTTTTATCACACCTCAAAATTGTTTAGATATTATTTTTTAGATTATAAAATTAAAAGGAAATTCACAGATATATTGGCAGCAAATTAAAAAATATTTATAAATAACTTTTATCGGAGCAAACATTGGACTCTGAAATGAAATTCCAATGAAATCAATAGGGATCTCATGAAAAGCTAATTTTATTTAACCGATCGATAAGTATTAATATTGGCAATAGTAATACATATGGTGTATCACAAACAGTATCGATAAAAACAATAGCTATATTGAAGTGCTGTTTGTTTAGACAATAATTTATTATATCATATAATTGTCACCTAAAAACTCTTCAGTTATAACAATGATTTAAGAATTGGAAAAAATTTATTATTTCTTTAATAATTCAACACTCAATACGAGATATAAAGTATACTTCAATTAATGTTATTTTTGATTTTATTTTTTAGAAAAAAACTAAAATGTAATTGAAAATTGATTTAATCATTTCTAAAAGGAAATTATTTTTCAATACTTATATTCTTAATTTAGTGTATATATATAAATGCATCTATTAATTAAATATATTAATATAATAAACTGTTAAATTCTAGTAATATAATATCAATAATCAATGAATAAAAATTTTCACAATGAGTTGAAAATAGCCATAAATTTGAAAAATAATTTATAAAAGAGTAAATCAAAATAAAATTTTGTAATCAATATGTGAAAGATTTCATTGAATATATCACAGCATTGACTAAGAAGTTGATTGAAAATCAATAAAATGTTTTTACATAAAAGTCTATTAGTCGGGCAGTGATTCGTTAAATGGGAGCAAAAATCAAATAATATGTAATTACCTGAAGACGATAAAAGGCTCGACTTTTGGGTCCTCTATTCATGATCTCATCTCTGGCCATGTGTTCAATATCACTCATATCACTGTTTGGATTTTTTTTCCTTAATTCCCGAAGCAATTGAATGTATTCACGTCTGTGTTCCTCAAACTCTCGAACTTCGTCGTCGGCCTCCTCTTCAAACACTTTGAATCCGCCATCAATTAGATGATTAGATTGATTAAGTTTAGTCATTGCTAGCTCCACGTCCTCATCGCCACCCTCTCCGCCTACTATAAGACCTCTTTTATTCATTCTATACTTTTTTGATAAGTATTTATAGACAAGTAGTCGACGATCGGCTATATAAGCGGTCAATACTGTGGCCGGAAAAAATAGAAAAGTGATTAAACCTTCCCATATGTCGATCACTCCTTTGGAAGTCCATATAAGTATAACACAGAGCCAGATATAGGCGAAGACACTCCAAATCATTGTAACAAAAAATACTCGAAGATGTTTGATCTTCTTATACTGAGTGCTGGGCACACACCACACACAGATGGCTATTATGACAAACATATTGAAGGCCGCACTTCCCACTATAGTTCCCGGACCTAAGTCTCCGGCATTAAAGTCTTGTGCATACACTTCGATAATCGACAACAAGATCTCTGGAGCCGACGATCCCAAAGCCATAAGTGTTAAGTTGGATACCGTTTCGTTCCAAATGCGGACACTTATCACTTGCGGTTCACTGTTTGGCTTCTTTATGGTTACCTGTCTTTCCTGTGATGTAATCACTTCTATTGATGCCATAAACTTATCAGCGATTATAGAGACGCCAACAAACATATAGACGAGTCCAACAAAATATATGACACCTCTGGCAACAATATCACCCGTCGCCAGGTTTTCAATCGGTTCCCATACGGGTAACAATAGTCCCGGTCTGCACATGAGTTTGTTCATCTTCATTGATATACTACTTGATGATTGATTTGCTATACTATATACATCATTATCTTCAACAACACTGACTGCATATATCATATTGATTGCAACAGTTAAGGTCCAAACCATTATTGGAAACCATTTCGAGACCAGTGTGTTGATAATCAAAGACATTTTGCAGTCTAATAGCAATTTAATATAATTGTAAATGTATTGAGATCTTTAAGAGTATAGCTTTAGCGCACAAGTAGCCCATCACTCTTGTAGTCTGAATAGCATTGAGAGCTCTCTTATCAAAATTTCAGTGCATTTAATAATAGACAGCAAATGCAATGCTAACAGAGTATGACTCCGACAGCTGAGTCTGACTATTAATAGCCCGACTATCACATCGTTGGTCTGCCATCTCATATACTGAACAACTATTTATTTATTTATCACTTATTAACATATTTTTTATATTCATTACTATTACTATTATTGACTACTAGACAATCACACCAAATGATAACAGTTTAATTTGATATTTTTATATTAAATTATAATAAGTTAAATATTAATTTCTAAAAAGTAAAAATTGACAAAATAACGAAATGACAAAATCAATAATATTTATATAGAATTGCATTATTTATAAATACTTTATATTTTTTAGATTAAAATTTAAAATTGCTAAACTCAGTTAATTTTTATAATATTAAAAAATATCAAGAAAAAATATTTAAGTTTTTATATTATTATAATGTAATTACAAATAAATTATATACAGTATCTATTCATAATAAAGTGTTAACTAAAATTTATTATTATTATCACTGTTTTTGCATTTTATTAAAATTTAGAAATTAAAATTTAAATTGCTGTAATTTAGCAAATTCATATGAACATTAATAATATACTAATAAAAAATTATATCATTTTATCATCAAAAAATAAATATAATAAAAATATTAAATTTATTTTAATAATAATAATTATAATCTTTATTGATYATAATCATTATCTTTATTTATTTAAATATATTCCCTGAAAAGTTTGATAAATTGCAAATTTGAAACTTTTGATATTAATAATAATGTATTTACTGTTAGGAAATAATAACGAGACAAATTGTAATCTCAAAACTTAATAAATATTTTTTGCATTCTGTTTGATAATTAGAAAAAATTATAATTGTATTCAAAATTAAATATATATATCTTTAAAAAAATAAAAGTATATTTTAAAGTATAATCATTCAATTTTTATATTTTTTTATAATTTAGTGATCAAAATTTCTACAATTAGATAATTTACAAAAATTAATAAAAATGTTTTTAGTTAATTAGAATTCACATATTATTTATGCAAATTTACAAATAAATCAATAAATAATTATTCTTTAGAAAAGAAATTAAGTTTTTAATTGTTTTTGAAATCTTATTCAAATTGTGTAATTCCGATAAATTTTTTAATTTCATAAAACACTAATTGATTTTATCTTTCATTTGTCAGATAACTTATATAATTTTTTTTATTACATAAATAGAAAAAATTATTAAAAATTTTAATTTTGTTATTTTATAGACAAATTTAGACCTAACTTTCAAACAATCATTTATAAAAACAAAGTGAATTCATTTGATAAATATACTGAATCTTATTAATAATGATTTAATTATTTAGGATAAACATAATACAGATCTTCTGTCTCTTTATTTATACCTAAGTGTAATAATTAGTGCATCAAAAAAATATTTATTTAAAAATCGAAAATATTCAATAAAATATTTACTAAAAACTATCAAAATATTTACTTAAATATTTATTATTATTTTTTAAATTGTCATTTATTAGTAAAAATGTATATTTAATCAATTTGTAATTTATTCTAATCTCTATTTAAATTACAGTATTACAAATTGATATCATATTTTTATTAAGAAAAGGTAAAAAATACACTTAATTTTGTTTTCTAACTTAATAACTAATACAACTGAATAATATAATTTTTACTCATTGATTGTATTCACATGTTTAACACATCTAATGCTGTTTTGTCTAATATTTTTGCTAATTTTTATATCATAGAGTTATTTGTAATTTATATATATTTACTGTTCGTTAAAAACTAYAACTTTAAGCAAAAACTCTGTAGTATTCAGTACTTTATAATCTATTTTTACAGTTTTAAGTTATAATATTTAAGTATATTTACTAAAAACACAAAATATTAAATTAAATATTTCTTATTTATTTATCACTAAAATATGTATTATATTTAAGTAAATATTTTTGATTTAATTAAATATATTTCGATGCACTAGTAATAATAGTTAAGTGATAATAATAAATATCATACAATACAGTATATACCGGTAGTATAAATTTATAATTGGTAATTTATTTATTATGAAAGACTAAATTTCAATGCATAATTTTATCCAGAAATTGTATAAATTTAAGTTTAAAAATGGAGATATTTTATAGAAATAATAAATATATACTTTATATAAATATATAAATTTTATTAATGTTATTAACATGAATAAAGTTAAATTGTTACATCAAATAACTATAATACAAATATTGTAATTTTAAATAATAATATATTACCAAAAAATGTGTATATTAACAATAATTTAGGCGTGGATAGCGTAGGATTGTAAATGTATAATAATACTAATAATAATACTAATACTACTAAATAATATATAATAAATTGCATCGACCACTGAATAATAGCCAAGTAGTACATGAAGTTAAAGGTTTTTATACACTAATAATAATAATAAATACTATAAATAGTATTATTAATATACATTGACTTTGAATGCTTTATAAAAATAGTATTAGTATTACCTTAAAACAGGTACTGTAATCGTAAAATTTTCTTTTGTTCAAATTATTTATAAAACATTTTCACAAATATTTTATATAATATTTATAATTATGCATAAACTACCGTAAAATTTTATTATTATTATTATTATTTAATTTAAGGAAAAATTTTATTTCATAAATAAAATTTTAAAAAATAATTTATTTACCTTATAAAATAAATTAAATAATTTTTAATGATAAATGTGATAAATTATTTATAGTGAGTAAAAACTTTTTTAAAATTCATTTAATGGCAATCATTTTTATTTTAATGACTTAATTATATCAAATTACAATGAGTTAAATTAACAATAATTTATTAAAATGCCAAAATGTTGGAAAATTATAACTTATATAAAAAAATAAAAATAGTAATACTATACAAAAGTTGTGGACTAATTGAAATATCTTAGGCCTGAATAGTGATACCATTTTTGATACCATTCTCCTCTATAGGTCTTTCACCGATTTCATAAGTCTAAAAATATATAAAAATTAATTGTTTTAAAACATAATTTAAAAACAAATTAATAATTACCTTATAAGTGGGATTATCATAAGCAGCCTCTGAAGGCGCTCTAGTTATGGGTGCCTTCGCTGATGACTGTCTTCTAAGCAATAAATATAAAACTACAACAAAAGCAATGGTAGTGATGCCGGCAAACATCGAGATAATGACCAAACAATATAGATATTTGTTTTCCATTATATCCCCTTCACGCAGGGCTTCCGCTTCATTGGCTGTAAATAATTAAATTATATGTTATATAATAAATATAAACACAAATTATTTTGAAACTAAAATCTCAAGAATGCTAACTGACCTGAAGTATCCATTTTATCAATTCTTGTAATTAATAACTTTTCTTTTGTGGTAAATTCAATGGCATTTGAAGAAACAGTTTTACCATTTGTCAAATAAAGATCAATCCATGCTTTATATCTATATCAATGTATAGCAATTGTCAAAAACAATATATAATTTAATTAATATAACGTAAGATATGACAAACAATCAAACCTTCTTTTAGGTTTAAGTCCATCTAAAACTACTTTTCCTTCTCCGTCCGGGTCTTTAAAAGTATGCAATAATTCCATACTATCTTCACTTCTGTATGAAATTTTAACCACATTTATGTACTTATTGATGGGCACTGGAAGTCCATTTATTTTGATAGTTGTGTGCATTGTATCGACAATAACATCATTAGGATGTATGGATRTGCTTATATCAAACATATCTCTTGGAGCTAATGGCATATCAATTACAATAGGTTTTGTTGATATAATATGAGTTGCAATGTCTGGATTGGGTGTAAAAATTAAATCGACGGCATAAGAAGCTCCCGGTTCGAGATCTCTTAATACATAGGAYTTAATATCTCTATGAAGTATTGAAGTGGTTTTCCAATCATTTGTATCTTTATCTGCGTTTTTATAGCGAATTTGAATGCCATCAATAAATTTCTTCTCTTGAGGACTAAATACTCTCCAAGAGATCTTCAATGTCTTATAATCATTAGAGACAGCATTAAGACCTACATCTAACATAATCATTGGAGGAACTGTTGTAGTTGTTGTAGTAGTGCTAACAGTTGATGGTGTCGGCGGAAGATATAGTTTGTAAACCTCACTTTCAGGACCCGATTGTAGGGCTTCGATAATGATTTGAATTTGAAAGAAATATGTGGTGTCAGGACTGAGATTTCCCAAATGATATTCAATATTAGGCGTATCRAAGAGCCTCTTGGGTCGGGCAAACTTCTGGATATTCCATTGAGACCGAGGAATATTCATATCTGTTGTGTAATGAAGTTCTGCGTGACCTATAAGTCCCACCAAAAGGGAAGGTAAAGTAAATCGGATTCTGGCGGCCGTCGAGTTTATGGCCATTATATTTACGTGTTCTAAATCTCGGCCTATAATTTATAAATAATTATAAGTTTATCGATGATTAATAAATTAACATTTTTTAGAAATAAAATGTTTTCTAATAAATATTTATAATTTCTATTAATTTGAAAATTATATATAAGTTTTGGTTGATTATATAAACCAATTGGTGCTATAAATATGATACCTGAGTCTTTAGAGTCATTGCAAATAACGTAAGGACAGAGTACGAGTGGGTCATCAGGTATTACAATAGTCGGGTTGGGACAGTCAAGGGTGGGTTGTAAGAAGCGGTCAGTAATCTGAGGACATCCTCCTGGATGACACTGAACATGTGGCAGACCATTAGTTATGGTACACTGACATCGCTTTTTAACTCCCGACCCTTTTTCATCCCATTGTTCACCCAATTTATAGCGCTTTCCATTGTGTGAGCAATGATTTGCTATCAATGAACAAGAATTAAGTATTGATTAGCTTTTTGTTAGATTATTTACTTTCCTATTATTAAATAATTTAGATTTTATTTTAGATAATATGTTTAAATATTTATATAAAATACTCGATATCTAATGTAAACATAATCTATAAAATGTTTGTTAAATATAATTCTTATACAGTATTATACTTTTACTGTATACATGTATCGTACAAATATTATTATTTATGTATTAATTAAGTGCATAGTATTGTCAACTGAGTTAACAATTGAATGTTAGCTTAAAATAGATTTACTTGAGTTAAGTATATATTTAAATATTAAGATAAAATACAAAATTATTTATTGTATTTTAAGAGTAAATCATTAATTTTTAAACAAATTCTTGACAATTTTATAAATAGATTATGAATTGTATCATTAATTTAAACAATTGATATTTTACTTAAAATTTTGCACATACTCTTATAATAATAATAAAATATATACATAAATACTACATAAAGTATATTTTAATATTTAAAAAAATAATTTTATAAAAATTACTCTTTATTCTTAATATTTTCATACTTATTATTATGATATATCATTTGATATATGTTAACAAATATTTTTATATGCATTTTAATTTAAAATTAATTAATTACCGGTTTATTTAAATGTAAATTCTAAATTCAATTAATATTTTTCATTATATAAGTTTTACAACCTTTTAAGCAATATATCAAAACCGCATAATTCTTCATTTATTAATTAATTACACAAAATATTTATTTACTACAAAAATATATTTATGGTTTGCAATAAAATAAATTATAATAACTGTATTTATAAGATAATATTAAATTAATGGAAACTTACTTGTTTTCTCCTGATCTCGACATAACCAATGAAGACARCAATTATCACCTATTATTATTGATTATTAAATTAATAAAAATCAAATTATTAAAAAATATTTAATAATTTATGAATACCAGGCAAATGTCCGCGATATGCATGAGTTGCTGGACATGGCATATGTGGGGGTGGAATATCTGGTACGGGTGGACAACGATTATCACAATCAACTTTGCCGTTATGACACACACATCGTGTGCCACACGGCAGCAGTTCTTGAGGAATGTGCTTAAGATTAGGAAATCTGATGCCAGCAAATGAACAGGATCCGTCTATACAATAAATATATATTAAATAAACTTTTAATATATATATATATATATACAGTATATATTTACAAAAATGTATTACCATTTTTGCATTTTGGTTGCGGACAACAATTAGGAGGTGAAGGTATAAAATGTGGATCAATATCCCATTCAAGACAATCGGAAACATGTGGTGCAAAATTATGCGGACACTCTATAGCCTGACAATTAAGTCGGGCGTCTTCTCCACAATGACATACAGCCCGACAATTGTCATAAATCTCTTCTCCGATCGCAATCTTTTTGCCCTTAAATTCACAAAATTGTTTATTTCTCGGAGACGACGGCTTCTCTGGTAAATCGAGTGCTTTAATAATTAAAACATTATTTATTAATTTATTTATATTTTTCAAATAATCTTAATATATATTTTTGAAAACTAGTATTAATAACATGCTATTTAATAGTTTCTTCAATAAAAAATTAGTGTAAAATTATTTAAAATTATTAAAATGTATTTAATATTGTTTTTGTTTTGTTTTTTAATGATTAATAGTAACATTCAGATAAAACAATGACTATTTAATTGAAAATTACAGTTAAATTTTTTGTTAACACTAAAATCATATATTAAATAATTACATTGTTTTTAAAAGTGCATTATATGTTTAAAAAAAAGTTCAGCATTTTTTATTTCATAATTCTATTCAATTATTTTAGTGTATAATTGGTTCAAACATTTTAACAAATTTAGTTTCAGACCTATTTTCATATATACAGTAATATCTATATTATATACTATTATTATTATATAATATAAAGCGTCACTCATATGTCTTATATTAGTTTCAATAAAGAAAATCAATTAATACAATACAGTATATGTCATGATTAATAATAACTATTTATATTTAAGACATAGTAATAATATTTAATATTCATTTGGTGATGAGTCAAGACATTACTGTATATTATGACATACAATATAATAGATAATATAAATTATATAATAGTTTTAAAAAGCTTTTAAGAATATAAATGTTATCTATAAATGGCATTAAAATGATATAAACAAAAAATACAGTAATATTTAACTGTGAACTGTGTTGCGCCCTATTGTTTAACACCTACCATAGAGACAAATAATTTTTGTTTCATAAATACTCACTATATTTTATTATATTTTATCATATTTTATTATATTTTTACTATTTATTTCATAATAATCACATTTTGTGATTTACATATAAGGTGAATCTATAAAAATTGCATAATTTCATACTATTAATAATTTTCAATTAACAAATTCATGTTTTTTTGTGACTATAATATATATCTCAAGTTTGTCCTAATTTGATATTTAGGTTGATATTATTGTCGGCGATGTTTTTGGATATTAATCATTAAAATTAGTAATTAATATTTTTTATTTGGTTATTGTATCTAGTTAAATCTTAAACTGTATGTAAATTATTAAAAATAAACTTATTTTTACTAGTCATTTACATAAACATTAAATTTTATATTTACATACTATAGTTATTTTTCATGCAAACATTAGTTTTGATTTTTTAAAACTATTATTTTTCAGTTCAATGTTTGTGATTATTTAAAATTTAATACATTTTCTATAACTGATTATATCTATAAAACTAGTTTGTGTTCGATATACAGTATAAGTAAGTCATAAACATTTATACTATAGTTTATGCAATAATCATAGCAATAGATCGCATCAACAATATTATGAATTACAATATTTTTAAAACAATAGCTAAACACTATATTTAAGTGTTTTTAAGATAAAAGCTATTTTTCAAAATCAAAATAAATTACTTGAAAAAAACTTACGATTCATATTGTTATGACAGACCACATACGGACATATGCACGGGTCGTCCGGCTGTACAATTTGAGGACTCGGACATTGCTCGGTGGGCAGTCTGGCAGAGGCGGGCAACACAGCACAACCACCTTTACATTGTGCTATTGTTGTGCCGTTTGGCAATAAAGTGCATTGACATGACTTCTTAAGACAGTTGGTTCCGGTATCCCATGACTGTCCAATTTTATAAACTTTTCCGCCTTCACTCAAACAAAATGGTTCGGAGTCAGGATCTTCTGATGTATTGTTTTTATTGGATTTGTCACATATAGGAACAGTACAACACGGGTCATCCGGTGCCGGACCCCAATCACATTTTTCATAGCCGACCGCATCAATATAAACGGGACACCTTTCCTCACATTCCCGAAGTCCGCCCTCACGACAAACACATTTATATTCACAGTCGCCCTCATAAAACACTTGTCCCACTTCTATGGTTTGGTTACCGTGAAAACACCCATTAAATGTGATATCTATACCGGGAGGATATGTTCTGACAAAAATAGTATTACTTGACGTTTGATTGAAATCAACTTTCATTAAATAATCGGTTTGTGAAACGAGTCCTCCGATGTCTACTTCATAAATATCAGTTGCGATCACTTTTATGGCTTCTTCGTCGATATGCATTGATTTCCAATTACGAGTTTCTAACTCTTTCTCAGATTCCGTTTCATTAGTCGATACCATACTATATAATAGATTCAAAGTTGACCCGAGTATACCATTTTTTAGTGTCGGTATCATAACTCGTAGCTTAACTGATGTCGAGTTAAAAGCTTCGGCTGAATCTATAATGATCTCCGGTTTGTCATTAATTGAATCCCTTTTATCGCAAACTGATATTTTACAACAATTGGGATCATCCGGATCTGTAACTAATCTACAAAAATTTTCATCGTATCCCAGATCAGGTGCACAACGCGGCATACATTGAACACGACCCGTCCCCTCGCAAACACATTTAAGTTCACAATCAATATAAAATGTTTGGCCGTTTTTATAAGTTTTATTATTATGAAAGCAATTATCTATATGTTTATGACTTAAACTGATATTTTTTGAACTTTTATCGATTGCTTGATTCGTTGTTTTTTCATTTAAAGTTAGGGTAATATTATTAGCACTGGTATTGCATTCAAGGATTTGACAACAATTATCATTGGGATTATCTTTGAGACGACAATCATTAGGCACTGAATCACTTGATTTATGGTCACATCTTTCGCTGCATTCAACTTCCAGTGCTTCCGAGCATAAGCACAGTTGACAGCTATCGTTAAATGTCTGTCCCGGGAAATAGTGATTACTTTTATATACACACATCAGCGATGGATTTTTGACACAACCATTAACCCTGTTATAGGGATCACCAGAGTATCCCTGTTGACAACGACACGTTGTGTTGTTGTCTTGTATTTGGCAAACTGCGTTCAGTCCGCAGGTTATGTTATCACAGGTGACCAGCTTTGCTACTGGATTTAGACATACTTTTCCATCACATGAAGATTTACAGCATTTTTTGAGTCCAGTACAATGATAATCATGAGAGCACTCATCTTTACAATTATTATCACTGCCATCATTGACATGAATGGGACAATAACCTGGTTTACCAGTGAAAGCGGGGGTCGTATCACTGGATCGGCCCTCAGAGGGCTCATTGACGCACAAAACCGAAGCACAGCAGTTGTCAATCGGAGATATAGTTTCCTTACAATTGACATCAGATTTGAAAGAACCTGTTGTAACCAACGGTGGTACACATCTATGAGTAAGTTATATAAATTTATATTTATTTTACATAAATATATCTGAAAAGCTTAAAGTTTAAAATAAAGATTAATATTAAATGAATGAAAACCTTGGAGTGCAGTCCTGCTGAGCATTAGGCCTACAAATGCATTTTAGATGACATCCATGAAACAACTGATCCCCGACAGCATAAGAGGTGCCGTTGACGATACATCCGTCTTCAGTTGAGGCGCTAATGATCTCTGAGCCTAAACCTAATCGTTTCAGATCATAGTCTTCCCAAACGAGTACTTGTATTTGATATGAGGTGTTTGGCAGCAAATGTTTGATTGTGACAAACGGTGTATTATTTGCCTGAATTTGAATCCAATTAATAGTTGAATCATTGAAATTGAATGTAATTGTTTGATTAGTGTATTGCACGACATAACCCGATTGATAATTAGGTAATTTAAAATCATCAAAAGCTATACTAATTGATGTCCGACTCCTGTGTGTCACTAATACTTTTGGTGCGCTTTCATTGCATTCATTATTAAAACAGTTTTTAGATATAATCTTATTTGTTTGACTACTGTTTGTCAAAGTATTGGTCACATTAACACTGGTATCACTGGTCACTGAATGGGTCAGTACGGCTGATGAGTTGATGGCAAGGCTAACACCGGACGCAGTGGTTAATGAACTGTTGAAAACCGTAGAGTTTGATGAAATGGTTAATGAACTGGTGTTTGAAGGGATGAATGTTTGCAATGTATTTGTCAACTCATTTGTTGCCAYAATTAGTTGTATTGAAGTGACAGTACAAACACAAATCACAAACAATTGTATTGCTTGTGATGTCTTCATAGCTGAATAGCTGATCAATTAATTGTCAAATAAAAGTTCATTACATAATGTATTTAATATTTTGATCAAAAGCAACACTTTTGTCAGTTTTTCAGTCAGTTTACTAAGTTTTCAAAGCAATGGTCCGATTGATACCCATATTGAGACTCCATTGCCATTCATATAAATGCATACAAATAAAAGCATATAAGAGGTGAACCTTTGCTAAAAAGTTGGTCCTTTCTCTACTCACTTTAGTCCCTCCTCTCTCTGGTCCGTCAGTTAAGAACAGGTATTTTAAGGGAAGAATTTCCCTCAGGCTATCACAAAACACCGGTTCCTCTCTACTCGACTACAACATTGGCTTTTAAGAAATATAAAGATTGAATACATGTAATGAAGAAAAAAAGACGACCCGAGAGGCAAATGCAAGTGCTTTCTCACAATTACAACAATAATCATAACCTACTTTTGCAACCAATCGTCAAACTATACCATAATATTCATTCATATCATTGCATCCATTTTTATCAATGATATTTCAATCATAAACATCACAAACATCACAAAACACTTTAAATTGTATTTCATTAAACTTTAATTTATTTCAACCAATAAATCAATAGTTCAATGATTTTTATATTTATTATTAATAATATCTGGTTTTTAAGAGGTGTGAACTCATACCACAAAAAGCAGATCTATTTCTATATACTGTATATTATTTGTGGTAACAACTCATTTATAAAGTTTTAAGTTATTGTTATTGATAAGCTTAACAAATGATATATAATATTTGTGTATATCTTATATTAATAGCAGCGTTATATAAATAAAAAAATAACAAATCTTCTCTATCAAGTAATTGAATAAATTATTAACTCATTAAATATATTATCTGTTAATAATAGCTTAAGCAATTCAATCAACCAATAAATAAAAATCAGTTTAAAACTAATTCAATGCAATTATGCCAATTATTTAGTTATACACTAATAATAACAAATATATACAKTAGTACCGACTATTCCAAGATATTTAAAAATTGTTTTAATATAATTTTTTATTATAAATAAATTTATTATATTTTTTATTAAAAATTAATAAACATAGAAATAAAAATGTAAATTCAATTTATGATAAAATATAGAATTATTAAATATGTTTAAGATTTATTGTTTATTTAATTTATAAAATTAAATTTTATCAAATATTTATTTTATATAGTAACTTATCATTTAACATAAATCAGTAGTAATTATTTATTTGATTGCATAATAAATACACTTTTTTTAATTAATTATAATAATTACTAAATATAAAGTTTGTGTCCGATTTTAAATTCCTTATTTATACAAAAAATATTTTTTTATTTTTTAGTATTACAACTGTTTGAATTTTTGTTTTATTTAAAAATAATCAAAATATTGAGATTAAATTAAAAGCAATTAAATTTTATCATACAGTATTTTATTGTAATTGATTAATTAGAGTATACAAGTTTTTGTAATTTTTATATTTGATCCCATCCTTGTCCCGGCTAACTTATCTCTGATCCATGAAACTTCATTTTTAACAATTCAATTCAAAACATTTTTCTCCCATACAAAATTATTTTTTAAATATTATTTTTACTAATATCACTGATTATGCATATAATTAATAGTTTGTTWTATACTGTATACAACTGATTATAATTACTCTGACACAGGGATGACAGTACGGTCAGGAACTATGAGTTACACGTCTAATGTAGAGTTGATAGTTATGTAAATTATTCAAACTATTGCTTATTAGTATAATGTATACTTGTATAAAACATTTAAAAATATAAATATTGAAACTAAAAAACACTATAAATATTTTATTTTTATATTTTAACTCTAATTAAATAATAAATATTGCATAATTAACTTTAAAATTTTATACTTAATATATTTTTTTTAAATCAATAAATTTCAAATATAATTTTTCAACTTTTTTTACATTATAATATTGGTATTAAACTATATTTCAATATTTCTATGAAATAATTATTTTTTGTATAATATTATTTATTTAGTTAAATGACTGAATGATAATAATCAGTATATTAATTTAATATACAGTATTACAGTAATATACAACTAAATTTATATAACTTAATAATTTAAATACATTATATAGAATAGCATTATTTATTATAATTATTATTAATAAGTAAAGCTATGAATAGCGATTTAAATTACTATAAATGATTGTGACGGATCATTATTAGAATATTAAACTTATATAAAAATTATTTGTTTGACTAGAAATTATAATTTACTAAATAAAATCGTTTACTATGTTTAGTAAAGCATAGTTTCATTGATAAGTGAGGGGGAGATGGGAGACAAGGGTCTRTTCCCAAAATACATGAGTCGATTCAAACAAAGTTTACAATTATCGGCAACCGCTTTCATAATTGCTTTTGTGATCAAATGTTATTTTAGTGTACAATGTTATCAACAAAAAACATTTTACAAATATAAAACATTGAAAGTTATGTTTTATGTTAAGTTGTTTTTGAGTCGACTAAAGCATAAATTTATGCCTAAACTCTGGTTAACTTCTAGTGAAGTGTTAGTTGTGGTAATTTTGAAGACGATTTCAAGTAAAGATAATATAATGGAAAATAACTCACGAAATGCTGTATTTTCATGATTTGGATGTATCACTACATCACGTTATTGTTAACAATCGCTTTATTATTAAGATTTTTACTGTACATAAAAATTTATATTTAGTTTTGTAAAAAAACTTATTTATGTCAGACAATAGAAATTGAGATAAAGTGCCACAACGAGAGATTGTGAATTAAATTAAACTACTAATGTGCTTGAAATTTAAATTTTCATTCAAAATTAGGGCTTATTTAATAATTATATAAGTACTATGTAATAATAAATAAAAAAAATTATGTAGGTAAATAGTTTGGATAAAACAAAAAAAAATATCTAATAAATATTATAATTTTAAATATTTGTCTAATATTATAATTTGTCTGACATCTCCATCATATAAAAATCAATTGCTTTTATGATTCATAAATAAAATTATTTTTGAACTATTTTTGACTGTTTTGAGTGCATAAATGTTTATATTGTTTTGCAAAGCGTTTAAAGAAAACACTACAGTATTATATAATTATTATTATATAAGATTTGACAAAACAAATGCATTGCTTTGTTTAGCTTTCAAACAATTTCTTAAGTATTTTAAAGACGATTGACTGAGAAGGAGGTGACATACATCCAGWCATTTATCCAAAACAAGTCGTTCGCAATTCATAAACCTATTATATATCTAAATCTATTGTAACTATGCTTTAATCAAATAATAAACACCGCATTATATGATAAATTAAATAATAAATATCACTATTTTAATAATATACTCAATGACTTTTATATTTGTTCAAAATATTTCTCACATACTATGATATCATATATATTATAATCCAATTAAATCAGATATTATGATTTAATCACTTTTTATTATTAATTTTGTGCTATTTTTTCACTTATGTGACATAAAAATCTAAATTTGCTTTTAAATTTAGTCTTTTCATTTACATTAACAATCGACTTATATATAAAAGTTAAAATCGTATAAATTATTATGAAACGTCAATTTAATAATTATGTTTTTAGTTAAATAATAAACACTTATTTACATTATTATTTATATTGTCCAATATTTGTGACAAGTAATAACAATTCTAATATTATACTACTTTATACTGTATATTATAAAATACATATTTATTATTATTATTATTAACACAAATTTAAKAGAAATGATAATAATATTAAAACCTAATAACTGAACCATAACTTTGAAGTCATAATCGTCTTATTGTTTCTTTGGTGTCCTTTTTGTTTCAGCAATTCTTCGTTCAATCATTTGTTGATATTCTTGAGTTGGCTGTTCCCACGGTCGCGGACCGCGAATATTCTTCCAGTTGTTTGTGTCAACTGTTTTAACCATATTTTCATACTCTTCTTCTAATGTTTTCTGTTGTCTCACTTTGAATCCCATCTCTTCTAATAGTTCTGGTGTTACCTAAACTTATATACCATTAATATATCATTAATAATGAAAAGTTGATTATAGCTGACTTACACCCATTTGTTTGTTATGTCGACTAACTTCATATCTAACGGTTGCGAACTCTCTTAATGCAAACGAACCTCCCGTCACAAACAACTGTCGCAACAAATATAAACTATTTATTATTTCATCAAATATTATATCAATTTTATATTTCAGATTAATTTATGATAATTAAACACATTATATATTTGTACAATAAATGTCATATTATTATGAATCAAATGTACAGTAAATAAGTCTTAAGTATTGTAAAAATTGTTTTAATCGCTATTTTATTTTAATTTAATTAAATATAATGCTTAAAAATAAAATATTCAATATACGATACAGTACTGAAAACATAAATTTGCAAAATAAAAATATACATGTATTTGTCATTTATTATTMGTTGATATTTTAGCATGATGCAAAATTATTGAATTTTATTTTAAATAAATTTGTATGTAATGTAATTCAGTTAAAGCATTCAATTACTTAATATAAAAATAAATTAAATTCTCTTATATTTTATATTTAATTGAAAATACATTTAAGTTTATTTAAAATAGTATTTAATTTTATAAAATAATATTTATATTTATAATTAAAAATTGTTATCGCAATCAATGGTTAAGACAGACATTAAAGTGACACATGTATTGATTAACACGACTTAGTCTGAGACCACAGTTTGGTATTATTTTCGGTAAATTTGGTCATTTGGTCACTACTCGGATACCATTTAATTATTGTCTCAATTGACATATTATAATAACTTTATACTGTATTTGACTTAATATCACAATTTTATAGCAATTTAATGATACATACTATGAATGGCAGTCCATATCTTGCGAAATGACTTTTTGCTAATTTAGTGATAATTGTAGTGAAATTCATAATTCATAGCAATTACTGTCCGGTTATATAAATACCATATAATGTTATGTAATGTTAAATAAATTTTAATGTTTGACCAAAACATGTGCCAAACAGTCAATTATGTCATCAATTATGTTGTGTTTATTGTTGTGATAAATGCATTGAAATGATAGCATAGGGTTTGGATTTATCTGACAATAAAACATACATTTCTATTGGCTTTCAATTAAATTTAGTTTTTATTGATTTAATTTGTTTGTCAAATATGTTTAGTTCGTGTTTGGCACGTGTTTCACGTGTTTGTGTCTCATTAAAGACATCGTTGACCAGTCATAACATCTATAATGGCAACACATGTTTGACAACTATAAGTGTTCGCAACAATAGCTCTTTCTATACAAGAAGTATTGTCGACAATGTCTTTGATGTATTGATTAGTACATAATGTGATAGTTTTTGTTGTTTTTTATAGTCAGAGGGGATCAGCTATGGAAAGGTGCAATGGGTGTCAGCAAAACCAGTGCCAAAAGGGGTCGCAAAGGAGGCGGAGGAAAGATCATCAAACATGACTTAAATAGAGGACAAAGATTAGGTGTCGGCAGACATAAGATGCTATGGCCGGGACTCAACGCRCCGGTGATGACCGGCAGACAAACACTTCGACTCAAGTCATTGGGTAAAGACGAACAATTTGATCAGAATCTGGCCAATGCCCGTAGCCGTATGCGCAAATTTACAGCCGCTAAAGTACATCCTCTGGAAAGAGGTTGGAGTGGCACCCGAATGGGTGGTCGTTGGATTGGACCACCCGATCCTGTCAATGGAGAACCGTTTATTGGATTCGACACTAAAGTGTTATATTTGAAACCCATTTTTAAAATGACAGCACTTTTCGGCAAATATAAACGTTTTGCTTGTTTAACGTGTTCGGGAAATATGAATGGTTTGGCTGGTTATGCCGTTAATAAAGATGTGGACAGTAAGAAAGCAATTGTCAAGTCTAAGAATAAAGCGGCACAAAGACTACAATATATAAATCTCTGCGAAGGAAATACCATTTATCACAACTTTTATTCAAAATTTTTCGCCACAGAACTGTTTGTCCGTAAAATGCCGAAAGGGTATGGCATTCGTGCCCATCGATGTGTTACAGCTATCTGTGAGGTGTTAGGTATTACTGATATTCACTGTAAAGTCGAGGGTGGAAATCGCGCCCAAAGAAATTATTTGCATATAACTCGAGCTTTTTTTAATGGTCTTATGAAACAAAAGAGTTATCAGGAAATGGCTGATGAAAAACGACTTAATGTTGTCGAACTGGTCGGCAAATATGAATTTCCTAAAGTATTGGCCAGACCTACAAGTGGTTGTCGTACTGATGAAGAGATAAGTGCTGATGAACTTCTTGATTACAATATGTATATTTATAACGGAAGAGTTATACAACCGCCCAAAGAAAGACCAATGTTTTATACAAAAGACAATTCGTGGGAAACGTATATAAAGAGATGGCAATATAGACAACATCAACAACACCAACGAATTAATCTTATCGCCAAATATGGATCACTTGAGAGCTATTTAACTCAATTAGATAGACAAAGACTTAGTGCTAAAAAGGCTCATTTAATTAACAAATTAGCCAAAGATGAGTCTAATGAAGAAGCAAAAGAAGAAACTCAGATATAAAATATATATAAGGAATAAAACTTTAATTATTTGATTAAATTTTAGTCATAAAATCAGATTCAACAACATTATAGAGAGCTCTATTAGTAATTATAATAAAACAATTAAAATAAATTTTAGTAATAATCTGAAAATTCAATAATTATTGCTTAAACTTTGATCTGTTTTGCATTGACTGCGGTTGCGGCAGATTTGCCCGAACCGTTGACTTGTGTAACATTTGTGCTTCCATTTTCTTCACGTGGTTCATGAGGAGCCGGTAGTTTTTCCCAACTGGGCTCTACTCCCCATATTTCACGCGCATAATCACAAATGGTTCGGTCACTCGAAAATTTGCCGGAAGTGGCGATATTAAGTATTGTCATTTTTGTCCACTCCTCTGGATTCTGTTAATTATTGCCATTATTTTATAACATYGTTWACGTTTAAATTATTTTATAATACTTACTGTATATACTTCTGCCACCTTTTCTTGAACTTTAATATAATCTTCAAAATCAGCAAAGACAAGGAAGCGGTCGTGATTCATGAGTACATTAACCACATCCTTAAAAAGATCCGGATTATTAGGATTGAAGAATCCAGTATTGATTTGATCGATAACTGTTCGTAATTCTGGGTTTTTATTATAGTAATCCCAAGCGTTATATCCTTTTTGTTTCAATGCCTCCACTTCTTCTACTGTAAGACCAAATAAGAAGAAGTTTTCATCGCCCATCTCTTCTCTCATTTCGACATTAGCGCCGTCCAGAGTACCGATAGTAAGAGCTCCGTTCATCTAATTAACAATTTTTAATTAATGTTTTTTATTAACAAATAAGTCGAAGCTTACCATAAATTTCATATTTCCAGTACCCGAAGCCTCTGTTCCAGCAGTTGATATCTGTTCACTCAAATCAGTTGCCGGTATTATTTTTTCGGCAAATGACACTCTATAGTTCTCGAGGAATATGATCTTAAGTTTATCGCCGACCACTGGATCATTGTTGACCACAGATGCCACGTGATTAATCAATCGAATTATTTGTTTGGCGATGTGATATCCCGGAGCTGCTTTCCCTCCCACCTAATATAGCAAAACATTTACTATAAATCAATAAATCTATTAAACAAACCATTATAGTCCTCGGAACAAATGGCGCCGTCGGGTCACGTTTGATGCGATTGTAAAGTATTATCATATGAAGACAATTGAGAAGTTGTCGCTTATATTCATGAATTCGTTTGACCTGAACGTCAAAAATGGACGCCGGATTCACTTGAATGTCAAACAATTTGTAAATAAGATCTGCGAGTCTTAACTTGTTTTCCTGTTTAACTGTTTGTACGGCTCTAACGAAAGCCGGATCRTTAACCAATGGTTTCAACTTTTGTAATTCATCCAAATGGACGATCCAATTGACGCCTATTTTGCTTGAAATCAAATCACTGAGATTCGGGTTACACATATATAACCAGCGCCGGGGTGTCACTCCATTAGTTTTGTTTTGAAACTTTTCGGGAGACATTTCGTAAAAATGTTTAAATGTCTCCTTTTTAATGATATCTGAGTGAATGGCTGCCACGCCTTTTAAGAAAATACAGATGCAATCAATAAAGATGAGTGATATCAAAAAATTTTAATAAAAATCTCACCATTKATTGAATGCGATCCAACAATCGCCAGGTGCGACATATTAACTCTTTTTTCTGGCTCTTCTTCAATTAAAGACAATGCCTTAAGTTTTTCCATATTATTTGGGAATTGTTTGACCACATTATCCAAATGTCTTTGATTTATCTCATATATAATCTGCATGTGTCGCGGCAATACATATTCAAGCAAACTGCAGGGCCAACGCTCGTTAGCCTCTGGAAGCACCGTATGATTAGTATAAGCAAATGTCTTTGTTGTTATATCCCAGGCCTTATCCCAAGAAAGCCCTTCAATGTCCATAAGTATTCTCATAAACTCTGGTATGGCTAGAGCCGGATGGGTGTCATTCAATTGTATTGCAACTAAAATATAATAAATTATTAATAAAACCAATATTTTTAATATTTATTATTATTAATACCTTTATCAGGAAAAGCGTCGTAAGAATTTCTAACGCACTCTTTTGAACCAAATTTTGATGACTTATAGCGACGAATAATGTCTTGAAGAGTTGCCGCACATAAAAAGTATTCCTGTTTTAGACGCAATTCTTTGCCTTCAAAGAAGTTGTCATTTGGATACAAAACTCGAGTTATGTTTTCGGCGACATTCCTATCGAGAACGGCCTGAATATAATCGCCGTTATTGAAGAACTTTAAATGAAAGTTTTGCGATGACTTTGCTGTCCACAGTCTCATAGTGTTAACTACATTATTACGGAATCCGGGAACTGGACTGTCGTAAGGCATAGCATAGACAGTGCTGTGATCGACCCATTTTGAACCGCTATCTGTGTTTTCAACCTTTCCATAGAAATTGATGGGCAATAGGTATTCAGGTCTGGCCTTTTCCCATGGATTTCCAAATCTCAACCATTCATCCGGCTCTTCAATTTGTTCACAATTGTCAATCTTTTGCGAGAATATCCCGTATTCATATCTCAGGCCATAACCATAGCCAGCAATTCCAAGAGTGGCCAATGAATCGAGAAAACATGCGGCCAATCGACCTAAACCTCCATTTCCAAGACCTGCATCTTCTTCGAGTTCTTCTAATTCTTCAATATCGAGACCCAATTGATAGAGTGCTTCATCGCAAGCAGTTTGGACATCAATGTTTATCATTGTATTTGTCAACTGTCTTCCGACATACCATTCCAGAGATAAGTAGTAAACCCTCTGTTAACATATTTTTAATAAATTTCATTATTTGGACAAAACATCAAATAATAAATTAAAAAATATTTTAGTCATAACATGTTTTATAAGTGATTATAATTTGACATTTTTTGCATTTATCGCACGYATTGAAAAAATCAAGGCTAAGGTCAACAGTTAGTTAGTTATACTTCATTTGGTTTAACTTTTCATTAATTCAATGCTCTCTTATTTTTAAAATATCATAAATGATATGATATATGAATTGATTATTATTTTAAATAAATGACAAAACAATGTACAGTATATCCTATACTAAATATTGTATTCAATTATCAACATTCAAATGCTAATTCAAATTCAGTATTAATATAATTAATATAATATATGTATCATATATATTATGATCAATGAAATGAAAATTGATTATTAAATTAATTTTAAAAATCATTTAACAAACTTTGGGATCCTTTTCATAATAATTTTGTTGAGTTCTTATCCATCGGGAGACGAGATGGTCGCGTACGGCCAGTGCCAGTGCCTGATAGTAGTCCCGAGTGGTCGACACATTCCTGTCCTTAACTAGACTGTAGTGTAGGTGACGGTTGAAAGATCTTTTCATTTCAGTTACATTTCCAACTAAATTACAATCAAATTAGATGTCATTTTTAAATTAATTATCAAAATTGACGACCACTTTGCATACCGTCGGCAATTCCGCGAACAGATATCTGTTTGCGTCGATCGGCATCTGTTTTGACAGACATTTCGCTGTTTTATTCAATTGTTTTTCAATTGACTTTCAATTTAATAAAATAATTTAAAGCAAGAATTGAAGTCAAACTGAAATGACTTGAAAGTGATGTACGAGTAATGCAGTTATGCTTAGAGAGAGACAACTCGTGTATTAAAACTAGTGTTTTATCATTTCATTTATATCATTGTATTATCAATATTAACATCAGTTTATGTCGTTCAGTGATTTGTTATAATACTGTATACCATATATTGTATTATATTTATTCTGTTTTATACACTACTGTAGAATAATTATAAATATACTCTACTTGTATATAATAAATATTATCAATTGACACGCTTTTATATATTTCAACAAATCATTTTAAAGTATATTTAATTTATAGTTAATATATATATATATATATATAAATGTATAAAATTAAATATTATTAAATTATTGATCACTAGTCAGCAAACACTGGTTTATAAGGGATGAGTTAGGCCTCAGTAACACATCTTATATTAATATCATATCATAAATACGAGTCTCAGTTCCAACACTAGAGTTCGTCACTGAACTCATTCACTAAAACACATATCGATTCAAACCTAAACCGGAATTTTTCAATGTTATCAACAATTTTATTCAATTTTAGAAATTTACTTTATATTACTTGAATATACATTTCGTTTGTTATATTATTTTTGAATTTGTTTTTTAACAAACAAAAATTGCACATGCACAATTTTAGCTATAAGTTTAATTGAATTAATAAAATAGATGGCAGAGATGAGTGTGATTTTTAATTATTCAAATCTTATGATTAATTCAATAACATATATTATTTATAAACAACAAACAGTTAGTTTAGTCTTAGATTTGTTGATAAAATTATTATTAAATGACAAAATGTATTAAATATAGGTTTGTGTAAAATTTTATCTAAATATTTATATAAACAATAAGTATTTGAAAGTCAGTGCAAAATTTTTCCATATATTTTCCCATACATTCTGCTGATGACCTGATCTTACAAATATATTTCATTTATTATTATTTAATTTTAATATCAATTTATAAATTAGCAATTAATAAAAAATATTTACAAATAAAAATTAATAATTGACCTTTAAATTTTAAATAAATTCTAAAATATAAATTAAATAATACAATTTGTTAATTATTTTATTAATTTTAGTTTTGTTTTTTATTTTACATATGCTGTGCATTATTTTATTATAATTTGAAGTATTTATAGAATAAACGATAAAAATTTTCTATTAAATTTAACTTTAATATAATCATATTATAAGATTAGATAAGATTAAAGTGATTATGAGTTGCTTGAACTTCTCGTAAATACATATCAGTCATAAATAATGARAAGTATATAAATAAATATTAACTATTAATGAGAAATATTACTTATTTTACATTTCTATTTTAATTTAGCTCTTTGTTTATAACATAAGTTATAAAAACCTATTTTAATTAATTTTTGTATTCAAAACTAATAAACAAAACAGTAGTATTACATTAATTTTTATTGTTATTTTATATACTGAATAACAATTATTAATTTATATATAATTAAAATAAAGTATATACAACAATTAACAAGTATTTTCTTAATTGTACAAAATAATTATATTTTTATGAACATTATAATTAACAATATTATTGTAAAATTTTTAATTTTTATATGTTTAATCTTAGTTATTTAATGTATAATATTTGTTTGGTTAAAACAATTTGCTTAATTAATATTTTAGAAATATATAAATAATAGATTAAAGTTAAATGTATATAAATTATTAAACAATTATTATATTTGAATTTAATAAACATTAGTTGTAAGTTTAATATAACTTTGTAAGTGTTAAGAAATGTTGATTTAGTATTAATACAAAACAACTATAGTATTGATTTTTTAAATATTTAGTAAAGTTTGTAATTGCAGAAAATATTTGTTGATTTTAGTAAAAATTGTTATCAGATCACAAAATTAGACAAACTAAGTGAATAATGGTTGAGATATAGCAAACAATGGCTAATATAAAGTATTTTTCAGTCAAGTGTCTGTCAGAGACATTTTATGCTCTTTTCGTTAAGTGGCTCAGGGATGGGGATGTAAGGGATGTCTGGCACAGAGGTTTGTATTGTATGTTGTGTTGAGAAAAGTGCAAAGTTTAATCAGGTGATGAAACTCTCAGGGCTTGTATTTTTAGTTGATCCGATGGCTGAGTGTAGTACCAACTATGCCTACTATGCCTACTATACCTACTATGTCTGTATAGTGGGTTGTGTGGCAAATATCTGGGCAAACATCAAACAGAGGGCCAATTTTAAAAGCGTCTTCACTTCTCTTTATGAATTTTACGGATTTATATAAAAACATATTATATTTCTCACATTGTATGCTCTTATACTGTATATCTGTATGTTTTGTGGCACATAAACTGTATATCTATTGTAAGGATAGATGTGTTTTTGAGAGAAAGGCAGTGCTGAAGATGTGCTTATCTTATGGTTCACACCTCACACGTAGTCATTTGGTTCGTGATTTTGCAACCATTTCTCTACTTAAAAGTCGTTCTGCTTTTTGATGATAGCTTTTAGCGAAGGATTTTCTTTACCGATCGACTCAATGAAGTGCCCGAACATTGAGTGCACCGGTAGTCGAGTACAGCTTATATATAAAAACTTTTAAAACCAACTTTCTTTGTAGTCTAACCTGAAGAGTACATACATAACTGAAAAGTTAAAAGATTACTAAACAATCAAAATGTTAGTCAATTTTGAGCCCTATATATAAATTTTGTAGACATTTATGTCTTTTGCTCACTCTATTGCTATTCATTTCATTTTCATTTAGATTTTACTAATAATTGTCTCTAATGTTTGTTTACTCTCCATATGGGAACTGAAAAACAGGTGACTCTGCTATTAAAATTTAATCAAATAATGCATTTTTTCAGACAATGTTTTTTCATAAAATACATTATATGTCATATTTTGTGGCACATTATATGCAATGTCTATTGAAAATGTTTCAGTATTTGACACGTTATACTCAATAATATTGTTTTATTACAATCATTATAATTGAGTAATGCTTTTGTCGTTTTAGGTCATAGAGTATTGGCTTTGGATGGTATGGTTGTTGCAGTTGTCATCGATTCAAATACAATACAATACTGTAGAGACAATATGTTGAATATATGCACACATATGTACAGTAGTACTGTATTATGTAGTGAATAGAGAAAACAATTAGCTTTAGAGCACACATACAGTGCAGAAGTAAACGAGTAAACAAAACATAAATGTAATGATGAGATGACATCACTATAAATGAACAATACTTTCATCATTGGCATCATTGGCCATATATTATACTGTATATAATATTATATATAAATATATATAGTATATGTTTGTGTCTATTTGTGTGTATGTTTGCCACTATTTTATAGCATTCATTCAATTTATAGCAATACTTTTGTTGCTCTTTTCTCTTTGACTCTCAATTACTCTATTTATTAGACTTTTGAATACACTCTAACCTAACCCGGAGTTACCAAACCATACGCTGTCTGTTACACCACAGAAAGGTTTACTTATCTAACAATATCTCTCGGGAAATACGTTTTGTAGGCAAACTTGAGTTAAATTTGGTAAAACAGGATCCCAGTCCTAAAAAGCACTGTTGCCATAGCTTATACTGTACTATCTGTTGTCTCAGCGGACAGTCTAATGAATGTTGTGGTCATTGCAAACAAAAAGATATTTTTCTGTAACATTTGCTGATCCCTTTGCCGAAGGGATTATATAATAAATTTGGCAAACTTTGTAATTATACTTTTATGTCAATTCACTGATACATTGGCATAAAGTATAGCACATGTCTAGCATTTACTCTCAATTGATTTGAACATTCATTTCGGCAAACATTGCATTCATTCAACTTTTAGCTATTCATTCACTTTTTCCTTTCCCCTCAACTCTGCCCTTAGCCTCCATATAATCTCCGAAATTAATTTTCTAAAATATAAAGATATTTTATTTATATAATTTGATTTAAATAGTTAAAAGTTACAATTCAAATTATAAAGTATTTCAATTAAATAATTAGATTTTTAAAATTATGAAATATATTTTTTGTCGTAAATTGATTTTTTTGTATGTTCTATCTATCATTTAATCCCTATGAAGTATAGCATCCCTGTACTAAATGTTAACATATTGAGTGCAATAAACCATACAATTAGCAATTTTGGTTCTGAATTGGGATGTTTAGTACAAAATCATATTGTGGGCAACTTTTGAAATACAATCTAATTTTATAGTAATAATATATAGTGGTGAAAACATATCTACAATATAGGCGACTTTACTTTTAAATTTAAGAGAAATCAAGTTTTACGGGACACCAATGATGGTTACAATAATAATAATAATAATATATGAAAAGTGACATTAAATATGATGAGAGTTGGAGTCTGTGTTTGTCATAGAGTTGGCCAACAGTGCAAACATTACTAAATAATAAGTGAAAAGTAGAGTCAAAAGGCAGAGCAGCAGCTGTTGGTTGAGAGAAGTGCAGAATTTTTGCTCTTTTATTATATGAGTGCAAAAAGTTTAGGACTCTCTCTCTCTCTGACTCTTCTCACTATTTTGTCCTTTGATATACTGAATGTATGTACTGATTGTGCATTTGGTCCGTAAGGTAAACATAAGATCCCTGACTCTTCTGTACACTATTAGTGCCATAACATAACAAATAGATTTGTCCGTCACCTGGCATTTACTCATTTACCAAAACTATATAGAGAATAGATGTCATATATAAAAACTATGGCATCTATGCCATCCATATCACCAATACATCTATACTCTACAGTGTAGAGTCTACACCATTGGTGAACCACTTTCTTAATCTTAAAAACAAATTTAACAAAAAATTTAGTTATTTGGTTATTTGGCTTATAAATTCTCTCTCTCTCTCTCTCTCTCTCTCTCTCTCTCTCTCTCTCTCTCTCTCTCTCACTCATTCACTCACTCACTCACACACGCACACACACACACATTATGCTAAAACTTTTCAAAATATGTTTGCATAAAATAATTATGTTATAAAAAGTAAGTAAAATAATCTAAAATACATTTTAATGCATTTCAATCAGTTATTTCTTATTGCAATCAAATGCAATCTAATCCAATACATAACTGTCTTTAAA